ATCTACGGTCCCATTCGGAAGCAGGTTCCCAAGATTCAGCATCCTTCCGGCGCCGTGGGCCTGGATTTTTTTTATTTATACGGGACGCGGGTCAGTCAAAGTACCAGAGTGTGCAGAGGATGCCAATTTCTGTGATGGGGCGTGGCGCTTTAGAGGTGGGGTTCAGGGTGTGTCCACCGGCTCTGAGACGAACAACACACCAGAACGGTGCTTTCTTTGTCTCTTGAGGCGGAATGGCATTGTGTTCTCATCTTTTCCCCCAGGACAGAGATCGTTTGACTGACCAATTACGACCAGGTCACTCATCCCCCTCCCTATCTCACCTCCCAGTCCCAGTAATTACGATTATATCTTTTTCCAACCAAGTTAAGCGAGAGCGGGAAGAAACATCTGGCCCGTGCAGATCTGTCAAGGACACGTCCGGCGCGATCCTACCATCAGGGTAGGGTGTGCTGGGAAGAAGAGGGGTGGGGGCGCGAGCCCATCATCAAGCTCATGCAAATCAAAGGATGATAAGCAGCTGTCATCAGAGACGGAACCCGCCCGTCCCCCCAGAAAGTGTGTGGCCGGGGGCAAATCGCATCATCCGTCGTCACCAGACGTTGCCCATTGAGAGAGCGGGCTCATCCGTCGTCCGTATGGGCCTGTCTGTATGAATGGGTGCAGCAAGCCACCTCCTTGTCACTCAAATGAACTCCATCAGGCAACCTGATCGCAGGTTATGGGGAGGAGAGGGGACGATCAGATCATGGGCCCTCTCGCTTGCGGCTCTCGCAGTGGAAAGGGCCCCAGAAAAAGATGGCACACATTACTAATGCATTACTGCGCAGTAGTATGGCAGTATGGTAAAGGACAAAAAGACAAGAAAGAGGGCAGAAAAATACCGGGGCGGGGGGGGGGGGAGGACTTTGCTGGTTCAATGGTTGTTTACTCCACAAACCCTCTTTTTTTTGGGCGAGAGAGGTAGGGAAGGTGGCTATACGGCCCTCACCTGCTGCTACTCTGTATTACTGTATGGTACGAGGAAGTTTCCATAGTCCGTAGTAGCTTCCATCACTGTGCCAGGCCCCACCCCGCTGCTCCTCCGTCGCGGCTAGAGTGACAGGAGGCAGGAGCAGCACCCGTTCCGGGTCACACACCAAAGGGGATGACGACGAGCATTTACAAATACCCTCTCCCTAAAACCCACATCAGACCACCAGGACGGCACCGGATCCAGAAACTGTTCCCAGCGAGAAGGTTCAACCTTATTCGTTCTCGTTTTTCTCGGTTTCTCTTTCCTTCTCTCCCGTGCTTGCCCCAGCGGCGAGGGACCGGGGGGCCGGTGTGGATGGGGTCCCCACTAAGATTTGAAGGGGCTGCCACCGGTGGGGCGCCAAGTCGGAAATTCCGGCATGCTCTAACTCGATTTCTTGACTATGACAGCACACTCGTGCCATTCCAAGGGCCGGAGGAAGGGCCGAACTGGACCGGAATTGTTGCTCCAGGCCACCGTTTTACGAAGGCAAAGGCTTGGCTTGACCTGGTTGACATCGGATGGGTGAGGGAGAAAGAAGAGAAGATCACTGCTGACTGCATCGGATGCAGGATCGTTGAAACGAGGGGAGAGGATGAGAGGGGTTGGGGGGGTGTGGAAGGAAGTTGAGGAAGCCGACTTACTCTCCCCACCCCCCCCCTTCTTCTTCCTTTATTTCTTACTCCCTCTCCCCCAAAACAATATGCGAATGACAACAGCACAAGTAGCAGATAAGAGGTTCTGGAAATGAGCTGGGAGTGGTGTGTGAAGAACAGCAGGAAGAGGGAAGACCCCCAATTGTTGAGCATGCTGTGTAAGCATATCATTATCTACAACAACAATTTGTGCACACTAGATTCGTGAAGAGGAAAAAGATAAGAGAAACTTCATCCTGTCGGCAAAGTTCTTGCGTTGGAACTTAAAAAGTATCAACATCCAACCATCTGATCGAATCACAGAGCGGGATTGGGTTTGCCCCCCCCCCCCCAATTGCGCCCTGCATATCGGCAACTATCATCCATTAATTTTGAAAGGAAAAGTTCGTTCAAGGGGCGACATGTTGACGTGCAGCTGACAGGTCGCAATTGCTCCGGAAGAGTGACACGACACTACTAATACCTTCCTTGAACAGGCTGCAGTGAGATGTGCTTGCCGCGGCCGTGACCAACTGCTGCAGCAGCAACTTCCGCTCGCGATGCGCGGGAAATCCGACAAGCCCCCTATCGCGACTCGTGTGGGCTACTCAACACCAAGACAAAAACAAAACAAAAGGGTTGAGGGTGTCGGATCTGGACTCTCGTCTCGGGTGTTGTTTTTTTTTCGTCACACTCTTTGTCTCTCTGTTTTCTCTCTCTCTAGCCACAAGGTATTGATGTAATTGAAGGCGCTAGAGCGCACAACACAACGGCTGTCTTTTTGCTTGGGTCTCGAAACATATGTGTGGTTTCTGATTGGACAGCGACAAAGACAAACACGCGGATACCCTCTCCCCTATTTTCTGACTTCATCCCAGATGCAAACGACAGCTCACAATTCGCACTCGCTTATTCAACTGTCAAGAAAGACAACGGGTCAGAAAAGTAATGTCTCAGCTCACCCTCCACCCTCCCCCACAGCCCTACAAGTTCGCCGAAGAAGGGATGGGTGTGTGCGTGTGTGTGTGTGTGGTATGGTGACGTTATGAACATCATCTCTTTTTCAAAGCTTCTCGACAAATATTACGTGTACAGCCCCGTGACCCTCGTCGTTTCCCTATCTGTTTTCCTTATTGTCTTTCTCTCTATCGTCAACGCACGCGTGGCTTTGGGCGTTGACGAGCTTGGTAATGAGAGAGGGGGGGGGGGGGGGAAGCTGAGTCGATTTACTATGACACTATGGGAGGATGGAGGAGAAGGAGGGACGGAACAAAGGTCCTCGCGTACCAGCCCAGCTAAACATACGCCCGCAAAGAGAGAAGGGCGGTCTCTTTCCTTTTTGATGGAAAGTAACCCATTCCAAGCCCATACATTGATGGTTTGAGCCTGTGCATGACGCGGCTCAGGATATCGGTCGTGTGGCTGGCTGTGCTGCTCTGTGCTGGGTTTGGTGTGGTGTGGCGTGTTGGGTGACATAACCGGTCCGTCCTCTTTTCGTTGTCTTCTTCTTCCACAACTTGCACTTTTGATCAACAAAAGGGATTGCTATTTACCGCAGCGGGCAGGCAGGCAAGCCAGCCACCCAGCCAGCCAGCCACTTGTAAACGGAGGGGTATGCACACCGATGAAGGGGGCTTGGCCCGGCTCGTTGTCCTTTTCAGCCGCAGAAGCGACAAGCCATAGTTGGCTGGCTGGCCTGGCTGGTCTCACTCACCACCCGCGGGCTAACCTACACCGACGGGAAGAAGTAGAAGGAAAATAGAAGGAAAATACCGTGGGGTGACAAGATAAGAAGCGGCAGTAGGCGATGTGGGCATCGAAGCAAGCTGCTGCTACTACTTGCTACTTGCACGCTTCGCTCGACCGGTCAAGACTTTGCGTGGTTAGGTCGTCTCCACACCTTCCATCCCCCCTTCTCAGGTCAGTAGATGGTAACTATTCCGTCCTGCAAGAGAGGGAGAGATCTTGCATGCATGAGCGTCGGTTCCGACGGGCAATACCTTCTCGTTTTTACTTGGACATTGTGGCTTTTTGCTTTTCTGGTGCCGGCAGGTCGGGCCTTGGTGGGTGACGTGGCTCTGCTCGAGTCGCCTCTTTACGTCGGACATATTATCTGTCCTTTTAGAGGAGGGATTCTAGGAAGCCAGGAGGGGTGGCTTGATCGATTGTCCGCGCGTTTGGTCGTGATGGTCATCTCCGTGGGAGGGCAGCTAAGCTCGTGAGAAAAACCTTTTTAGCTGGCCTTCCTTTTGTCCCTTCTGTGCCTGCCTGCAGCAGAGCAGGCCTGCGTGACTGGGTGGGAAACTTTCCCAGGGGGGGGGGCCTTGGGGACGGATACAGCGTGAGCAGTCGGTCTATCCGTGACTGGCTTGCTTGATATACACGCAGGGTGTGTGTATGTGTGTGTGCGTGTCCCCTCCCCTCCCCCCCCCCCGGCCTACCAAACACATACACACCTCCTACCCTCGAAAGAAAGGTTTTTCTTTTTCTTTTTCTTTTTTTGGGCCCGCATGCTCTGTGTAGGGAAGTAAATGGACGCAAGTGGAGGCGAGGGCTTGTGGTCTCTTGAGCGAACCACAACACCTCACTGCTGCTGAGGAGGTTGGGGACCTCACCGGATCCCGTGCCATTTTGCGGCTCGCTCCTTTGCTTGCCTTTTGCTTGCCTTGCTCGTCCTGGGCCCTTGTAGAACCGGCCTGGCCGTGGAATTTGCCTTTTTCTCTTCGATGGTACATATCAACGGGATCCGCGGACTTTTACAAACATACATGTATACATTCGGAGGCCATCTTGCCAAGGCAAACCTCTCGGCCGAGTCTTAGGGAAGATAATTAAAATGATCTGCAAAAAACATGGGGTTTTAAGTTTGGTTATTGTTTGTTGGGTGAGGGTCGCCGGGGTGCCCCATGCGTGACTGTCATGCGATCGACATGATGACTGTTTTCGTAGAGTAATACCCCTCGTCATGGCTCTGGCCGGAGAAAAAGGATGCAAGATGACAAGGCAGACTAATATCTTTGCGGTTTTCTTTCCGCCTTTCTTTTGTCCTGTACTGTAAATATATGTAGGGGAGAGAGTATGTGTCCGATGGGGCCTCTGGCGATCTTGTTCTTTCACGTCAATCATGACGAGTATGTTGATCCTTTCTCAGTACATACTATGCCCAAGTAGATCTCTACTGCATTCTTCGACATACAATATATCTTTAGTTTAACTTGACCAACGCAATTCGCCTCAGTACCCAGACCCTGTTCCCGAAATTGGCCTCGAGTTTTCCATTCACCAATAACACACCTTGGTATCATAATAAAAACATTGTACAAGTATATCTTTGTTTGACCATCAAGTCATCATTTCCCATTGGTACCCTTCAGGCGTTTCCAGAGCCCCCCTTGCTTCTGCGCCGCATTCTCCCGCGCCAGTCTTCTGGCAGCATACTCGAGAGGACTGATCGGCGGTGCATTGCCGCTCCCCCCGCTCCCGGCCTCGCTGGCGGGGGGCGCAGCTGAGCGGCCGGCGCCAGGGCTGTGTGGCGACTGTTGCGCCTCGCGTGGGTCGATCTCGTCAAACTCCTCCACTTCGAGCGCCGGGAGTTCGCCGAGCTTGTCTGGAAGCCTCTCGCCTGGAAACGAATACCCGGCTGTCGGAGCTGAGACGGAGCCACCGGCGGCCTCGCGCATCTTGTCGAGACCTGTGGAAAGGTTGCCCACGAGGTGCGCTTTCCTGTTCTCAAAGTATGAATCGTTGTCGTAGTAGGCCCCTTTGCCGTGCTTCGGCGGCGGTGCTGGTGGCGCCGGAGGCATCGAGACGCTCATATCCTTGATCATCTGGTACAGGTCCGGGAAACGCCCCTTGAACTCGGCCTCGAGCTCCCTTTGGTGTTCATCCACAACGGCCTTCTTCTGGCCCACCTCCCGGGGGCTGAAGTAACTGTGCTGCGTGTTGCTTTCGTGTTGGACCCGCTGCAGCCATTCCTCGTAGCGTACCTGGTTTCGCCTGACCTGGTCCTCGGTGGGCGGCGTAGCCGATCTCAGGCTGTCTGCATACTTCTTGGCCTCCTTGGTCATCCGGTCGCCTGTGATGTACTTGTCGAATGACATCGAGAACTCCCGGAACGGCCCCTTCAGGACAAAACAATTCCCTGGCCAGCCCTCCCTCCTGAGGAGCTCCAATAGCTCGACCGCAGCAGGGCATTCCCAGAGGGCCTCGATATTCCTATCGTAGATAACTACACACTTGGTCTTGCTCCATCTTGTGAAGGACCTCCGGCTCTGCTCGTCCGGGAACGTGCGGTCCAGCATCTCGAGAGCGGCTATCCTCAGGAATTTCGCTGGCATCCTCAGGTTTACCGCGCTGTGCACGTGTGATCTCTGGAACTCTGATGGCGACCTCAGGTCGGCAAATAGGATCTGTGCTGGCGTGAAGATCTCTAGAAGACCATTGAGATGGCCAGCTAGGATCATCTGCGGGCCCTCCTGGGCTTCTTGTATCGTCTCCGTCATCTTGGGGTTTTCCTGGCTGGCCACAGCCCGCTCCCTCAGCCGTCGATGATGGAACCAAACCTTGGTGAGGCCAGTCAGCATCTCCAGACGATAAGAAGCAATAACAACAACATCTGGACCGGGGGGGGGGGGGAAGAAGAAGGTGGGATGGGAGTGATTTACCTTGACCTCATTCGCTTCTATTCCGAGGTGCGAAGCGTAGTATTCTGCCGTTCCATCGCTCGGATGAGGGTCTACCCTGAAGTATTCCTCGAGACGGCTGACAACGTGAGTAGCAAGGCGTGGGCTCGGAGGGATGCCTTTTTCGCTGGCGAACACCGTCCTCTTGGAGTTCCGCGAGTGATTCATCAGCGGCTGCCGGAGGATGCCACCTTCTAGTGTTGCTCCTGCTAGAGCCATAGTAGCAGCCAGTCCGCCGGTCCGGTATGGCGGTGTCGTCCGGGACTGCTGAAGCGGCGGCCGTTGCGAGCTGGATGTGGATACCCGAGCCGATGACGGAGCTGATGTCCTGTCTTGGCTCGCCGACGTAGCTACCGTCGTTTCGGGTTCGATCTGCTCCTCCTGCAGGGCCACACTGGCAGTCTGCGCCCGCCAAAGGCCGGCCCTGTCGCCAGCTGGGGCCTGCGACCGCCTAGGGCTTGAGATCGATGGGGCAAGGATGCTGTCTCTGAAGGTCGTACCAGAGAAGACGGAGGATCTGTCGCTTTGGTAGACGTCGGCCGGGTTCTGGAAGGGCGTCTCGGCTCTCTCGGGGTTCTTGACGAGATTGTTGGACCTGATGAATGCCACAAACGAGCAGGCCTGATCCTCAGGGAGCAGGTCCCACACGCCTACCGGCATCGACAGGAGAAGTAAAGTTGAGTGGCTCTTGAAGACACCCTGGACCTTGACGTATTTTGCCAGAGCCGGGAAGCCCGCTAGCCACTGCTCCCACGCGTTCAGGTCCAGCCTCTGGTCGTCTTCAAGGGCGAGAGAGATCATTACGTGGGGTTTGTCCTCATTTGGTTCGGTGCAGCACTCTTCGTCTTCCGCGGGTCCTCGACCCAGAGGCAAGCCTGAGGGGCTCGGGTCCTGTGGCGGTGACGGTGGGACCCTCTCATGGGAAATCATGCGGCTCATCTCGATGCTGGGCGCACGGTGGTCCGAGGTCATCATAAAATGGACTGGCGTCGACCTGGCCTCGAAGCGCTTGCCATTGATCAGGATGGGCCGTGGATGCTTGAGCCGAGCAAGGATCTCGGCGTGGAGCATAGCGGCCGAGAATGTCTTGAGGCGCCACTCGCCCAGGACCTCAATGAGGGCGTTCGTGAAGGAGTAGCGGCCTGGATCGGGGGCGATGGCATCCCAGCTCGAGGCTGATATCGTCTCGGTGATACTTTTGCCGTTCGGAAAGGTGGCCGATGCCGCGCCGGCGCAGCAGTCTAACAATACCAGGACATCTGACACGGACCGCTCCAGCAGCGTCTGGATAGCTGACCATTGTAGCGAGGGAGACCCGGAATGCCGCGTCGCGCACCAGGTGCTCTGCCTCGACTCATCTATCTTGGCGTGGCCTCCATAGTAGATGATGAACAGGGTGTCCTCGTGTTCATGATCCTTGATGAGAGAGCCTATCCTCATCATGAGGTCGAGATGAGGGTTGTCGGCCGGGATAGCGAAGACGTCCGTGTTGAAGCCATAGTCCTCACGGAGGCAGGCGTCGAGGTCCTCGAGTTCTGGCAGCACGAACAGGTCGTCTGTCTTCCAGTGCAACAGGAGAACCTGGACATTTCTGTACCTCTGTGACGCCCGGCCCCGGTTGGGAAACGCCCTGCTGGCAGACTGTGGGTGGGAGGATCACCTCGTAGTGAGTATTGTAGTCATCAAGGAGACAAAGGGCTGTTTGTTCTTCTCACCTCTTGGAGGGTCTGGGCGAAGCTGTCGAGCTGCTTCACGTGGTAGTTCACACGGCTCGTGTCGTGTGTAGCCGGAGGAGCATAGTCAATCCCCGAACCGTACTGCAGGGGAGGACATGGTGAGTAAGACGTCGATACCTCCTCAGGCCGCATTATTATTATGATCACTCAGCCCAACAACACAGAGAGGGACGACGAGGAGGAGGATGAACAAGAAGATGCAGAAGAGAACAGAAGAGACGAGGATCGGATGATGGGTAGATAGGAAGGGGAACAGGGAAGGGGGAGTATAAGGGACATGAACGGTCATGGGATCGTGGGGCACATTGAGGAGAAGCATAAGGAATATAATGAGATATCGGGATATAAGGATGATGGATATAGTGACATGAGGAGGTACATACGGTAGAGTCAACGCTGCTTGTGGAGCTTCCCTCGGCCGGCCTCCTCGTCCTTATAGCATAGTATGGCTGTGGTTGCAGGCTTGCCATGGCCCCCGTATAATGTGTGCTGCGTGGGCGTGGACGTGGGCGTGAGCGAGTGCGAGTGCGTGGTGCGTGTGCCTATGCGCGCGTGTGTGGTGTGTGTGCCCCCTCGAGTGAGTGCGGACCAGACTACCCGGATAGGATGACCGAAGCACAACCGCCGGGTCGTAAGGTATCAACCGATGCGGGGGCCCTCCTAGGCCGAGCCGACGACACTGGCAGAAGGAGAGCAGAATACGAAGACACCATATGCAGAGAAAAAGAGAGAAGGAGAGGCCAATGACACGACTCATCAGACAGGGAATGGACTGTCAAGTGGTCTACGGGGACGGTCACCGACGGGCCCGGCAGTGGTTCAAGGGTGGAGCTCTTGTGTTTGCCGGGGAAAAGAGAAAGAGAGGAATGGCGATAGACCAGCGAGCGTGCGCGCGCGAGAGAGAGGCAGAGAGAGTAGACAGAAAAGGAAAATGACGATCAACTAGGTACAGTATTACTGTAGGCGTGTACTGTGCATAGTTTGTGGCAAGAGACCGGTGATAGGTTGTGAGAGATGAAGAGAGAAAGAGAGGAGGAGAAGAGATGAGATGAGACGAGGTGATGTGATGCGTGCTTGTGTTGGGATTGGGAAGGAGGTTGTCTGCTGGCTCCTATGAAGAAAGTCGAGGACTAGCTATTGGGAGAGACGCTTGAGCGGGAGAGAAAGAAGGAGCAATGGCCGCAAATAACAACAGGCTGCCTGGCTGCTGGAAAATTGTGCCAATTCGGTCATGAAGAGAGTGCGCACTGCCTACTGCTCACTGCCGACTGGACAGCGCAGCCATCATGCATCTGCAGGGGATGGAAATATAGAGAGGGAAGGGGCGAAGACCCTGAGATGCGCTAGACCCGTTCCAACACCGAGGGGGGGTTCGGGGGTTTTTGCACTGTACCATGGTGGTTAGCAGGCGCGGCAGGTACATTTGGCTAACACCTCAAACGTGCTGTCTGCCCAGGTACCCCTTCCGTGCCTCCCCCATCTTGGAGTGATCCTCGTTCCTCGGTGAGCCTTCTAGCCATCGGTGCAGCACAAGAGGCACGAGGCTCAAAACAAACCCCTGCCGACACCATCTTTAATTTCCATTTCAGCATTCCCTCCTTCTCGCTCATCAGCACCTTCACCCGGCCCCCCCCTCGGATTCCCTTTCCCAGCAGCCTGACAGCCTGACAATCCTGTCTGCCTGAATTAGTGTTGTCGGTATGCCTGACAGCCTAACAACCACATCTGTCTCAAAAAGGGTATTTTTGACATATCGATAGGGCATTTGGATAGAGAATCATAAGGCTGCGTCAGGTTTCCTACTGTGCACCTCATCCCACCCATTCCTTCTTCTCTCGATCTGGTGACCGACACACCCAAACCAGCACTGACCAACCTCTTGTCTCTGTTGAGGTCAACGGTGGTGATAATTCAAGAGTCGTCGGTCCAGAAGCCTACCCGTGCATGGCCCGGCCTTTTAACCGGCATCCGGACTTGCTTGGGCTTATCCATCCCAGGTGGAGTCTTTGTGGTCGCTTCGGTGACGGGACAGATTCCCGCAACAAGGAGGCTGGTAGCAACAGAAAGAAAAAAAAGAGAGGTTATTCTCCCCAGGGCTTACACCAACGGGAGAACTTCCCCGTCTTCCGGTACACCTACTATAGCTACAGGCCAAGTACCCACAGTACTACTAGGAGGGACGACGTGCTCACCACCCTGGCCACAAGCGCAACGAACAACCCCCACGTGCTGAGGGTGCCATCCGGAGAGTACATCAAGACAGGACAAGCATAACCTTCATCACCGAAAGAGAGAGAGAGAGACCATGAGGCAGCGTATCACCTTCCTGCACAGGCCGCAGGACGCCGTCGACCCATCGACCTTCAAGGTCCTCGACAGCAGCCTGACGGGCCCAGTCTTGCCCGCAGTGAGGGAGGATCGTGTCACCCTGGCCCTGGACGAGCTGCCGGACGCGCTGCGTCAGGTCCTGCAGAGCTCTCATGAGCTTCACGTGCGATGGGTTAGCCCACACCCCTACGATACCGTGAGCCCGCTCTTCTCGCGCCTCTCGCCCGGGTTCCACCTGTTCTACACGCCTCAGCCAGAATCCCTGGCCCAGGAGTAAGTATAAGGATTTTCGAGCCAGCAGCGGCAGCAGCAGGAGGAAGAATGGATAAATAAATCAATGTATGTATGTGTGCTGATCACTACGCGAATAGCGATGGTCGACTCTGCAAGACGCTGCAGGAGGTCTTTGGTCAGGGCCTGGACTGCAACTCAGCCCAGACCTCCTTCACAACACTCCCAAACGACCGCTTCTCCCACGCCACGGCCTACCAGTACTACTCGCCCCTGGAGTCTCTTAGGCCGCTCATAGCCTACGCCCACAGTACACTCTGCCCACCGCCATCAGCCACCACCCCGGAAGGTTCCTCCTGCGCCTCCCGCGTGGACCGTCTCAGCACTGCCAGCAGCCTTGATGTCTCGTGGGACACCATCAGCCACGCTCTCAAGGTCACTGCCCAGTGGACCTACCAGGACGAGCCCCTCATTGTGACCTCGCCCCTCGATGCGAATAATCATCGCGTCGAGGTTGGCGTGCTGGCCTCGGACCCTACCCAGCACGGTGTCGAGCCCCACGAGATCGGCCTGGCCGGCGTGCTGACGGTCCTGGGCCAGGATAAGAAACCCTCGCCCACGGTCTTCAAGTTCCCTGCCCGTCACCGTCGCGCTGAGGGCGGTGCCTTCACCGCCAGCTTCTTGGAGCCTACAGGCCTGCACCCGTCGCTGCAGCTCCGGCTCAACAGCGCTGCCATCCGGCCCCCGCCTGGCGCTGCCGACGGCGCCTGTGCACTCCACACCCACCTGACCCTTCCGCGCGCCGTCTTCGCGGACAAGTACCAGCTCTCAGACCCCCTCTTTCTCGCAAGCAAGAACCTCAGCGCCCTGCGCTACACCTCCCAGCCCGTCGACCTCGAGGCACCCGACTACGTCATGAAGCTGTGGGGGTCCGCCGCGCTGCTCGAGCTCTCCCTTCCTCCTCCTCCGGAGCTAGAGGCAGAGCTAGGCCTCGACGCGTGGACGGCTGAGGTACCCCTTCACCTCCGCTATCTGGCCCCTGCGCCTGGTGGGTACAGAGACGTCGAGGTGCCCTACCCGGCCGTCTTCTGGGCTTGCACCACCGAGGAAGGGACCAAGTTTCCGTCGAGCCCATTCGAGCGCGTCAATCTGGGGTATGACGGGCTATTTGGCCCGCGTACCGTATTCTGGCACGTCGACCCGCAGCCTGTTGCAGGAGCGGAAGGAGGAGATGCTCGGCTAACGAGTGGCCTCCGGGTGCCCGTCCTAGACGTGGACAGGGCCGGATGGGTCGGCATAGGGACGACGGTTGTCGTGGCCCTTGGATTCGGGTGGATCGTGTGGAAGCTTGTCCAGCTGTACCTCAAGACGGGTTACGGACCTGCCCAGCAAATGGAGGGGTTGGTGAGGAAGAAGAAGGAGCAATAGTTGTGGTAGTAAGGCACGTGCGAGATAGTATGTGAGAGTCTTGATGATGATGATGACGATGGTGATGAGAGATTGCGCCATCTCTCTTCTATATATATAGGCTCATCCATCATGTCTTGCCTAGATCCTCCTCTAGAGCTAAAGCAGAACAACGCTCACCGTGCCGACTCCTTACCAACCCTACTCCACGAATTCTATAGATCTTTAGTCGAGGCCGCATACTCCTTGAGAAAGTCCCTCAGTCTTTTGGGCAGAAGGACTGGCAGGCCACATAACTCCACATGATGGAAATTGGCCTCTCTTTTTGCATGCCTGAGAGCTTCCACGCCCGCGCCCTGCGTCAATGAATGGTGTCTCTTGATAAACAGACACCGTCTAGAAGGCAAAGACCTGGTCCTCAAGCTTGCTGACGGGGCGGGCCTTCTTGAAGCCCAGAGATTCGGTGGTCTTCTTCAGGCCGCTGATCATGGGAGGCGGGCCGCAGAGGAGAATCTTGACATCGTCGGCAGGCTTGGGCAGCCATTTCTGTAGATTACTCATGTTAGCCACACAGTCCTTTCTTTTTCTTTCGGACTTTCGTCCGTGCGAGATAGACCAGAGCACATACCGAGATCATGTCACCAGTGACGTAGCCGACACCGCCGGTCCACCCCTCAGGCGGCTTGTCCAGGACGTAGTGCACCCTGAAGCCCTTGTCCTCCTCGGCGAGGGCGTCGAGGTCCTCCTTGAGCAGGATGTCCTGCTTGGTGACGTTGGCAAAGATGAGGTCGACCTCGGTGCGGTCGCCAGCCTTGCGGCCGCGGATGATGGCCTTGACGACCTGCAGCATGGGTGTGATGCCGGTGCCGCCGGCGATCATGCCGAAGTGGCGCACCATGTTGGGCGTGTACGAGAAGGCGCCCTTGGGCCCGCGGACGCGGATGGGCTGGCCCACGGCCAGCGAGGCGAAGTGCTTGCTGATGTTGCCTGTCGGGTACGACTTGATCAGGAGGTCGAAGTGGCCTGCCTGCTCGTCGCCGCTGATGGGCGTGTACGACCGCACAATCTCCTTGTGGGAGCCATCGGGCTGGGGCAGGACGGCGCCGATCGAGATGTGCTGGCCGATGGGCAGGCCGAGGAGGTGGGACGGGCTGGGGAGGGCGAAGCGGTAGCTATTTACAAGAAGAAGCAAAAAAGATACATGGTTAGTAGGGGCGGGAAGAAGAGGTGACGACAAGCCTCAAAAGGAGTAGTGGTTGGCTCTGAGTTGCAGTAGGTGAGAACTTACATGGCGGTGTTGTGGGAGAGGATGGTCTTCTCCTTGAGCTCAAACTCCTGGAAGACGTCTGGCTTCAAGGATTTCTTGGGTTCTGCAGGGCGTCAGTCAGTCAGTCGCTTGTGAGGTGGCTGCTGGTGGCGATGGTGGTGGTGGTGGTGGTGGTGGTGGTGCCGCCGCCACCGCCGCCGCCTATACTGGTCGGACCTGGCTCGGCATGTTGGGAATCTGCCGTCCCAAGAAGAGAGGCAGAAGATGATGATAAGAAGAGGGATCAACTCACGAGTTCTAATGAACTTCAGGGCGCCCAGCGCGAGGGCCAGAACAATAGCGTACGGTAGCCATTCCCGCTTGACAATGAACGTGCCAAAAACAAGCAGGCCGGCAGGGATGTAAATCCCGTCGACATACTTCTTGGAGGTGAGAGGCTCCTTGGTCGCCATGATGCCGTTGTCTTGGTCGGTTGTGCGTAAAATAGCAATTGATCGTAGACGAGTCTCCAGAACCCTTGAGAGACGATGAGTTCTTGACCCTGAGACCTCGAGGCAAGCTCTGTACTCTTATTTGGGGGAGGAGGAGGCGAGGCGGAGAGGTAAAAGGGAAACAGAGCCTTGGTCCTCGAGTTGAATGTTGAGGAGCTTAAGCCCCAGAAAAAAGAAGTCCAGGGTGTTGCAACGACGGGATCGGAGCTCTTAGCGGGATGCTTGAACCACCCGATCAGGGACCCACGGCCATCTCCGCCGCTACCTTTCTTATTTGGGCAAGGCGGTGTAGGACTGGGTCCCTCGGTATCGCACCCTGCTTTTCCACCTCGAGTCTACATCACCGGCAGATTACGTTTCTGTTTCGAGAGCTTGCATTCACTTTCACTTAAATTAACTTTATTTCAGGTCAGAGCAGGGTGAGATCCTTCTGTATCTCAAAGATGGGCGAGGGTGTCGCAGACGATTCCCCCTTTCCTCTGACGGACGTGGACAGATGGGTGCTCTCACAGACGGACGAGGAGTTCAAGTATCATAATTGGGAGGAGCTGAGGACCATCATTAGTAGGTTGCTGCATCAAAGTTCATTGTATCTGTGACCCAGCGGTTCTCCCCTGCCTGACAGCCTTGATGATAGATACCAACAACCTCTCGGTCTTGAAGCGCAAGCCAAGTGACCTGCGCGCATACATGGCCTGGTCTGCGGCAACCAAGGCCGAATATGGATCCATGACCAACTACCTCCTGAAAAACCGTCTACCCACGGCATGGGGTGGCCTTCCATTCACCCCGATCTCTGAGGTCCCTTTTGCCAATCCATCCGACTATCGAGTGCTGAGGAACGACTGGCCCTACGGCCTCACACCCGACATTACACACATTGTCGTGTGGAGCCGAACTGTAATCCCCACGGACCCCAGCACCGGCGACGTGACCCCTGACAGCAGACGACTCATCTGTGACTTTGTCAAGACATACTTTGTCGACAGCCTTGGTACAGGCGGTGAGGACCGGGTGATGTGGTTCAAGAACTGGGTTTCCCTCCAGTCAGTGCGTTCCCTGGAGCACGTCCACATACTCGTGAAGGATGTGGACCCATCGATAGTAGAGGAGTGGACGGAGGAGCATGACTTCCATAGATAGCACCTCACCAAGAAATCTGTAGACATTCTGTCGAGCCAATGCTCCCCCTCCTCCGCCTGCCCGTGGGACCGTTCGTGACTGACGATCAGGCTGCAGCCCGCCGCTGCTTCCTGTTTCCAGCAGCCGGCGCAGCCTCCTGGCCGCCACCCTGAGCGCCTTGCAACCCCGCCATCTGCTTCGCCTGTCCGAGCAGCCCGTAGCCTTGATATGCTCCATATGCCGGGACGACGGCCCACAGCAGCCAGAACCAGTTCCCAAACAGCATGACCAAGACCTGACAAGCCCAAGTCACCCACACAACATCCCACATATACTCGGTCAGGCCCCTCGCGGCGAGGTCTTCGCCGGATGACTTGAGTGCGCCGGTGCTAGGGTCGAATTTCGGGCGCCCCGCCTTCTCGAGGGCAAACTGGCAGATGAAGCTCGGCAGGGACAGGAAGAAGTAGGCCAGGAGCGAGCGGGATCTGAAGAGGAGGCTCCATGCCAGGAAGAGTCCATTTACCACGGCCGCACCGATGTGTAGGTTGTTGAGGGCCGCAGCGTTGGACTTGGCGCGGTCCTTCTTCGCCTTCTGTGCCATGATGATGCAACGCGTGGACCAGAGGGTGAGACTCGAGGATGGATGGGTGTCTGTATGCGATACGCTACACGAGATCTAGTCGCGTAGCTGGCTCTGCCAGATTTTGATGGAATTGCCCTTATTGAGGCTCGTCTGCTGATCGAGAGGGAGAAGAGCGGTGTCGCTGCTCGTGGTCTTCAAAATCTGTTGGTGTTGTTGTTTGTTGTTGTCGTCTCGAGGTAAGACGTCATGTCATATAAAATAGTATTGTGGTAAGAATGCGAAAGCTGTAGGCGGGGGGCATGCACAAATTTGGAGCTGATAGGTGCTGCTGCGTGTACCTTGTCCTTATTGTTGTGTGGGGTTGGTGCGCTGACGTGCCAGTTGCTTCATACTATAATAATACAGTATGTACTATAGTAATAACCCTCAATTGGGAAGCACACACCCTGCACACACGCCGCGGGCACACAGTAAATCGGATGGCGGGGGGGAATGGGGGCTAACAAATAGCGGGCCAAACGCTGCATGGTTGCAGGCAGGGACAGGGCTGGTGGGGAGCGCAAGCGGTTGCTCCAGCGGCAGAAACGCCCAATCACTTCCTGATGCAGACGGGGTCAAAACATCCAACAAGACTTCACACACGCCCACCACGCACACGCACTTGCCTACGCCACAGACCTCAATCCCATCTCACACCTACTTACTTATGCCGTCGCACCTGCTACACTTCTTCTCTTCTTCACCTTCCGCGGGGCATTTGATTGCTTTCTGTGGCTGTTAATCTTTGCTTGTGTCGGTTGCGTTCATCACTTCTGAGCTGGCATCACAGGCCTCGTATCCTGTGTCTTTCTTGTGACCCCAGGGAGCTGAAACTCGACAGCCCACAACATTAGCATTCCTCTTCCTCTTCGCTGTACTTCCTCGACCATACCGAGGCTCATCAGTGCACCGTGCTTCGGGTGCCTCCGGAAATCCGTACGATCAGTTTCTCAGAAACCACAAAGTACAAAGTAAATATCTCTTGACAACCACGAGGAGGCTCTAAACAACACAAGAGCACTTGCTCCAGTTACTCGACGACACCGACGCTGGGTCTCCTCGCCACCCAGCCCTGCTCTCTCTCTCTCTCTCTCTCTCTCTCTTCCCTTTCCTCAGACCACGACGACATCAAGACCCTAGGTTCTCTTCTGTTCTTGTCGTCTGATCATCCAGACTCTTGGCCACGCGCCTCTATTGTGCTGCGGACTCTTTAATACTCTAGTATTCTGCTCAGACTCCGCGCGATCATCATCTGCATGCATTACAACACCCGAACACCACCGACCTGATCCCACGACCGACTTCGAAGCTCCTCCTTGTTGTTGGCTACCTCCATTTTCGCTCGCCTTGCTGGATCCTTCGCACAAGGGCTAAGATCTCTGAGTCTGGTCAACAGCCAGGTCCGAGACACCTCATGGATCGACGGCACCGGTAACAACACCTACTTTTGTTTGGCCCAAGCCAATGTTGAACATTGACAATATGGCGCCCCTCGTTGCTGCGTCCAACGAGATGCTACAACAAGCTGTATACTACCACCTCGACAACAACTCGCTCGATAATGCTCTCTTCTTCGCTGAGAGGTTAGGCGCCCAGGATAAGACCGCTGAGGCTACCTTCCTCTTGGCCCTTTGCCACTTTCGCTTGGGTGACGATCGGACGGCATACCATTTCAGCAAGGCTGCCGGCTACAGAGGGATTCATCTCGGCTGTTCGTATGTCTTCGCGCAAGCATGCCTGCGGTTGGAGTTGTGGAAGGATGGGATCGCCGCCCTGGAAAAGTCAAGAGGGCTCTGGTCGCCTAGAAACAATATGGGCAAACATACGGCGGGGCTGAGAATGCCACACCCGGACTCGGCGGCGTGCAGCTGTCTGCTGGGAAAGTTGTATCGTGGCTATGACGACAAGACGAGGGCTGTTGCCTGCTTCGAGGAGTCGTTGAAGGTGAACCCACTGATGTGGGACGCCTTCACTACGTTATGCGATATGGGTGTCACAGTCCGAGTCCCAAACATCTTCAAGAGCAACGACATGCTCATAAAAAACTTTGATCAGGTGGCGAACAGCCCTGCTCATGACCACAAGGAGCCATCCTCGAACGCCCTCGAACCCCTCCACGTGCCCAAGAAATCCTCTCGATCGGCTGCCCAGGACCCTGCAGATCCTTTTGACTCATCACGCACGACGGGATCAAATGATATCGTCTCCTTCAGCAACCTGCAGGATGATGGGAACGATTTCATGTCCAAGATCGTTGCTGCCAGGTCGCGGAATGGCAATGCCACAGGCCCATCACCGAATTTAGAGGGGGTCATGGAGACACCCACAGGTTATGCCGTCGGTGCTGAGGCCCAGGCACCACGCGTGGTGACGGGTCCTGAGCCGCCTCATGCGCCAATGCGGAGGACAAGACCATTACAGACTGCTGATCAAGAGGCACCGCCTCGGGTGGCCTATAAGCTGCAATCCAAGAGGAGAGCTCAGGTGCAGGACGCCGCAGAGGCGCCGTCTGATCCGGCACCATCACTCCTCAAGTCCTCATCCATCACGGAGCGAAAGCGGACTGTATCTGGGCAACCAGTACATTCGAGGCCAATGCACACGGATGAGCCGGGAGCCCCCCAGCGCAGGAGTGCGCGGTTGAACGTGTTCAACAAGTCCACCACGAAGACGAACTCTGGCGCGTCTACTGTCGGTGTGACTGCTGGGCGAGAACTGAAGAGGGCTAGAGCGCCAATATCAAATCGCTTCGTCAGATCGAACGCAAGTGTCGGTCGTGTGGTTAGTGGCAACAGACGTGGTACCGAGGATGTGGCGAACATGGATGTCGACCGTCAAGAGGGCCCGACGGCCAAGGCGCCCGTGGCGGCGCAGCGCATGCCGCAGAAACCGCCAGACCCAGAGCCTGTCGGGACCGAGGAGGCGCTAAAGCTGATTCTGGATCTGTTGAGGCGGTATGGCTACGGGTACCAACAGCTCTCGCAGTTCGACTGCCAGGATGCGCTCCAGTCCTTCAGCACGCTTCCTCGGCAGCATCAAGACACCCCGTGGGTGCTGGCGCACATGGGCCGGGCTCAGTACGAACAGGCGGCATATCCAGAGGCCGAGAGATACTTTCGACGTCTGAGGATCATGTCCCCTACCCGCATGCAGGACATGGAGGTGTACTCAACCATCCTCTGGCACCTCAAGCGAGAGACGGACCTGTCGTTCTTGGCGCATGAGCTCATCGACTCTGCATGGTTGTCACCCGAGGCGTGGTGTGCACTCGGAAATGCATGGTCCCTGGCGAAGGACCACGAGCAGGCCCTGCGGTGTTTCAAACGGGCGACGCAGCTTGCTCCCAAATTTGCGTACGCTTATACGCTTCAGGGCCATGAGCACATGGCTAATGAAGAATACGACAAGGCCCTCACTACTTTCAGGCTGTCGATCTTGGCAGACCGGCGCCACTACAATGCCTGGTACGGCATCGGTATGGTGTATGAAAAGCTCGGAAACTATGACAAGGCCTATATCCACTTCCAGGCTGCCTCCCAGATTCACCCTACCAATGCTGTCCTCATATGCTGTATCGGCACTGTTCTGGAAAAGCAGAAGCAAATCAAGCAAGCCTTGGCCTTCTTTAGCAAAGCAACCGAGTTGGCTCCCCGTGCTGCTCAGGCCAGATTTCGGAAGGCGCGTGCTCTCCTGGCTATTGGGCATCTCCCCAAGGCTCAGAATGAGCTCCTCATCCTGAAAAGTTTAGCCCCAGACGATGCCCGTGTGCACTTCCTGCTTGGTAAACTATACAAGGCGCAGAACGACAAAAGTCAGGCCGTACGGCATTTCACTCAGGCTCTGAGTCTTGATCCCAAGGTACATTTTGATCTTTTGTCGTTTTCTTCGTTTTTCTTGGGGGGGGGTTTTTTTTTTTCAAAAAAAAAAAAAAAAAAAGGAAAAGAAAGGGAAAAAAGCGTTTGTCTCTGGAGCTTAGACTAATCTTTCTTGCAGGCGAGCCAGCAGATCAAGGAGGCGATTGAGAGTCTGGAGGACGATGATGGGCTCGACGACTCGATGGTACAGTAATGAGTGAAAGCCACGTAAATGATACTCTACGGTCTTGCTTGTCATGTCGGACGAAAATCGCATGAGCACAACGGGAACAATGACTTATGAGAGTCTGATACTGCGTATCAAGGTCTATCTCTTTTAAGTGCCGGCGTGTGGTGTGTGAATCCAGGTGGGACAAGCAAGCAAGTATGGCATGGAGCATAAGTAGGAACCCCAATATGGAGCATGGCACAGGCGTCTAACATAATGGGATGGGAGACAACGAATAAAACGCAGATGATGCAGGTAGGAATTGTCCTACAGCGATTTCTTTGCTGGGTCTGGTAATTTTTGTGGTTTCTTTTCTTTTTCCCCTCGGGAGAATGGACAGGCAGGTAACTTGGATGCATGGATGCATGGTTGGTACTTGAGACATTGACGACCCCTTCCTGCTGCTCTCTTCTACTGTGTATAGGTACTTCAGCATTGCGTCGGGATGGGTACATTTACATCAATGATGAAGAAGAATCGATGATATCCCGTATGTACAAGGTGCAAAATTCCACCGCGCTATGCCTTCTCCATCTTATTGTCGCTCGTCACACTGTTCGTCGCAAAAGGATTTATACACAAGAATGCTGGAACCACACAGAGTATGTGTGCCCCCCCCCCCCCCCCGCCTCCAAACCCCTTCCTACCAACCCCAATTCATCATGGAGTCTCGGTGGGCACCTCCATGAAAGCCCTCAGTGCGGCATCCAGGTCCGGAATATCACTAGCCGTCTTAGCGATACTGGCCCACCTTACCTTCCCTCCCCTATCGACAGCAAAAGCGCCGCCCGTCTGCCACCGTGTCCCGCTGTCGACAGTTTTGTTCCAGATGCCCTCATTCTTGCCCAGCTGCACGGCGTTGTATATACTCATAGGCCCCACGGCGTGCCAATACGAGCTCAAGCCCAGGCCCCAAGCGGCGTAGAGGTCGCGGTCCTCGTCGACGATCACCTCGGTCTCCCACTCGCCGCCGACCTCGGGGATCCATTTCTCGGTGGCTTCTTGGCTGGAGTGGGAGATGGCTATGCAGGATATCTTGCCGGCGTGCGTGTTGGAGAAGGCGACCAAGTTACGAAAGGACTTCTCTGCGACTGTAGTGTTTTTGGAGGACGGACGGACATCCCTTTTGATTAGCTAGCGGTCCAAGGGGGAAAAGATCAAGTTGATAGCAGACAAGGAATTGAAAAGGGACAGAGGGGGAGAAGAGGAAGAAGAGGGTTTGGTGGGCTTACATGGACAGCCACAATGTCTCAGGAAGACGATGACGGCGGGCTTATCGTGGGGCAGCTTGAGCTTCTCGTGTTCCGGGGCGGGCTCGCCTACCTTTGGAATGGGCGCCACTTCTCTTGGGGGAGGGGACTTGAAGGATTGGATCTCTTTGATGAAGTGATCTTTTAATTCTGCAGCCATAATGTAGTTTGCTTTTGTTCAGGATGGAGAAAGAGAAGTCGATTTGTGTGGTGGTAGTGATGATAAGGATTTTGGAGGGATGATTTGGTGGTTTGAAAAAGGAAGGGGGGGGGGTGGGTTTCAAGTTTTGATATGGATATAAATAAAGTAAAGAAGAGAAGGAAAGGCAAGCAAGTAAGGTTTGTCGATTTGAGATGTACACGACCAAATAATCGTCTTACACGTCGATCACAAGGCGAACGCGGTGAGGACGTGCATGAACCTTTTCGAACCGAACAGCTGTTGAGGTTCCCCACAGTTCCCTTGACCAAGCTCATCCCTGTTGCAGCGTCATCCCGTCGGCATCTCCCGCGGCACTGCATAAAATAATTAATTCTTTTTTAATACGACGACCAGCATCCTGGCATTAGCGGAATCACAGTCATTCTCACTCACTCACTCATTCACTCACGTCAAGGAGAGGCCATCATCTTCATTACCATTCTGACACACAAGATGCATGAGATCATAACCCTCCAGCTGGGCCAGCAGAGTAATTACCTCGCAACGCATTTCTGGAACGCCCAGGTTCGAGCCCTCTTCCGCTGCGGAGCACGAGAAGAAGAAGAGCACACTTTCCCTGACACTGCCTCAGGAATCTTACTTCACCTACTCGGAAAATGAAGAGTCACCCATCGATCACGATGTGCACTGGCGACCCGGCATCGGCGCCGATGGCACTGAGACGTACATGCCGCGGACAGTCATTTACGACCTAAAGGGCGGCTTCGGCTCGCTCAAGAAGATCAACGCCCTCTACGACATCACCGACGGCAGCGAGCCAGGTGCCTCCTCCTCCTCCGCCCCCTCCTCATCGCTGTGGTCAGGGCGCACCGTCGTGCAGAGGGCAGACCCCATCGCCCCCAGCGAGTACCAGCAGTCTCTCGACGCCGGCCTGGAGCCGCCGCGCCTGACGACCGACTCGGTGCGGTACTGGAGCGACTTCAACCGCGTCTTCTATCACCCGCGGAGCATCGTCCAGATGAACGAGTATGAGCTGAACTCGAGCCTCGTGCCCTTTGAGAGGTGGGACACCGGCGGGGAACTATTTGCAGGCCTGGACAGGGAGCATGACATTGTGGACCGCGACCTGCGGCCGTTTGTCGAGGAGGCCGATCAGATGCAGGGGATCCAGATCATGACGACTCTGGACGACGCATGGGGTGGGTTTGCCTCGAGGTATGCTGAGCGGCTGCGGGATGAGTACGGAAAGATCACAATATGGGTCTGGGGCGCACAAGAACGGTTTCAGGGTGTGAGCAGGGTAAGCTTTCCTCTCTCTTTCTTAATCTTATTGTTGCCTTTTGTGATTAGCGTAAGAGTAGCGTCTGGGAAGAAGGAAAGAAAAGAAGGCTGACGCTGCTGTAGGAGAAACGACTCCTCCGCCTGGTCAACAAGGCCAAGTCCCTTGCGGAGCTGTACAAGCAGGCCTCACTCCTCGTTCCCGTCTCCCTCCCGTCCACACAGCCCCCAAGGCTGCGAAACATGCTCTCGCTGGACGCCTCGTCACCATGGCACGCGTCTGCTCTCCTCTCGGCAGCCATCGAGACCGCTACGTTACCATCCCGCCTCAAGGACACCGCGAGCAGGGACGCTCTCGGCACGATCTCGGACATGCTGAACGTCCACGGCAAACAGAACGTCGCCAATTTGCAGATGAGCTTCTCCGATGTGGGTGAGGTACCGCACGCCGCAGATGCGGGTGATGAGCCCAAAGATGGGGTGAAGCTGGACGTGGACTTCCGCCCCGCCGACGAAGTGAGTGATGGGGTGGGGAGGGCGGCGCGCAATGGCTTCCATAGCCGCGCGAAGATGTTCAGCCAGGTGCTGGCGAGCCGCGGCGAACAGGGTGACGACGACGAGGAGGAGGAGGAGGAGGATGGACGCGGGGCGAGGAGGGAGGGCGATGACACACGTGAAAGAGGACGTGGTGGTGCTATCAGCCGAAGGTAAGCTGTTGCCAGTCTATCTACCGCGTCTGACTTCTGAATCACGCTCGATCATAGAAGCTGACTCGTTGTTGATCCTAGGTATCGGTCTACGCTGAACTATCCGCTCCTGGACAGCTTTCCTGAGATATTCAGAGATGTGAAGGGCAAGGTGCTGAAGGACAAGGCTGCCATCACAACATCCCTTTCCACAGATACGGAGCTTTCCGGCAAGCTGAGGTCATTGCGGACAACAGTGACCAGGCTGATCGGCATCGAAGACCGAGAAGACCTCAGCAACGGGCTGGCCGAGATGGCCGACGAGTATCACGAGGGCTGGTCGAGCGGCAGCGATGAGGGTGAAGATGATTGAGGTGTCCTGTTGTCGGAAGGGGATGCATGCTGGTTTCTCCTCTGATGAGCTGGGACGCCATCGAGGTTATGGCCTGCAGGCTGCAAGGCCAAAGAAGGGGGAAGATGCCTGAGACTTTATCACCTGATCCCGTCGAGTGAGAACATTGCACGTTAGTCTCAACTGCGTATCAACTACGGGAGAGGCCTTCACGCGGCTCGTAAAAGCCCCTGCGAGCTCGTCAGGAGTAAACGGTGCCACCAGGGTCCTTAAGTCCTACCCAAGGCTTGAATCAGTATCTCTTGAAGGGGACGCCGGGACTCCTGGGGTGGTATATGGCAGAGCTGGGTGGGTATTTCCTCACCCAGAGTCGATTCCGACGGGCTGTCTCGCCTGCGCCCTGGAAAAATGACAGCTGGGGGATAATCTCCTCAGCTACGTTGTGCAGTATATCAACTGGAGCTCATACTTGGACAGGGACACGTAAAGCTAGGGGTAATGACGCGTTCTCTATGAAACGAGGTGTTCTCATCTGCGAGCCTTGAGAGGCTGGTAATATGTACTAAGAAGTATATAAAAGCCACAGTCAGCTTCAGAGCCAGCTCCATTGGCCGTCTACGCGGTGTATCATCGTTATATGGCCACACTTCCTTCTGTTGCCTGCACAGATCAAAACACAATGCACTACTGTTGGTCTTGTCGTTTGCGGCAAGAATTTGCATTCAACAGCACACCTTGACGGTGTACACACAAACAGGTAGACTGCAAACTGAGGGACATGGAAAACGGTCAATTTTATCGAGAATGGCCTTGCTGGATGAGGATCAAACACCTCCAATTACGATCAATAACTACGGCCCTCCACAATCCGCGTATCATATACCACTCTTTCACATTCCTAGTGGTCAAAGGATCCGTAAGGCATCATCATGTGATATTGCATTCCAGCGACACGTCCGGATGTTACTTCGTGGACTCATGTTCTCGTAAACATTCCATGTTGACACTGAATCCACATACTCATACGATATGAAATGGCTTTGAATAAACTACCGCGCCAGACAATGATGATGTCTGACTTCTTCTTTTTTGTCTCTTTTTCTCCCTTCTTCTAAAGGGAGCGAGGTGAGCACCTGGGCATAGTCAACGACTGAAAGCGCGCGTAGGATAAGGCTGAGGACTGGGCAGCCTCCCTTGCTGAGAAGGTACTGAGACCCCGGCCCTCGTCATTGTGGGTCCTGGCAGGTTTCGTGGGAAAAGTGACATCGTTTACTTGGATCGCGTAAAGTGTAGAAAATTGTGTGTATGCTCTATTCTTTTGCTTTCTTCTGATTCTTTTTAATGTAGACAGATACCTGTTTATTTGGTTTGGATGCTGGATTGGAAATGCTTGCCTGTGTTTGTGTTTTCTTTTGGAGTAAAGGAAAAAAAAGAGAAGGGAAAGGAAAAAGAAAGGAAAAAAGTTTCAGAGGTGAGGAGGAATAATCCTGGCTGCCGCGGGGCCGTTCCTGCGTCTTTTCAGTGGGTCTCGAGTCATGTACTCCAAGAGTATCATCGCACACTCTGCTAGAGCTGGTCTACCTCCAAAATACTTCTAGCCCCTAAGGCCAAGTCCCCACCGCAGCCGTGTGGAATTTGGCAGGTGGTGACTTCTGGCACCCCACCCCAGCCCACGGCAAGCTCAGCAGGGCGTGTTCCAATTAACGCGAACGCGGATTTGCATCATGACCTTTTTCTTTAGTTTGCTGCTGGCCTTGTCATTTTGCCTTGCCTCGTCCCGCCTCGCCTGGCCTCGCACTGCACCACACCTGTCTGCACTGCACTGCCCTGCCTCAGAATCTGGCTGAAAGAAAACAAACCAGATCAGCCACCAACCTCTCTTTTTTAGCCCTTCATTATCCTCCGAGCGTCCCGGCCCCTTGGATCTTAATCCAGCCTTTGTTCCAACACTCCTACTACACCGAGTCCAAACACCTTGACTGTCTCTGTGTGTTCTCTCACCTGCGCAGCCATCATCTTGTCCGAGGTATGACCATCCCGCCCCCCCCCCCTCTCCAAACTCGAATTCATGACTCTTGTCAGCATCAATCCTTCTTGTTCATGCGCAGTACAGTACCTTGTGTGCAATCCACCACATCGAATGGGCCTATCCTTTGTGGAGGGAACACCATGTCACCCAAAAGCCCCATCACGCATTGCCAAACACTCTCTTTCCTGAAAGCGTTTGCCATTAGAAACTAAACCACTAGCAGAGTACCGTAACCGTCGAAGCCATTCCACGCCAACGTCAATATTTCTACTACGGGTCCAAACCAAACCAGACCAGACCAGACCAGACCAGATCAGACCAAAACCAAACCAACCAACTCGCCGTCTCCGCATCCCTTCGCGCGCAAACTTTCATTATTTACCATCGCGCACACCCCTCACCATCCCACCCACCGTCATCATCATCCTCTCCTGCGCACCTCCCGACGCCCCGCCATCAACCATCGAATTAAGAATACCCTGCATGTCCTGGCTGCTACACCTCATCTTACAGCACGTTGTTGGATTACAAGTCCTTCAACATGCCTAGCCCTGGAAAGCGCACTCAACGCGCCCAGCGCGATTCGACGCGCAAGGAATTGGTTTCAGACCGTCCTGACGATTCCTCTCCCTCGCGCCCCGCCAAGCGCAGAAAGAAGGTTGGTCGCACTCTGCAGGACAACACCAAAGTCATGCTTTCATTGTGTGCCTTGGTTGGCGCATTCTCAAACAAACACATACACACACCCACACACAAGATGTACTAATTCACATTGTCTGTCTTCCTGTCTCTAGGCCAACGAACCTTCGCCTTCTCCAAGAGATATTGCAGATGACGAGCCCGAGTCTAGCATTGCCCAAGATTCTAGCCTACTTGCCGACGACTCTCTAAATCATGCGAAAGCCTCTGACCTGGTTGTCGACAAAGTCAGCGAACACCTGCTTGCCCCTCAGAACCAGCTCGTCCAGGCAACCCAGGACCACTCCAATGCACGACTCAGCGGCGAGGATGGTATCAATGCCTTCGCCAAGATTGTCGGACTTGGTTGGACCTTCTATGTAAAAAAAACCACCATCAACATTGGTCGCTCCTCAGATCCACCGCAGCCCATCGATCCGGACGATGACGAAGAATTTATCCATATCGATCTCGGACCCAGCAAGATGATCTCCCGCCGTCACGCGAGCATCTTCTTCAGTTCCGAGTATGATAGTGGGAGATGGATTCTCAGGGTCAAGGGAAGGAATGGCGTGAGGCTCAACATGAGTGGATTGCCCTTGGATGCTGTAAAGCCTTTGGGTAGCGGCGATGTGCTCGAGATTGCAGGCATTGAGATGATGATCGTTCTGCCGGAACAAGAACCTCTAAGGATACACGAGACCTATCTGCGCCGCGCTGGACTGGCCGAGAAGGACCTCCCCGACTCGGCCCGTGCCAATCTTCCAGTCTCGGCGGCTGGGAGGCCGTCGTCTTCGCAAAGCCCTCACCAGACCAGACAGGCTCGCGGACAGCAGACCCTCGCGCCCGCTCCGCCAAACTACAAGCGCCCGGGCACGCCACCGTCGAGGACCAAGTACAACCCACATGCCAAACCATCGCCCAGCAGACCGACCACTGCGGGCAGCATGATCTTGAGCACGAACGACATGGACTTGAGCCTGGACGAGAACAAGGGTATCAAGCCTCAATACAGCTATGCTCAGATGATCACCCAGGCCATCATGAGCACCGCAGAAGAGAAGCTCAACCTGAATGGCATCTACACTTACATTATGAACAACTATGCCTATTATCGTAATCAGCAACCGTCGGGATGGCAGGTGAGTGATCTCAGTCTGAGCACTGGATGAAGGAGAAGGGTCCGGCGCGCATTACTGACATTCATGGCAGAACTCAATTCGTCACAACCTTTCTCTCAATAAAGCCTTCGAGAAAGTCGCAAGGTCCACCGACGAGCCTGGAAAGGGAATGAAATGGCAGCTCACCACCGAGTGCCGGGACGAGATGGTCAAGAATGCCTGGAAGGGAGGCCGTGGTGGTCACCGTGGATCGTCGAACCCGTCTTCGCCGAACCATCTCAACTATATTACCCAGGGCCCGCGGGATATGGCTGCCAGAGAGCCCAACTCGGTTCGGAAGCGCAGAGTCTCGCCGTCGGGATCCCCTCAACCTCGCTCGACATTACGCCTGTCGCACATGACGCCTGACCGCACCCGACGTCTCGAGCCAGACAGCCATGCAGAGATTGGGGATGGCAGTCCCCTGCCGCGCCATCGACAATCCGCGACGGCTTCCAATGCCATGGACGAGGCCCCTCCGCGATCGCCTCTCCTCACCTCTTCGTATCTTCAGGAAGACGGTGCTTCGCTCGTCACTCCTGCCCCCCTCAAGGTGCATCCTCAGCTCGTGCCTCCCAGCACCCTCCAGCGCCCCAGCCAGCACATGCCGACGTCTTCACCGGCTCCTTTTTGGAAGTTCGCAGAGTACGGCAGCACGCCCATCAAGCCCTTGCTCGATATCAGCCCGTCGAAAAACCTCGGGCCCATCCCCCCGAGTAGTAGTCCACCTCGGGCACTTAAATCACCAGCCGGCAGCCCGACACAGAACAGTCGCCCAGGAACTGCGGCAACGCAGGATACCCTCAAGTTTGAGGATGCGGAGGACGACGAGGAGGGCATTGACCTCACAAAGTAAGTCCAAATTACGTCCCCAAATGGAGTATCGGAGTAGAAAAAGAAGAAGAAAATCGATTGCTAACAGATTTTTATAGGGGTTTCCAGAGCATCAGCTCTTATCATGAGACGCTGAATGCATCCATGTCCAAGAGCCAGTCGTTCTCGTCCGCCAACGGGAGCAAGGCTTAGACGCCACGATTGTTTTCTGTCCACCAACCCGGGCGAGACTTAGGCGCCGGGCACCCCCTGGCCTCGCGGTCGTCGTGAGGGCGATCTTTTCCCGTGTCGCGCCTACACAGCCTGTGACAAGGCTGCAACAAGTATGTAGTACTTTCTTGTATTCGTTTCTCTTTTGTCAAATGCCTGCCATTATCATGCTCGATTCGTCACTTTTGATTGTCTGCATTGAATTCCTTCAATGGCGTTAGGTGGAGAATAGCCATGCTGGTGGGTACTCAAAAACCGATTCCCAGGCGTTCAGGGCAAAATAATTGAGTTTGCTCTTTGGTGTGGTGATATAGCCACTACGATTATGAAGCATGCTTTACGTGTAATTAGGCCTCCGGTTTAGAGGCACAAGATACCTCCTGAACAACGAAGGACAGACGGGACAATCTTTGGGTTAGGAGGCTTACAGTCTTTTTGCCTTGAATGGATGAAATTTGTTTTTGATTGAGAGTAGGCTGCGGGAAGTTGTCAGGTCTGGGCGCATTCTGGCTGCTGCGATGAGATCTCAGGGGGCGCAAGATATAGAAACGCATAGTTTTGGGTGCTCGTGTCCTGAAAAGGCGCACACATCTACGCGCTTCATCTAGAAAGAATACTGAGAATTCATCACTGCTCACGGCCCATGTCCTGAATTATGTTCATCTGCCAGGTACGGCTCGTCTCATTAGGGCAAGCGTATGATAGAAATGTGGGAGTGAAGATGTTTTATTGTAACCAGGATGCTGATCAAACCAACCAACCACCCAACCCTCCCCCCCTTCGAAAAGCGCCATATTTTACTTTTTACTTTGTTTTTTTGTGCCGCCCCGCTTGTTTGTCTACGATTGTAGTACAGTCAACGTCTTTTCTTCCTTCTCTCCCTCTTCTCCTAGACCGTTTTGTTTTTGTACAGGCTTCCAGACACACATACAAACATAGAACAAAAGTCGGGGCAAAGAGGAAGGGAAGAAAAAGGAAGAAAGACCCGACTCGAAAATGTGCCCAAGTACGCCGACCCATGATGCTTGATGGTGGTAGTGGTGGTGGTGGTCATGTACAATGGCTTGCTCCGCCCATTGGAGCTAAATAGCAATAGCCACACTATCCAGCTCAAACCCCCAATTACATGCATGCCCTCTTTTTTCCCTTCTCTCCATCTCCTAGTCCATCCTCCCTCCCACCTTCGTTTTTTTTTTTCTTTCCTTTCTTTCGGAATGGCGGGACACCTCATCCAAATATCATTCTTTGATCTTCAAGCGCCGAGAGCGCGGTCGACAGACAGGAGCCTCCTAAGCCTGGGACGAGACCTGCTGTCCATTTCCGCGCCTCTTGGGATTCTTGCTGCCGGTCTTCTTGCTGCTGCTGCTGCTGCTCTTGCTCTTCTTGTCGGTACCCTCGATGAATTTGATAAGCTCGTCGATGCTGCGCGAGTCCAGAGCCGGCTTCTTCTCGACCTCGTGCGAGGCAGCCGTGGCGGAGGATGAGGCACCAGCACCGGTAGCGGTGGCAGCGACACCGCCGCGCGAGGGCAGACCTCGGGGCGTGAAGCGGATGCCGGCGCGCAGCCTGCGTGCCTCCTGATCCTTGTTGTGCTTGGCGATGGACACGGCGTTCTGAGTGAGCTGCTCGAGCCAGGACTCAGCCTCCTTGGTGTTCTTGTCGTTGGGGCCGAGCTCCTGCAGGAAGATGTTGAAGGACTCGCGCATGCGGACGACGGCGCCCTTGGAATCATTGTCAAGGGCGAGGGCCTGTGCGAGCTGGAACTGCAGTGTAGCCGAGTTGATGCTCTGCTTGCCGAAGATCTTGTCGCAGATGCGCAGGGACTCCTCAAACCAGCGGCGCGACTCGTGGTAGGCCTTGAGGTGCTGCAGCATCACGGCGGCGTTGTTGATCGTAGTGATGGTGTCTGGGTGGTCGGGCCCGTAGATTGTCCTCCACAGCTTGAGCGCGTACTTTGAATACTCCAACGCTGTGCGGCTGTCGCCGAGCTGGTGCAGGAACAGACTGAGGTTGAGGTAGTCCAGTAGGGTCTCCTGCGAATCAACACCAATGGTGCGCTCCGCAACGAGGATGGCCTTGCGCGCGAGCTCAACGGCAGCCTCCTTCTCGTCGATCTGGAAGTAGATCATGGAGAGCTGGTGGTAGATGCGTGCCACCTCTGGGTGCAGGATGCCGTGGATCTGCTCGTGGAGAGACAGGGACTCGAGCAGGAGCTCCTGGCCCAGCTTGCGCTGGTTCTGTGCAATGGAAATCCTGCCAGCCTCCAGGGCCTCATCTGCCACAGAGCTGCGGGGTGCAGAGTCCTTGACAATGGGCACAATGTTGACAATGTCATCAACAGTGAAAGTATGAGGTGCCGTGGTGGAGTTGGCAGAAGCAGGAGAGCCATCACGGGACTTCTTCTTCTTCTTCTTGCTCTCGCCGTTGCCATTCACAACAGGGGCCTCAGCTGCGGGCGGCGCTGGAGCTGGAGCTGCTGCTGCCGCTACCGCTGTGAAGGCGTACTCCTTGTATTGCACCTGAAGACCGAGCTTCAGGCACACCTCGCGCAGCACTTGCACGTTGCTGAGCTGAGTCTGCCACTCGGGCTCAAGCTTGTACCTGAACCGCTGGTGGGTCTCGCTCTCGATGGCTGTCCTCAGGCTCTCAGGCGTGACACTCTCAAAGGCCAAGTCGGCATCGCTGTAGAGGGAGCGGAGCGACTGGTCGATCTCGGCAGTTGGCTTGGGGTTCAGGCCGCTACCGAGGAAGCAGTTGAGGAGGTGAGAGATGCAGGGCGAGGTCAGAGGCAAGGGCAGGTACTTCAGGTACTTGGAGGCGATGTGCTTGAAGGACCGCACGACCATGTCCCGAACGCAGATGTCCCGCATGCTCTGCAGCCGCGATCCCTCGCTCAGGGTTGCGATCTTACCCAGGTATCGCATATTTATACCACGCTTGTGGAGCAGGTTGCGCAGCGAGGCACCGTCCATGGGGAAGCTGGCGTCAGAGTCCCTCAGGTCGTTGAGGAGCTCTGGTATGGCTGACTCTCGGAGGAAGGCGCACGCAGCACGAACTTCTTGCTCATCAGCTGCCATCTCCTCCTTCTCAGCATCGGTTTGTGGGACCTGGCCACTAAACACATCTGGGTTTAGGGCAAACTTGAAGTCGCTGGCATCAATCCGATCGTCCTTGTCAGCCTCCTCCTTCTTGACAACCTCGCCATCAGCCTTCTCCTCTTCAGCCTTCTCTTCAGTCTTCTCCGTCTCCTCCTGCGAGGCCTCGACTGCAGGCTTCTCCTTCGACTCTTCTGATGATGCCTTGTCGTCCTTCTTGGCCTCTGCACGCTTGGCAATCTCCGCGTTCAGCCACTCTCGCATCTTTTGCCGGTGGAAGAGCTCAACAAGTTCACCCCGCAGCATAGTCATCCGGTGCGGGTAGTCATTGGTCTCCTCAGCGGCCATCTCGTCGAGCCAGATGGCATCCAGTGGGGTGATCCGGTAGAGGTCCAGCACGTATTTCCGACCATCGGTTCCCAGAAGACCCTTGGTCTCAACGCTGGCCTCCAGGTCAAAGCGCTTGCCGTCCTTATCCCATACGGCATGACTCTTGACCTTCATCGCCTGAGAGAGCTTCTTGAAAGGCGCGGCGAACTTCTCGTTGGCGGCGACGACCTCCTTACCATCCACAGCACCGTAGTCGATCTGGTTCTCACCAGGCTCCCTCTGCTTGAAGATGCCCGGGACAATGCTCTGTCCAACAATGCGCTTTCCAAGGTAGTCCACGACCACAGTGCCGGGTGTGTGCAGACCCTCGATATCCAACTGGTTCACTGTTCTCACACCGAGGACGTCCTTACCCGTGGCCACTCGCGCTGCCTCGTCACCGCCTTCCGAGGTGAACGTGCCGACACCATCAGCGCCAAAGGAGAAAAATACGTTGTTGTACACGAAGATTTGGGCATCGGGTCCTTCGGTAGGGTTAAGAGGCGCAACCTCGCCACGAGCCACCATCACAGCCGCCCTGGCCGCGGCCTCGGTGTAGTCGGCATAGAGCTTCGCCAACAGACGCTCCCTGAAAACGCGATCCTGCATGTTCTCCTTGGGCAGCTCCTTAGCAGACTGGAATTCCTCGTTCCAGTCGCGCAGGGTGTCAGTGCCCTCGATACCAGCAATGAGGAAGGTCTCCTGTGTGCGGGTAGCATCGGGGCTGTGGGCGCAGGCCGGAGAGGACATGGATGGGACAACCCATGGTGCGGCAGGAATGGTGTTAGCGATCTGGAAAGTTGCCAGAGGTTCTCGGCGGTTGCTGTACTCCTGAAGCTGTGCAAAGGACTCGTTGAACGAGGGCGAGATCTCCCCGAGCAGGGTCAAGAGGGAGTGAGCAGAGGCGCCTTTGGGAGCCTGGCGGGGGAAGGGATCGAACTTGGCGTTCGAAGACTTGTTGACGTAAAATCCTCCAACGTGCGCGGTGATCTGGAACTGCTCGCCCTCGTTGGTTGTCACGACCAGGTAGAGCAGGTGGCCCTTCTGGCGGAGGTGTGCGGGCGGAGGGTTCCATGGCGAGACAGAGATGGCCTTCACGGTCTTGGGCGCCGGATCTTGTTCTGCGGGAAGCAGGGCAGAGAGCGAGGGTACGGTGTTGAAATCATATTCCCCAATCGCCGTCTGCTCCTGGTTTGTCTTGTCCAACACATCCCCACACTCGGCAGCAACCTTCTCGAATAAGGACAGTCCAGGAAGGATGCCCTGTATCGCATCGGTGCGGTCTCCTGATGCGCCGATAAGCTCCCGCACCCTGACCATGTGTAGCCTTGCTTCTTTCTCGGTGTAAGGGTCCTCGACCAGGCGCAGCTCGGAGCCGGCGCCAATGTCCTTGATTTCCGACACGGGGATGAAGTCGTTGATTCGCTCGCCATTGTGCTCGAGGTGGAAGCAGGAGTACTGCAGGGCTATCGGGAACTCGATGATGGCCTGGCGGACCTCGTGGACCTGCTCTTGGGGTGAAACCTGCAGTGTTGCGAGGATAGTCAGCCTTTGTAGACTACGGAGAACTGCTTCACACGGGTTCTCATGCTGACCGTAATTTCCAATTTGCCGGGCTCATGAGGCAGGACAATCGTCAGGGTGTAGGTAGCATCTGTCAAGAAATCCAAGGGTCAGCTAGGGAGTTCGCAGCAGTCGAAGAACGTCACACGACCCGGTGACGAGATCGCGGGGCCGTTCGCCCAGTCCCATGTTCACAGCTGCATACCTTCTTGAGCTTCCTCCACTCCGTCCTCGGCGGTTGGGGTTGCACCTGTGCCGTTAACCTCTACAGACTTGGTCTCCGGCACAGCCGATTCTGTAACTCGAGCTATTGTCAGTCCTCTTGTGACCTTGTCGTGTGCCCTCTGAGGAGAGACACTTTTCTTTCTCTCTCTTTCGGTGGGCCGTACCAGCTGGGGCACTCGTCTCCTTGGATGCATCGGCCATGTTTGAGATTTTCTTCCTTAGAGGATGCTCAGGTCTAGAGTATATTTGTGATCGTGTGGCCGTCTAATTGACTGATTGGTACGCCGTGGGTAACAATAGGTGCGAGGGTTATCCAGTCGAATCTCGAGACGACACCAGAGGAGGAAGTTAATTTTTTTCTAAAGCCCAGGAACGTGCTGGCCTGAAGGCCAAAAAAAGAGTGAACTGAGGTCAAGAAAGGAATTGAGATAATACAAGAGGCCCCCGTCCACATTGAGAGAGAAATTTAGAAGGCCAATTGGGTAACGTCGAGAGGAACGTCAGAGCATTTGGCGACGAGGAAATGGTGAAAGATGGGGAATTTCCCACTACAACCTCGATACCTACGTCGACGATTTCAAAAAATTCTGCGCTACCCAAGGTTCATGCTCGAGAAAATCCCGGCGCGCGCATTCAGCGCGCCCCGGCCATCCCGGCAAACCTGTCCCGCGATTGACAATGCCTGCCGGGGCAAAATGTACAGCGCATTTGAGACTGACAAGGTACCAGGTACCCCAGGGAGTATGATGAACAAAGCCCTCAAGAATGTTCATGACGGAAGCAGAAAAAATGAGATTTCACGGCTGTAAAATATATTTTCGATTCTCATGGAATATACCATTCTAGCCATACGAATGGAACCTCTTATTGGTATAAACATTCTCCAGAGTCTCACTGTAATGTGACCTTGTAGGCGTCTGCGGCCTGTCACACTCAAAGTACTGGGTACTGCCGTAGTAGGTAATGCCTTGAAGCACAGCTGGGCAAATATCCATGTTTCCGGTTCTCGGTTGCTGTGGCAGGGGTCAGTCGTGTTTACTTTGGCACTTGCTTCATCTTTCCACACACACACAGTCACCATCACCAATTATCTCATTACCGGTTTCGCTTCTTGCTCAGAAATGCATCGATAACACCCTGTCTCCCTTCCATTGGACGAGAACCTTTCGACAATATCGCTAAAGCCTGCCTGCCAGCCAGTCTGCCAATGGAGTAGTCAGCTTCCAGAGTTTGCTTATTATCACCAGCACTTTAGCATCATCAAAGGAAGACATTGGATATGTACTCATTGCATACTCTCCATTCTTCTTCTTCTTCTTCTTCATTGCTTGAAAACACAGCTTCCAATGGACCACGGCTACCAGCTACAGCACGGGAAGTGCAACCCTGGACAACAACTCGGTGTCATCGCCTGCTCCGACCGCTCAAGACTCACATCTCTGCATTGAGGCGGGAGGTTGAATTGGAAAATGCCGAAGGTCTCAATGACGAGGCTACGGGGATGACTGGGGCGTTGGGTACGGTCATAGGGAGGGTCCAGCACACCTACTCGAGAAGGGGACGGAAGGCAACACAGCCAAACCCAGCAGCAGAAACGCCCAAGGCACCCAAAGCCAGGAAGTTATCCAGAAAGCAGACCCTTCAACCTGGAGAGATTGTCCTGCCCACACCACTCATTCGCCGTGCCAGAGGGCAGCAGCAAATGTCTTCGCCATCTCAACGACCCCCACTGCCGGCGCAGTCTGGAGAACACAGACGCTGCAGGAGAACACGTGATCTCTGGTCCTCTGGCAGTCCAACATCGACCTCTGTCATCTCAGCTCTGGAAATTGAAATGCTGCCCCTGCGGAGTCGCATCTCATCCACAAGATACTCACTCTACGAATCAATTCTTCGAGCGTTGCATGCACTGCTTCTGGCAACTGCGGAACCCGCCGCGACAACCACCATGATTCGTGCCCCCGGCACTCGGTCTCTCATGGCGATGTGCCTGCGAAAGGTGCCTGACTACATCGGCGAGCTGGAGGACTGGGAGGAACGACAGGCTGAGGAAGAAGGCACCAAATCTTCTCTACGAGTGTCAGATGTCTCTAATGAAGTCTATGGCGCCGTCGAGCAGTTGCTGCGTCCAGGTCATGGATGCCCGCAGCTACGAATCGTCGCGAGAGCTCACGGCATGAAGGTGGTCAAGGATGCCCTACTTGACGGCCTGCTGGAGGATGGCTTCTCTCACTTACTCGTCCAGCTATGTGCCAACATGAAGGCTAGCCTAGAGGTTGAAGAACTGCTTGCGATCATCGTCGACCGGCAATACCCTAAGCCCAAAGGTATCGGCAGCACGTTCGACGAGAGTCGGAGGCTTGCGCCATTGAAGGCGTTGCGCAACTTCGTACAAGGGAGTGGCCGGTCTCAATACATGCTCAGGCAGCTCTCTGATTTACTGTCTCGGCAACAGCTTCCTCTGAGTTGGTTGTCCACCGCAGAGTTTTCGTCCATATGGTCCGGCATTATCAACACCCTTTCCTCTGGCAACCAGGTTTGCGACGACACAGTATCTTTCGCTACTCACATGATCACAACGCTGGCCTCTCAGGCCAAGATGATAGCCTTCATCCTCCGGCCGGAAGCAAACGACCTGAAGAGCTTATCACAGCAGACTTTGCTCAGCGCCACCACGGCGATGGCCTCATTACCATTGTTGCACCAAGAAGCTGGAAATATTTCACAGCATATTACTGGACAGAACAGTCTATCTACTATATCCAGGAGAGTTGGACATGTCATTCATGCATGCATATACGAGCTGCGGAGAGCCAGAAAGTCAGGCTGGATAACGACAGTCCTCCGCCTAGCAGCATACTTTACGAGTAATGCCCATGACGGCTCCAAATACACAGATATACCAGAGCTGTGGAATCGCATCATACAGGGCCACGCCAAGAGAGATGGGAAGCAGCACTACGAAGCAGCAATTGCACTGATCTGTTCCATAGCGCAATGCTGCGGCCGTGGGGTCTCGGACCCGTCGCATCACTACCTTATCAGACTGTGCGACCGACTCGACAAGGCCGCAGAGCTCGAAGCAGGCATGTCAAGAAGCCTGAGGATTAATTGCGCTTTCTTACTGGCCGAACGAACAAACGATCTGCGAGATCTCGCCTTCGCCGAATCGTTCGACCTCAGACGGGCGTCTCAACATAAGCCCAGTTCATTGTCATCACCATCTTTATTAGTTACAGGCTTCCGCTGGGATGAGGGTATCTCAGAATGGGTGACGGAGACACCAGCCGTGCGAAAGCGGTTCTCGAGACAATTCTCAATGGAGATGACCAGCTCAGATTCAAACGTCGAGACCCGCCGCCGAAACGTAGACGACGCAACTGATGGCGATCCACACTCCTCCCCCTTGGGTAGAGATTTCAAGGACAACCCCTCGACCAACCAGAGTGGCCTTTACAGGATGGAGCCGAGGCAAACCCGAGCTACTGCTCGTGCAGGCAACAGTGTCCGGCAGAGCACAATCGAGCAGCAGTACCTCATGCGAGGATGGAAGCGGGGTGCGGCGATGGCTGGACTCCTCAGCCTGCAGAGCGATGATGACGACCTGGAGGATCAGTGTGAGGATCAGGTGGCGGGCAGGCAGAAGGAGTCATCTACAAGCCGTCAGCAGCAGCAGCAGCAGCAGCGGCGCTGCAGCAGTGGCAAAGAGAACACGAACACGGTACCCGGCGAGGGCCGTCCTCCTCCTCCCAAGCGGCGGCGGCGGGTGTCGGCCTTGAGACCACGTCAGTCGGTACTCACGAACATTACTAACGTCGGTCCCGATGAGGAGAGCAGCGACGAGCTTGGCCTCTAAAGGTGGTGCGGTTGTTGTGCGTTTGAGCCTGGGACCAGAGTGGACACAAGGCGGGACCGTTGCTTGCTTCAGACGGTAATTAATATGGTGCGATGTGGCCATACTGATGAGCAAATAAAGGTAGAAGGTTTCGACTGTGACAAGGATAGAAATAGAAACGCATAGAGAAGTATTCCCGAGGAGGAAGAAAAAGCTGTGCGCGGACAGACAGAAACGCATTGCGTTCTGTTCTGTTTCGTCTCGTCCTACGTTTTTTATTTTAGGCTGAGCTTACGGCATAAGAGAGCCAGTTTAGATGACAAGACAAAAAGGCAAGGCTTGGAAACAAGAAGAAGCCCATTCAGGGGCGGGATGGATCCCAATGGCATGGTTTGGGCGTGAGAACAAAACCATCCCTCGTCCATCCTTCCCTGGTTCTTAAACAGTCTTCTTCTAAACAATCAATCAGCATCCTGCGCATATGGTTCGATGGGCTGTTCAGCAAGGCAGGCAGGCAAAACGCCTTGGCATGGAATGTGTGTGTGTGTGAATAGTTTCCAGCTGTGTCAACCCCCCTCCCTATTGATCAATATTGTTTGAGGGTAATCCAAGCAAGTTCCCAAATGCCGACAGATGTTGTTTGCTTCCTGTGTCGAGTCGGTGGGGAAGACATTGTTGACGTGGACAGCGATGAACGCACCAGCTGGGCTCTTTGGTTGCACCTTGCATTGGAGGAGAAAACCCTTGTCTACTGCCACGTTTATCGTTTCTTTCTCTCTTCTGTTTTCGCCTGATGCAACACAACACACACACTCTCTTACCATAGTACATACGTACGTACATGTCCTGCAGCGGCGCCTCGCCGAGGTTTGAAAGAAACTTGGAGGTGCGGCTTGGGCTGTCGTTCGTCGAGTTGTGTGGCCCTCCCCAACCCTCCATCTCCTGTGAGGCTCGGGTGAACTGCATTGGCTCCAATGCAGAATCCGAAACGTGACGTGAACCGGGGGGGGGGGGGCAAGAGTAGTTTTGGGGGGCGGCCTGGGTTACTACCATAGCAATATTACAGCACTAGGTTATGTACAGTACGTACGTAGCATCTGTAGCCCGCGTAACCGAGACCCGTGCGATGGATGATTCTAGGTTGAGTGGGCATTTAATGATTAGCTATGGCCAGCGGTAAGACGGGCCATTTGGCATCAGTATGCTGTTGGTGCTATGTGAAGAGGAGAAGGAGAAATGAAGGGCCCTGGTAAGAAAGTATATGAAGGTTGATGGTGATACACTTCCGAGCCCTGCAATTCCGATACTGTTCTGCCTCGAGAGCGTCTAGGATATTCGAAAGAGAAAAAGAACAAATAGTTGGTCCCGGGCGCCCAATCCCGCTGACGTATTCTTGTTATATGAATGCACTTAACCGCCCGCCCAGCGACCTAAGTTTACGCCGAGGGCATCGCCGAGGAGTCAGGATGACGAACACAGGAGGGAAGAAACTTAAAAATAAGCCCATCTGAAGTATCATCTGAATGAATTGTTCTTGTCCCCAAGGGAACCTTCGGCAGAAGGATGTTTCAGCGCCATAAACGTCTCTTTGGCGCCCGCTGACGCTGTTTCGAAGGCGCAATGCGGGATGTGGTTCAGACAAAACACTTATGTTTTCGGTCGACGTCCGAAGTCAGGCAGGGAGAGATGGATAGAGAGAGATAAGAAAAGAAATGACAGCTTTGTTCAGATGGATGTTGTGGTTGTTTTGAGACGCCCAGAGTTCTTTCGTTTCGCTGGTGGGCCTGGGCAGGGCACCGTTTCGCCCGCCCCCCCCCCCCCCCCGCGCCCCAAAGGATTTCTTACCTGTTATTGCCGTTCTTCTTTACACTTCCCGCTTCGGACCAGACGACGGACCTCTCTGCACAATGTTGGTCAATCACGCCACTATAGGAGAGAGAAGGAAGAGGGCGCTTGGATGTCTCGACGGTTGACGTCTCTGATGCATATCGGGTCTTACGATTTAGGTTTCTCCCACCTGCACCGTGGTTGTTTCAATTAGAAAGGCAGACAAGCCTCTAAAATTGACGGGCTTCCCATTCTGGCATAGTCCTGGACGGCATACCATAGTGACAATCATAGCATTACCAGCAGCGTGTATCGAGCCAAGCAGCAGGTCTCGTATATTGTAACGAGCGCAGGCCCTTGGTGGCATTGGACCCATTTGTTTATACTGTGGTACCCTTCCATCCCCTCCCTCGCAATATGAGGCCCGAACGTGGCTTTCATGGATCATCAGCTCGGTATGGCACCGGGCCCAGGTCTCTCGTCGTTAACAAACGGCTCGTATGCACGCCAAATCCTGCATATATTAGTTACGGATGATGGAATCGTCTAGATACACTCTCTCTGCCCAACCACCCCAGCCCGCCAAGACGAAAACAAAAGTTATTCCGTCATTATAATCTTTTGTGGGCCGTTTGTGGCAGGTTGCACTGGTGGCGTAGATACCGTCTCGGTTCCCCCATCCTGCAATTGGAGCCCTTCAAGGGGGACGTGTTTCTTGCGGCTCAAGAAGAAGGGCAAAAACACCATCATGCTTGAAAGGTACCCCTGTGGTTCTGGTCGTGAAATGTTCTGACACCAGGGCGACACGATGGAATTAGTGCTTTGAGCCGATCTCTGAGAAGCATGACTAACCAGCGACATCGCATCATACATGCACTCGATTCCGATCCTCTTTGTATCTTTGCATCAAGTGGTACTGAATCTGACGGGCTGATGAGATCCGAGATTTCAATAGATCTATATTACTACATAGTAGCTGGTATAATTAAGATCTGGACTCCAGTATGACGGCAAGGTCTCATGATTTTGTTGACAGTCCCGAGAACCTGGGGAATCCATCTCCACGGGAGCCTCCTTCTTTGAACGAGCATTGGGGTCGCAGTGGGTGATGATGCATGGCAGACGGCATCACGGCCAACGACAGCCGAGAACGAGAGTCAAAACAGCTTTCTCCGCAATAAGAATGGTCTCATGGTTGTATATAGTAAATGGCTGGCCATCAACCCTGGTCCAAGGCCTGCAGGTACAATAGCGCAGAAGGCCGCTGTTCACCCCTCCCGCGATCTGAACCCTGCACTACCTACTACCCAGCCATGGTGCCTTTTGGAATCCGCCAATGAGGGAGCCCATACCAGGCTTGTGGTCCGAAAGGGGCAATCGACAAGGTTCCAGGCGCCAGGGTGAAAGAGGGTGGGAAGAGCCGCTGAGTGGACAAGTGGACTTTTGCCCAGCGGCGCTGCCCCTGAGAGAGTGAGAGGGGGTGTGGGTTGGTTTGTTTCACATGTCCCGCCCCAGCGCTCACTGCCATCCAATGACTTCGATCCGTCCCACCCCTTGAGAAGCAGAAACCACTGGACACCAGCTTCTCTCAAGACGGTCTGGACACAAGAAGAAAAGATCGGTCCATGCAAGATGTCTGGTCACCACCACTCGACGTGCGAGACTTGAGACACTTTTCAGTAGGGTTTTTTTTTTGGTGGCCCGCTTCAGAGTAAGTCTGTCTCCCAAACGTCACCTGCCGCGGATGCCAATGATTGCTCGTCGGAATAATGCCCAATGGGCCAACCAAGAGTGCATGAACGGTGATGGCAGTGGCAGCTAGCTGCGCCGCCGTCTGATCTCGTAAGACAGGGGGGGAGGCATTCACTTGGCGGCATTGCTCGCTTAACATGCGAGAGGGGGATTGATGAGAGTGGACCTCCCGGCCGAGAGAGAGTATTGATCTATGATATCCGTTACGCGTCGAGCTCGTCGTTTCTTCTGATCGTATTCATTAAAAACGCATGGGGCGTCTGGTAGGTCAGTATGTAGAACAAACAAGCATGGAGGCGGTGATCGTGGAAGATCACGACAGGCCTGACTCTGTTGATTCACGAAACGCCAGGGAGGCGCCCTGAGAGGGTGCTCGAGAGCCAAGGGACCCCCGGACAGACCGAGCTGGCCTTGGGTTCGGCGGCAAAGAAAGTAACAGGACCTCCTCAAAAGCTCCGTCTCTCTTTCTTTGGTGGGTTCAGGCACACTGCCTACTCCCCTCGGCCGCACAAGAGAGGCCCTTGTACAGTGGCAACATGGATGTTAGATAACGTCAAGCCGCAATCTGGCCAGGTTCAGCCTGTGCGATGAGGGTGTCTCTGGAGATTTTGTCATATCTCTGTCAGTCACGCGGAACAAACTTCTAGGTGGGAAATTGGCAGAGGTCGGGAGGCACGCCGCATCAAGCTCTGCAGCTCCGCAGCCAGTCCTGCGCAGGGCTTGGCACTCGCCAAGTAACAAGTAACAAGTAACAATTGAGAGTCTGCAGCAAGTGACACACAAGAGAGCAGGTTGTGCAGGGCGGTCTAGAGCGAGTACAGAGCCAGGCATCGTGTAGCAGCAGCAGCAGCATGCCGGCGATAGTTGTTTGCGCCGAGCAGCATCAAAGCCATTTGCGGCGTTTTCATCCGAACGAGATAGATATTCATAGTATTAGTATATGTCCACAAAACAAGGCCCACACTCCAGGATGAACCAGGGCGAGAACAGACACAACGTTTGGAACGAGTCGAACGTTATTCTGGGCTCTGGCGACCTGTGCACGCTGGGCTCAGTCTGAGACCCATCGTCCTCCAAGGATGGTGTACCATATCTGTATGCCCAGGTGGCTTTTTTGGGAAGTTTTTCCTTCTTTTTTTTGCGTGCCTCTTCACCTCTGTGGAGGGGGACTACGTACCTCGTTCCACGGATCCCTGAGCCTGTAGGCTTCTGGGGCTTGGTCGTCAGCGCCGTGGGGCTCTGTTTTCAAGTTGCCCCGCCTAGTCGCCTCCCCTCCTTGTTCCTGCCAACCCCTCCCTGCCCGCTCCCTTCCCCCCCTAAATTGACCTCGCAGGTCGTTCCAGGGGCCCTTGCTCGCTCGACGTCCCATGTAAATGGGTCTCGTTCTAGGGGATAGCAATTGATTGGCCTCAACCAGGGGAGGCCCCCGTTTGCCCGCTTTGTGGTAATACCGTTGACCAATTTTCTCTTGGCCTATATCCCACCCGCCCGCGCCCCTCTGACCCAGAGGTCAGTCCCCAAGGTCTCACCACATGCTTTTCACGAGACTTCTTTCTACACTCTTCCTGTAGATAATCTCGTCTACATTTTCTTTTCTTTACGGGAAACTCCAGCGGAGGGACCTACTTTTTGGAATTTTTGCCTCCCCACCTCGATCTGTGCGACCCTGACCGTGCGTCACTTCCCACTGGGGACAAAGCCAACAACACTCTCTCTCTCTCTTGGTTCAATCGATATTCGCTTCATCTCTGGGCTATCCCTTTTAAACTTATTGTTTCTTCTTCCTTGACGAGCGGGCTTCACATAGATACCATTGTTACTGATCATCTTTCTTCTCATCACACCTTATCCTCGACCAGTCAACAGCTCTCAGGCAATCAAGACAAAGGAAAGGGAACCCGATTCAAAGGATCTGTTGCTTGACGGGTTATCAGGGGACAAAAGGGAAAGAAAGAGCTTGGGTCTGATCCCAATCGCCTTGTGCTGGGTCGAATCAACAAGAACCCAACGTCTTCGAAGAAGGGGAGAGAAAAAGGAGAAGATCCCAAAGGCTGCCACTACCCCGGCTTTTCCACAACATTCCAGTGTATTTCGTGCTGGCTCTCGAAATAACCGCCCTTCATTCACACCTAACCGCCCTTGGAGGCGCAAACGTCACCTTTCCTCATCACACCTGAGGTTATCAGCTCCAGATCCCAGAGCTTCCATCCGACCTCTTGCTCTTATTACACACTCTCCTCTTCCCTACGACCTCAAGATGTCTAGCGCGGCGGGCTCAAACTCCGCCATCGACCCGGAGGTGGAGAACCAGCTGTTGTCCAACTACCTCTACTATGTCCTCACGGTGGGTGCCGCTCTCGTGATCGGCTACAAGGTCTACGTTGTCACCCTTAGATATCTGCGAACGGTATCGTCTCTGGGCAACAGCACACAGCACTACTTTGCCAGGGAGTCATGGAAGGCAGCGTTTTTCAAGAGGAGCATCCAGTACTCGCCCGTGCTGCACAAGCGTCACAACCGCGAGTTCGCCCTCAGCTCCGCGGTGAACATGGGCACGCTGCCCACCAGGCTCCAGCTCTTCATCCTGGCCGGCTACTTTGCTACCAACATTGCCTTCTGCCTGATCGACATCAACCTCCACAGCAACTTCTCGTCCTGGATCGATCTGCTCCGCAACCGCACCGGTGTCCTGTCCATCGTCAACATGGTGCCTCTGTTCCTCATGGCTGGGCGCAACAACCCCTTGATCAACTGGCTCGGCATCTCCTTTGACAGCTTCAACCTGATGCACCGATGGCTAGGACGTATCGCCGCCCTCGAGGCCATTGCCCACACCTTGTGCTACTGGATCGGAAGCTCTGCCGACAGCAGCTTCGCCTCGGTCTTTGCCAAGACGCTGTCCAGCGAGTTCCTGATGTGGGGGTTCATCGGTACGGTCGGCTTCCTCTTCCTGACCATCCAGGCCGCCAGTGCCATCAGACACGCCTGGTATGAGATCTTCAAGATCCTCCACATCGTCGGCGCTGCCGTCACCGTCGTCGGCGTATGGTACCACTGCCAGCTCAAGGCCATGAGCCAGCTCAACTACCTGTATGCTGTCGTCGCCCTGTGGAGCTTCGACCGTGCGGCCCGCATGATCCGTGTCGCCTACGGCAACTTTGGGGCTGGAGGTACCAAGACCGTCGTCGAGGCCCTCCCTGGCAACGCCGTCCGCGTCACCGTCACCATGGCACGGCCGTGGGCGTTCGCACCAGGCCAGCACGCCTACCTCTATTTCCCCAGCATCAGCTGGACGCAGTCCCACCCCTTCTCGGTCGGCTGGAGCGAGGAGTCTGAGATGCACGACGGTGAGAAGCTGTCCATGGACCGCAACGACATCCTGGGCTACCGCAAGACCTCCATGTCGTATGTCATCCGCGCCCGCGCTGGAGCCACGGATACGCTGTACAAGAAGGCTGCTGCATGCCCCGACGGCCGGCTGGTGACGACGTGCTTCGTGGAGGGCCCGTACGGCGGCCTGCACAACATGAACTCGTACGGCACGGTGATGCTCTTCGCAGGCGGTGTGGGCATCACTCAGGCGGTGCCACACGTTCGTGACCTCGTGGCGGGCTACGCAAACGGCACCGTCGCCGCCCGCAAGATTGTGCTGTGCTGGATCATCCAGTCGCCAGAGCACCTGGAGTGGATCCGGCCATGGATGACGGAGATCCTGGCCATGGAGCGCCGGCGCGAGTGCCTGCGGATCATGCTCTTTGTGTCCCGGCCCCGGTCGACCAAGGAGATCCACTCGCCCTCCTCGACCGTCCAGATGTTCCCTGGCCGCCCCAACATTGAGCACCTCATCGGTGCCGAGATGGAGAACCAGGTGGGCGCCATGGGTGTCACCGTGTGCGGCCCTGGTGCGCTCTCCGACGAGGTCCGCCTTGCGGTGCGCAACCGCCAATACAACGGCACGATTGAGTTCTGCGAGGAGGCCTTCTCATGGTAAATGCGCAGTTCTCTCTCATCTGCGTCTGTTGTTCTTTTCAATTTTCCATTGTCCTCCGGCCCAAACCCCATGATGATCACATCTTTCAGCCTCCTCTCCATGAATCATCGGCGATACCCAAAGCGTCCTCTTCTAGCAGCCATCTCTGTCTCTCTCGGTGCGCGTGTGTAAATACATTCTTTCTTTTTTTTTTCTCTTCTTTTCTCTGATTTACGACATCTTCCTGTCTTTGACAATTTTTGACCTTTTTCCTCCCTCTCGTGCGTTTGTCTCTGGTTCGAGCGACCATGTTTGGACGGATGAACTGGGCAAAGTTTTTTGTACATCATTTGGTGCGCTGCAGGAAGGGGGTGGTGTCTAGGAGCAGCTTGTATCAGTGGATATTTGTGGGGGGGGGGGGGGGGTCCGGTGCAGATATAGAGAGAGATGGATGGTGGCTAGATATGGCATGACAAATGAAGTCTACTGAAGACGAACATTTCATAATTGATTTCGATGTGAGCCACTACAAAACATGAGTACACTTGTGAGCTGACTTGAGTGGCAAATGGTAAATGTGACGTGTGAGTGTGTGCCTACCACAGAAATCTCCCAGCCCCGAGTTTCGGGATTCAAGAACTGAGCGCGTGCGGTGCATTGTCCCAAAATGTACGTATGTTGGTTGCTAAAAGGGAGGCAACAGGCTCTTCTTCTTCCTCCTCCTCCATTCATATCCTTGTCATGATCCACCCCGGTGCGACGATACACAATACTACTACTGCTATATACTATGTCCTATACAAGATATATCCCGATCGTCACACAGACACCAAAGAGAGATAGAGGGAGAGAGGGTAGAGAAGAATGCGCCGGGACTTTGCCTTCTTTGCCAGCAAGGGCAAAACCCCGCCCTTGCTTACTTCTCTTTTGTTTATTGTGTTGAATGACTTCCTCTTCTCAACAAGAAGGGGTTTTGTTTATCGGTCGTCATCACTACTACATGTTTTGTTTCGCTACGAAAGCGCGACACGCACTAGATCAATCGTGCATGTACTGTCATATGTACTGTAGTAATGGTATACACACCATGTATGGTACCATAGTATACACACACACACACACACACACACACACACACAAGACCACGAGCCGCGCGACCTCATTTGGAGGGGAGGCCTTCTGCGGCAAGACTCCACCTGGTGGGGCACGCTCAGTGCAACCAGCTACTTTTGAAACTAACATGTCTTGATGCACGATGACTGCAGGTGACGAGGGAGGGGTGGGTGGCAGGAGGACCGGGGATTGGTTGGTTTCCCGGTAGGTTTGGGGGGAAATCAAGGGCGTATTGCATCGAACTACCACTAGCAGTAGTGATACTAGTATGATCGAAGCTGAAGCTGAAGCCTGTTTTCCATAGCAACGAGAGAGCAAAAGCAAGGAATTACTGCATGACTTTGGGGGTTGGCTTTTTGAGGAGGGCGGGGAAGGATGTTTGTGGCGGCGGCCGCCTTGGAGGAAGAGGGAAGAGACGGGCTTTTTGCGGCCGGATGACGGATACTGCCACAGATTTTACTTCCTAGTTCCTTTCAAAACCCGAATCCACCTCTCATTTTCCCCCGGTAGCCTGACTTTCCCTCTCTCTACTCTCTCAAGATGTGTCGTTTTTTTTTCCCTTTTGTCTCTTTTCAGATTTGCGAGTCTCTTCTGTGATATGTACTGTGTGATCTGTAGTATGACAAAATTGTCGAGTATGCTCACTGCCATACTACGCCACTACTGTAGTATGAGGTGCATGATTCTAGGATCTTTTCCAGTCCTGGGTAAAAAGCCTCCATCGATATGCACGTCAATCCAAGGCGGCGAAAGCGGAGGCGATCATCTGCCAGATTTCTCTCTTGTGTGTCTTGAGAGCGCATCAAACCAAAAATCCTTGCTCCACAGTAGCACTGCAGTAGTTTGAAAAAGGACCGCCCCTCATCCCGGTAGATGGGCGATCTCGCGAAACTTGGTCGCAACAGCAAGAAAAAAGCAAACAAATGCCATGGTACTATGGTAACTTTACTAGCGTAGTGTACTACTGTATGGCTACTGTATGATACAGTAGTAGTAGAACGCGTCGAACAAGGTGGCTGCCGCTGTTGTTGTATTGTTTAGTACAGTGGGGCTGGTCTTGGGAGAGAGGGGCAGTGGGAAAGGGGACGGGCACAACTTGGACAGCCTTCTGAAGCATGCCTGCAGCAGTTTTTGGGTGGCTGGTGGCTGGGACCTAAATTTGGGTCGCACTCCCGCGCCGCCGTGACTTCCCACCCACACCCCCCCCCCTGGTTGTCGAGGTGACCACTGAGAGGCGCCAAAACAACATCGAAGGTCGGCGAGAAGAACATCCACAAGCTGCGCACCCCACAATTGCTGCACCAACCCCCCGCCGACCGACAAGGGGGGAAACAAAAAGCCTCCACAAAAATTTGTACATACAGTAAACCTGTCCCAGAAACTGGGCTCGTCTTTGAAAGGAGCCTTGTCTTTCGATCTCGCCTGAATTACTTTCTCCATTCTGCCTCAACACCATCTTCTTTTTTCCTCGTGCGATGCATTGTCGCTATCGCAATCGTCTTCTCGCTTCGACTCGTCACGGTCCTGCAGAGGTATAGAGAGAGAGAGAGAGAGAGAGATACACACACAAGAGAGAAGTAGCGGGCGGCCCTTGTCAGGTGTCAGCTGGTCAGTGCTGTAAGACGCAGCACACAGCGTCTCGTTACAGGGGCTTTAAGGACAAACAATACAAGGCTATAACGCGCGCTGGGGAAGGGGAGGAAGGTCAGGGTCACTTTCTTCAACCAATCTTTGGCCTGCCTTCTTTTTGGTTTCGCATCCTACACGCGCAATCCCTCACCGCGCTGTCATTGCACGACTCTTTTTCCTTCCTTGCGCGCTCAGGCTGTCAACATCTCTTTTTTCCCCGGGCCTTTTCTTCTTTCTTTCTTCCTTTTCTTCCCTCCCTCTCGTTTCCTCCCTTTTACACCTACTATCGTAGGACAGGATCCAGACACTCTGTTTGGGGTTCGACGCAGCGGAGAAGAAAGGCCCAGCCCGATTTCGAGCTTAGAGAGCGGGCCAATTGACCTGAAGCAAAGATCGTGATCCCAGGTCCAGATCCAGCCCACCTGAATTAAACCAAGGCAACGACAAGCTTGCAGACCAACCCCCAACCCTCCTTCTCCCCCCCTCTCTTTTTCCTACTACTGCCAACCCAGCCCAGCAGAGAAAGAGAAGAGAGATTGGCCCACTTAGGAGGCCTTCACTCAGTCACTCACTCACTCACTCACCCGCCCATTCACTCGCTTGAGGGGAAACGACTTTGATCCCGCCCAACCCACCCTTTTCACTCTTTATTTCCCAAAAGGAACCACACACGCACAAACACACACGCACACACATACACACGTGTCCAACGTCTAGAGACCATGGCGCGCCCGTCTGCTAGCAACAAGCCGGCCGCCATGGACACGGGCTACCTGTCACAGCAGGTCAACACCATCATTGGCCAGCTGCACGGCCTGTTCGACGACATTGGCGTGCCCAGCCACGAGCGGGAATCGAGAGAAGCAGAGGTATGTATACTAAGTACACACACGCACGAAGACGCACACTCAAGAAGCACTTGTCTTTCACGTTCCCGCCAATAAAGAAATCCAATCCGCCCCTTCCTTCCTCTCTCTCTCTCCTCTATTCAGTCACACAGATCTACGGAGATCAAGATCGATTACCTTACGTCCTGAATATGAAAATTCTCCGAACCAAGGGGATTGCACGCCGCACAATGACGTGGGTCGACAAAGAGGCTAACCACCGTATCCACATGTGTAGCTCTTTGAGGCCCTCTCTGAGGCCCTGAACAGCCAAGTGCGCCGGGTCACGACCGAGAAGAAGGACCTAGTCGCCGAGGCCCAGGAGATCATCACCACCATCCGCCAGATGCAGGCCTCGCTAGAGGATCCCAACTCGCGCCGCAGCTATCGGGACGAGGATGACGGCCTGCAGGTCTCCTACCCGCTGAATAGATGCATTCAGGGCCTGAAGGAGAAGCATGCGCAGGTCGCCAGGGCCCACAGGGAGCGCTTCGAGCAGGTCCAGAGTAGGTTTCTCCTCTTCACCGCTTCCCCAAACCCCCCCCCCCCCCCTCTTTTCAACCCTCCTTGGGTGCCTCATCTCGTCAGACTCGCAGATTGGGCCAGGTGAAGCTGACCTTGGACCACAGAACTTGTCCAGGCGCTCGAGTCGTACTCGTCTCATCTCGAGCCCGGCTTCGTCAGGATAGAGCTCCCTCCTGTCGGGCCAGACCAGACCATCCCGCCCAACTTCGATATCTCTCCTCGGTACGTCGACAGTGTGGACCAGGAGTTCACCCGCGTCTACGAAGAGTATGAGCGCCGCATCGAGACGGTCAGGTCGCTCTGTGAGACCATCATCCAGCTGTGGGCAGAACTCGGCACCCCGCAGGTGCAGACCGACGCCGCCATCGTCAAGAACTACCGTGACACCCCAGAACAGCTCGGCCTCCACGAAGAGGACATTGCCCGCCTCCGCGCCAGGCGGGACAAGCTAGAGAACGAGAAGAAGAGCAGGGAGAAGCGCCTGCGCGACCTCAAGGATGCTGTCGAGGCCCTCTGGGAGAAGCTCGGTGTGGAGGAGCAGGATCGTAAGGCGTTCCTGAACGCCAACCGTGGCTGCGGTATCCGACAGATTAACGAGTTTGACGACGAGCTAGCGCGGCTCAACGAGCTCAAGCGCCAGAACCTGCACCTGTTTGTCGAGGACGCGCGCTGCAAGCTCCAGGAGCTGTGGGATGCACTGTACTTTTCCGAGGACGAGATGCTCGAGTTCACGCCTGCCTTCTCTGATGTACACAGCGACGCCCTCCTCGAGGCCCATGAGCAGGAGATCGAGAGGCTCGAGACGCTGAGGGAGCAGCGCGCCCCGACCCTGGCCCTGGTCGACAGACACCGCACATTGATCGCCGAGCGGGACGAGCTGGCGGCTTCCAGCCAGGACGCCTCGCGGCTGCTGGGCAAGGGGCAGAAGGGTGAGAAGCGTGATCCCGGCAAACTGCTGCGAGAGGAGAAGATGAGGAAGAGGATCGCGAAGGAGCTGCCCAAGGTGACGGCGGAGCTGCGGAAAGGCCTGGAGCAGTGGGAAGAGGAGTGGGGCCGGCCGTTCTTTGTGCACGGCGAGAGGTACCTGGACACCATCGAGGAACAGGACAGACCTTCTGCTGCCCCTGCACCTCGATCACGGACGCCCGCTAACACGTCGATGCCCTCGAGGCCGAGCACGGCGCCAAGGTCGGCACCGCCGGTCAGCCGCTCCAACAGCGTTGTCAGCACCACCAGATCCCAGGCGCCCAGCCGCGCTGGCGCAAAAACCCCCACCTCTGCCACTTTTAACTCTCTCCCAACCAAGCGGGGCCAGCCTCCACAGATGGTCATCACGCCGAGGGGCAGCCCGACCAAGGGCAGCCCGCTCAAGACAACCAGCCCGTCCAAAATACCGGCCCGCGCCCCGCTCTCCAACCTGAAACACGTCAACGAAGCAAGCAGCAGGCTCGGTCAAGAGCTGGAGAAGCCTAACCCTCTGCAACGTGGTACCGTGCCACTGATGCGCGCCCCACCGCCCAAGATGCGAGACCTGCACTCAGTGCCAGAGCTGGACGCGCCGGCCAGCCATTACCGCTACACGGATCTAGGATCGAGCCCCATCCGCCAGACCAGCCCTGAGGATGTCTACGACGACCGGCCTCAGCAGCACAGCGGCGAGTACGAGCGTCCTACGCACCACCACAGCGCCGAGTACGAGCGGCCCAGCTCACACCATGACTTCCGCGACTACCCGGGCAGGGGCTCGCTCCGCTACGACGATGATGACAGCCCACGGCAGCACCAGCGATTCGCACAGTCCTTTGCACAAGCACATCGTGGCGCCCCGCAGATCCGCCAGATCTCGAACGGATCTACCAACTCAAACGAGACGGTCATCACGGGATCGGAGAACTGGGAGACGTACGACGACGCCTCGGAACCAGAGGAAGACGCCGGAGAGGTGTATTTTGCCAAGATCCGCCAGTCGAGATCCGGGCCCAGCTATGTCCCGAGCGAGGCGTACTCGCACTTCAGCTCAGGCAGCCAGCAGGGCAAGAGGCTGCGCGGCATCCCACCCGCCCAGCAGCCGCAGGTGATGGTCGACGAGGATGGAAACCGCATCTTCTCGGGCAGCGAGTGGACGGACGAGGATGCTGGCTATTAGGGGGCAAAAAGGGTCCGCCGATCACGTTCATGATGATGATGACGCCCTCCCTTGCCGCGGTCTAATTACCTTGTCTTGCATGGATATGATATGGTGGTTTTTTTTTCTTTTCTTCTTTCTTCGTCCTTCGATTCTCATATCTGTCTGGCTGGCTGGGCTGGTGGTGGGTTTTTGGTTCCGCCTATAAATCGTCCACGGGTGGATAAGGTCTGGCTCGGCCGACCATTGCATTTGAAGTCTCTGACTCGTCACATTTCGGGCCCGCCGCTATTCCTTGCTACGGGCAGTTGTGAAGACGGAAGGCCCGCGATGGTCCAGAGTGGAGAGAGTATGTGAGATATCATTCCCATGGTTATCACGAACAGGTCGTGATATAGACAGAGAGACACACACAAGAGAGAGATACACAATGGAGCGGGGATGGGACGCAGGAGCCAAGGAAATCTGGGGGCTGCATCTTTCTTCCTTTGGAGTCGGGGAACAAGCGCACTGGCGTTTTTCAAGGATTTGATTGTTTTTCTCTTTCATTTCTTCATCGCACATTCTCAAGCCTTTGTGTGTTCTTTCGGACTCTGCAGATGGACGGACTGTTCGAAGGTCTGACTTGTTGTTTGATGATGATGGCCGGCTGCACCACAAACACAGCAGTAAAGCTGTGCGCCAAGGGAAAAGCAAGGTCATGATCAGATGATGATGATGATGACGACTGATTGAGTGTATGTTTATGGCTGTCGCTTGTACTTTGAAAATACACAGCATCGGTAATCCTGGATGACTATGTGCGCATGCCTTTAGTTTCACACGTCGAGAAGTGAGTGAGTGACGTTGATTGTTGTATGTTCCGAGTCAAATGCAACTGTCAGTTGGTCTAGCGGGCCGTTTGCGGCTCTTCTGGCTCAGGCTACACCTGGTTCTGGGAGGTGGGGGGGGGCGGGGCTTGTGCAACATGCTACAACAGTAGCGCTAGAAAGCTGCAAAGTGGCCAAAGGCGGCAGACAGGGTTGCATTCAGCAAACGCGGAGACTTTTCGTTAGGGCTGTTCCCAGCCCTGTCAGGCGCTGTTGCAGGTGGATCAGGTCTGTCCAGGTGGTCTCATGCGGTGCGCCCCCAAGCTCGTCCCCTTAGTGCTGGGGGTGGCTGCGTACAGGGGGGTTGGGGGACGCGAGGGGCAGATGGACACTATTACATCACCTACTTACGGCACACCAAGAGGAGGTATGTGTACTGTACCTGACTTGCTACCCTTGACCCCTTTTATTCTCTCCAATGATGATTCACAAAGCGTCCGGTGCTTCCATCCACGACTGAGACCTGTGTTGACCTGATTTGTTTTGATTCTTGTACTTCTGCTTTTGTCTTGGTCATTTTTGATTTGTTCTCTCTTCGTTGTTTGCACCACACACGAACATTGCGAGCGGAGCATTTGACAACAGAGGTCATCCATTTTTTAAACGACGGACGGCCAGGAAGAGGCTCGTGACCCTTCTACAACCCACCCCCCTCCCCCATTTTAAATTCACCTCTGGCTCTTTCTCTCTCTTCTACTCGACGACCGACCGACCCGAGACCCAGCCCTACATCCAGATCCAGTCTCATGCACAGGCCCTCGTCGAATCCTCCGTCTCGCCATGACGACGTGTCGACAGCTGCAGTAAACTCGGCTTTTCTCTCCAATGCAATGCATCTACCTCCTTCCGAACCACCTTTCGATGTCCTTCCTAGCATCCACTCGTTTCCCTTGACCTTATCGAAACTGCTTCCTCCGCCTTCTCCTCCTTCCTCTTCTTCGCTCTCCCCAGCGGAAGACAGCGACAACGGGCCATGAATGCCCTCACCTCCTCCTCGTCTTCCTCTTCCTCCTCTCCACATACGAACCGCCCATACTTGCACCCTACCGATGCCAGCAGCGATGAGCAAGGGGGTGGCGGTGGTGGTGGCGGCCCTCACCACAGGTTGACACCCCAGGAGGCAGCGGTGAGAGGTGCGTCACTGGCTTTCCAGAAACAGAGGGATCAGGCGGACGGCGGCGGCATACAGAGACACGCCACAGGCAACAGCAGCGTTGGCGGTGGTGGGCGGATCAGCCGGCAGACCACGGGCGGGAGCTCATATGCAGGCGATGCGGCGTTGGAGAGGGAAAGAGAGAGGGAGCGACAGGCGCTATTCCTCAGTCCCTCCTCGGCGGCGTCAGCAGGAGATTCGGATAGGGGCAGTGGCGGCGGCGGTCATCTGGGCCTGTCCCCTGCTTCAGCGGCCAACAAGACGGCAACGGTCCGAAAGAGTGCGAGCTTCATTGCGGCAACGCTGGCAGCTAGCCGGAGCGCTAGTCCCGCCTACGGTACGACAGTGGCGGCGGAGGGCGGCGGTGGCGCTGGAGGTATGGCCGCGGCGAGGAGATCGCCCCTGCGAGAGCCACTGGAGGTGCAAAGGGGCTCCAGAAGTCGGAGGGGCGGCTCGGGGTCAGCATCGCCAACCAAGAGCGCGGACGATCGCACAGACACGACGTCCCTGGCACCGGCGACCTCGTTGATCTCACTGTTCGAGAACAGGGGGGAGGGGAATACAGACCCTGTGAAGAGCAGCCCGAGGAAGTCTGTCCGGGAGAGGCCGAGATCACGATCTCAGGAGCCTCCTGTGGGACTTGAAAGAAGGCTTCCGAAGGGGGACCGCGAAATCATGTCGGAGGAGGCCAAGTCTGCGTCAGGGTCCAGGCCCAAGCCAAGTCCGAAGCCAAAGCCAAAACAGAAACCAAAGGTTCGACCGAGAGAACAGACACCCTCGCCGCCGCCGCCGCCGCCGCCGCCACAATCAGCAGCCTTGAGGAGAAGCCACACCGAGATAGTGTCACCAATACCTAGGAGACCAAAGACGAAGCCGCAATTGGAGGCGAAACTAGAGGCTGTTACACCTATCAATGATGATGGTGACGATGCGGACAAAAATACTAGGCCAAGGTCGAGGTCAAAGGCGAAGCCCAAGATCTCAAGACCTCAACCCGCAGAGCCCAGCAGCAGAGACGAGAACCGACCAACAACACCACATGTGAACAGCGAGGAGACCCAGAAGATACTGCGAGATCCACCAGGCCGTCCAAGCCCAACCTCCCCCTCCACGCCAGTCAGGAATCGCCCACAGCCAGGTCCTCGAAAGAGCGTGGAGGTCTCGGAGCGGATGCCCCTCGGGCTAAAGAAGCAGGACGCGCCGCGACAACAACCTAGGATCCCGCACAACGATGGACAGGAGGAATCCAGGTTGCTGACTATAGAGGGCACAGCGGACGCGAGACCGTCTACTGCCAGCTCAAGATCGTCAAACGACTCCTTTGTCTCTGCGACTTCAGAGCCTACGCGCGACGACACAGATCCACTGCGTACTACTGCTACCACTGGTGGTGGACAGCTTCTGCCTCATGCCGTCATGACGACGCTCAGTCCAAAACCGAGTCGGCCTCGATCGGCCCAGCCTTCCGCCCCTCCTGCGCCTCCCATGCGTCGAAGCGTCACAGGCTCTTCCCAGCTCACCGTGGATTCTCTGTCCAACGCCATAATGGCAGGCTCTCTCGCCTCAGCCAGGCACACACCAGTGTCGCTGGCTGACAGCAGCCGCACACCTCCACCGGTGCCGCCCTCCCGGCGCAAGGGCGGTGCAGGCCCACCACAGCCACCACGGCGCATGAAGCATACCCTACGGCAGCCCATATCGCTCTCGGATGACGAGGACACCCGGCGTCCGCAGCACCACAAGAGGGCGCTGAACAACAAGAAGCACGCACACCATGAGGGATCCCGGCGGCGGTGGCGCGAAGAGATTACGGAGCGCGAAAAGAAGCGGTACGAGGCCGTGTGGGCATCCAACCGCGGCTTGTTCCTCGTGCAGGCGGCCACCACCAACAACACCACCCAGCAGCAGCCCGTCCGCAATGAGAGCTACGAGGAGCTGTCGGGGTACGTGGCCAACGTGGTGGTGAGGGACATCTGGGCGCGGAGCAGGCTGCCGGCTGCCGAGCTCGCCGAGGTCTGGGACCTGGTGTACGGTCAACAGGGGCAGGCCAAGGTGCACGCGGCGCTGGACAAGAGGGAGTTTGTGGTGGGCATGTGGCTGATCGACCAGCGGCTGCGGGGCAGGAAGATCCCGCCGAGGGTGAGCGACAGCGTGTGGGACAGCGCCAAGGGGTTGAGGGTGCTGGACCCTGGCGGTGTTGGGACCCACGGCCACGGGCAGAAGGGAAAGGGGAGATGAAGATGATGAAGAGTGTTGGGAGGAGCAAGAAGGAGCAAGGAGAAGGAAAGGAAACGAAGAGAGAGAGAGAGAGAGAGAGGAGACAAGATGGGTCTGCTGATCCTGTATGCATTCATGCGGTTCATTGTGTGGTTCAGCATTTTGCATAGACTGCATTTCTCTTTTGGCAGAAGTGATACCCCCCGCTTCCTATAGGCAGCCCTTTTTTGTTCTTTTTTTTTTATAGGAATTGGTGACAGTTGGCCATTCATTCCAACATTATTATCTCGATGGTCAGTCGAATATGAAGTGACACGACTTGGCTTGACTGACAAAAGCCTACATATATTATTTATATATATATATATATGTGTGTGTGTGTGTGTGTGTGTGTGTGTGTGTGTGTGTGGTCAACCAATGCGATCCCACCCTTAGCCAGATTTACCCCAGCTCCCTCAACAACAGGTAACAGTTCTTGGGCTTGTGCGTGAGGCTGTCAAAGGCCTCGTAGCCCCCAAGCTTCTCTGGCACGGGCAGCAGCTCATACATGCAGACCATGACCACGACCAGAACCCTCATTTCAAGGTACGCCAGCCTCTTCCCGAAACATCCGCGCAGGCCACCCCCGAACTGCAGCACAGGCCCAGAGTGCACATCAAACACATCCTCCTCCTCCTCCTCTTCTTCTTCTTCCTCCTTCTCTTTCTCCTCCTTCCTTTCCCCCCTCCTTCTCCTTCTGAGCCACCTTTCGGGCTTGAAGACGCCAATGTCCTCTGCATCCCACTGCCGCACTCTTGTTGCTCCTGGCGCCGCCGCCGCCGCCGCCACCATGTTCTCCTTGGCCTCCCGCGACGACGGCGACCGCTGCTCTTCCGCGATGGTCTCGTTCAGCGTGTTGGGGAGGACGTAGCCGGGCCCGTTGGACATGAAATACACGTCTGTGCCCTTGGGGATGGCGTAGCCCAGCAGCTGGGTGTCGCGCGTGGCCTGCCGCACCGCCGACGCCGCCGTGCCCGCGCACCGAAAGATCTCCTCGACGACGGCGTCGAGGTAGGGGATCTGGGCCGAGGTGATGGCGTCGGCGGTGGGGACGACGGCGGCGGCGGCGGCGGCCTGGTTGGGACTGTCGCAGGAGGACGAGGAGGAGGAGGAAAAGTGCTGCTGCTGCTGCTGCTGCTGCTGCTGCTGCTGCTGTTGTTGTTGTTGTTGTTGTCGTCTGCGCAGCTTGTCTCGCAGCTTGGTCTGCACGCGCGGGTGGTCGGCCAGGAACTTGACGGCCCACATCATGGTCGTCGCCGTGGTGTCGTGCCCGCCGATCAGGAACCCGAACAGCTCGTCCTTGGCCTCGGGGCTGTCGTAGGCGGGCGGGCGGTTCTCCTTGGCGGCGGCGAGGGTCTCGCGGCGCACGAGGTGGTCTGTGGCGCAGGTGATGCCTGTGAACTCTCCCTTGGTGCCCAGCAACGTTGCTGCTGTTGCTGCTGCTGCTGTTTCTTCGGTTCCTGTTCCGCTGTTGCTGTTGTTGTTGTTGTTGTTGTCGTCGTCGTCGTCTGCCACCACCACCGCCACCAGCCTGCGCTTGGCGTCTGCGATGCGTTCTTGGATGAGGCGAGTCTTGTAGGCGCGGGCACGGCGGTAACGTGGGGTTTGGCGGAGCAGCCAGTGGCTCTGGCGCGGGAAGGGCGAGGTGGCGGCCATGTCGAGGCCGTCGGTGATGATGAGCATGGAGCGGACGTTCACGTTGTAGGGAGGCTTGGGGAGGGTGATGGGGTCGTCGTCTTGGAGGGGGATGGTGTGGGAGTTTGCGTGGTGGGTGGTTTTGAGGAAGCTGGTTTCTTCGGGGACGGTGTTGAGCTCGCTGCCGAATGCTACGTCCCAGACTGAGGAGGAGGAGAGATCTCAGGTTAGTCGTCTGTGTGGTGATGGTACTTTGCGAAGAAGACGAGGTCCTCAGGTGCAAGAGGAAGAAAGAGGGGGTTGGTTAACTTACTAGAGTCGAGGGCCATATGACTGATGTCCTCTGCGGCCAAAAAGGCATGGCCTGCGCCAGCCTGGTTTTTAACCCTCCATAATTCCATGAGATAGAGTGTGTGCTTGTGGAGACAAGGAGCAGCAACCTAAGAAAAGAGTTGTTAACCATGAAGTAGTTCGAACAAGAAGTTATTAGTGGACGGAGGATAGAACGAGAGTTGAGGTCAAGTCTTGTAGGTACGCACATTATTCAGAAACCCGCTCGCCATCGTATCCTGAAGAATACGACGGCCGGCTCGAAACTTTTGATTCGTAGACTGAATAATATGATGATTCGGCATCGTCCCGACAAAGGCATCTAGAGAGAAAGGCAAGGGAGGAGGGGGTTTTCCATGGTCAGTCTCGTTTTCTCTTTATGATTATCTTCAAGGACTATTTCATTACTACCTAACATACTCTTGAAAAAGTTGGACCGGTCAAAGTCCTTTCCGGTCCGCCGGAGCAGCACATCCTGCGCCTCTCGCGGATCCGTGACAAACACGGCCGGCCTGCAGAACGGTTTGAGGAAGAGCTGGTACACGGGTGAGTTGAGCTCGGCGCTCTGCTTCGTCATCCACTCGGTGAAGGTACCATTGTTCTTCTTGGTGAACTCTATCATGGGTGGTATGTCGCCCAGGAGTCGGGTCGTGGACGTTTTATGATGGGGGATGCCGGGGAGGGGTTTGGGAAGAGCTGCTCGGTACAGGGCATAGCACAGGGCGAGGGCGAAGGAAATTGTCCCATATGTGATGGGACTGTATAAGATGGATAGCATTTTTATGATGGAAGTGAACCAACCACCTGAGAAATCTCGAGGCAATCAATCAGTGAGCTCAGTTACACTCCCACAAGTGCATGGGTGTTGAGAGACGGATTGAAAATGACAACAGATGTTTCTCTGAAAAACATTGATCAAATGTCGCGGATATGATGATTCTGTATTATATATTCCTTGGACCAGGTGCGCATACATTACAATACTGTCGAAGGCTTTTTAGTAAACCAAACTACGGCCTGACCCGGTTCAGTATCGAGTTTAGACTCTGGTGCATGCCATTGTTCACATTCTTTCAACCAGAGCTAATCCATGATTTGAAGTGCTATAACGCGGGCGGAGAACAATTGGTACTTTTGGCGCACAATAGGGAGTTCCGTTCCAATCGTCTACTAGTATAATAGCTGTCTTTAAGAAAGTGCCTTAGTTTGAAGCAGCATATCATCCGAGGTTGCGCTCGTCCAAATGCTGAATCTCAAGTGGGCATATGAGAAAGGAGAGGGTGAGATGCCAGCTTTTTAACATCACAAGGGGTTTGCGACTCGATGTGTATGTGTGTGCTCGTACTCAAATTGTATGAATGTTGAGCTTATTTGGCCGAAGTCATTGCCTCAGTCTGTCATTGAGAATTATTAAGCGTGGGCGATTGTGCTATAGATGGATTGCAATGAGAACATACCTGATACTCTTGAGAGGGCCACATTGATGACTTATGCCGTCTATAACCCATCAGACCACTTCTATATGAACTGGCTGAGTCTTTTATCGACTTCTACTTACAAGTGTACCAGAGAGCTTCTTGATTGCCTGGTAAACTTGATCGAGTTTAGACCTCAAGTACCTCTGGCGATATTGATATGCAAGAAAGAGCAACACAGTTAACCACCTTCAAACTGATCATTCAAAAAAAAAATAGTAGCAGTTCCGGAGCCTCCGGAACTTGAACATCATGGGCCGTTTTCTTTGCAGTATTGTGTGCACACAGATCGAAGCCACAGACGAAAATGATAGTTTAGCTTTTGAGAGACACAAGTAAAAGTTTAGCATTAATTATGCTGTACCACCTGCAGGCTCCCACAGCACCCCCCAAGCCGCTGACTGTCAAGCGAAACTCGCGGCTGACGGCAACCTTCACCGAATCAACCAATGAAGGATCACCGCCAACCGCGCAGACCCCCTGTACGCGGGATATTCAATGGATGTCGTTCGCTGTTGTGGTGAGGCTGAGCGGGCCGGCGCCAGGGTCGCCATCAACCCGGCCGCCCATGAGAGGCCACAGACCTCGACAGTCGTTTGAAACATGGAACGGCAAAAAGGTCTTGTACAAGATGTTTCTTCGGATTTGTCGGATCATTCGTTCACTTTAATAGCCGCCTTGCGTGCACCGCCGTACGGATTCATACGTCTTTCGAGATGCGGCTGCGCAAATGGACAATTGATTACTTTAATTAGTACATTGGAAAGGGGGGGGGGGGGTTCGGATGTCTCTGCAGGTGACATAAGATGGGGAGAAAAAACATTAAAACACACTGAAACTCCCTGCCTAGAAATTCCGAATCTGTTGGGTCAGTTTCTATGCCGCCAAAGTTTCGACCTTTTTCCTGGCCACCACAAAACCATTGAAATACTGCAGACTTCCCTCATCGGTGGACTGGGCAACTTGATTGAATCGTCCATTCTCGGGGTTACCCATTTTCTTCGTTTCTCTTTCTCCCTTTTCTTTCGTGTAAACAAGAGGCAGGTCCTCGATCCGGTATCCCAAAAACAGATAATTTGATCAGAGGACGACATTTCTTCCCCGTTTGTTGATACAATGGGTAACGCTCCTTCAAAGTCACCCAATGCGGACGGATATCTCGTAAGTATTTAGCACCTAGACACAAAGAGAGAGGGGAAAATACAACAGTACTATCTTTTTTCTTTTCAAACATCAACTCATACCATATATCTAGGACTATGGCGCTATCTGTCCCGACTCCCCATCGTCTTTCGAGGAGAGGGACATGTTCGAGGATATCATCGCAGAGCCACTGGTGGCGTCTGACCGCAAGCCCTCGATGAAGTCGCGGCGCAAGTCGTGGGACTCGGTCCACTCAAGAGACAGCAAGCGAATTGTAAGTTGGAATATTCCCCAAGCACCTTGTTTCCCAACCCCTCCCTCTTTTCTTTACCTCTCTATCAGCGTCCTCTGGTTGGCCTGGTCTAATTATATCAAATAGTCGTTGGACTCTGCATTTGACGCCGCCAAAGATGCGCTGGACAAGATGATGCCCAGGTCCAAGTCGTACAATAAGATTGGCGGCAGGCCGAAGGAGTTGATTGGGGTTGAGTGGTAGATATTGGAGGTGCCCAGGCGGCCTTCAATACCAACGCCAAGGAGCCAAGAAGACTTGCTTCGGGGCAGGCTCGGCATCGTGGGTGATCATGTCGAGCGAGCAAGCTGGTTTCTTGCTTTTGACGTGCATATGACATCGGTAAAGGAGTCTTTTCCAAGGGGAAGCTCAAACTTACAACTGCGTGGCTGCGGATGTTATGTCTCACCCCTGTTGAATAGACATGGTTCGTGGTCTATATAGAAAGGTATAGATGCCAGCCTCGCGGAAATGATTTACGAGAATATATACGGTGTGTATTCAAGAATGTGCCCCGTGAACAAATCATGCCGGTGGGCTGGGTAAGTCGGAGTTCGTTGTCGACAATGGGCCCACCCGAGACACTGCAGACTCGGGAAGATAGAGTAAACAAGAAGAATAATGCTAATCGGCGTCCCAGATGGATTCAGCTACGAGAGCAAAAGGCGCCAAAGCCATGGGCACTGTTGCCTGTCACATTCCCGGCTCGCTCCCTTCACTCGACTCTCCCTCTCCTCGTAAGCTTAGACCACTCACGTCCAGGGCTGGACGAGCCTGCGGGCACCCAAGTCGACTTAGATAGTGCAGGATACCAAGACCTCACCCCAAGGACAATAGAAATGCCACCAAATCTTCTTCGCCAAGCCTCTGGGCAAGCAGGATCTGCACTAACAGCAGGACCTTGCAAGATGTCTTAGATCCGCATCCCCCCCCCCCCAAAAAAAAAAAAACGCTCGACACGCCCACGCATCTGCTCTCGTTGACGTTGTTGTGTAACGCACGCCTGCCGTCCTCGGTGCGTGACCTATTCCATTGAAGCTCAGTGCGTGGGTTGGAGCTCGGCTTCGTGAGTCGAAGAGGACTATGACGAGCGCTGAAGGGATAACTTGCCGGGTGTCTTCAGATGCCTCATCCAGTTCCGAGCTCTATAGGGTACAGACAGACGATTCTGCTTCGCTGACCTCCCTCTAGTACCCCCCCCCCCATCTGGACGTCGTCGAACCCCATCTTTTCCCAATACTCATCAATATTGGTACCACCTGGTTTTCCCCATATACAATCAGACAGAAGGCGACGAATGGGCCACGTGCCTCGTAATTCAAAGCGCACAGCCGACCCACAGGAAGTAGAGGGGGTCGTACATGCATGCATGCGTGTGTGGCCGGTTGTGCGAGTCCGCGTAAGTAAATGGGAACACACGATAGACTCAGATGATGTCTCACCGCGCACATGTCCCCGAGAAACACGAGATGGAGAAAAGCAACCACAGACAAGTTTGACGTAGAGTGATCCGGGCCATGCCGATGCCGGACGTGGTGGCTTTATCAGTTTGGCTTTATACCTAGATGCTATCTAGATGTCAGGGTATTGAATCGCTGTCTATAATATCTATTATGTGGACAAAAAGGCCGTCGTCGGCCAGGACAGTAAAGTAGGAAAATCGTAATGCCTCTTTCGGGTATTCGATGCTGTTCGCCAACTTATGCTCATGATCCATCCATCTTCAGAATAGAACCCTAGGGCTCACTTCTTGCGGGGTTTGAGCCTGGCAAAGGTCATGCAGAGCGACGCAACTAAAGCCGCTTCTTTTTGTTTGCCTTGCGCCTAGTTTTCCTGGCCCGCAGGATATGGCGCCGCTGCATGAAGTTCTTCAGCCCGTCCCAGATGATATGCCGCATCAACACAAGCACTGTCGCGAACGACATGGGTACGGCAATCTTCCAGCTGTGAGGGAATCAGTCTTGTCCACCTCTAGAGATTGCGGACCAGTGGTCACTCACAAGAACAAAATGCCTCTGTCGAGGTCATCGAATGGCTGGAAATTCTGGCCAAAGTATCCAGTCAAGAAAGTCAAGGGCAGGAAGAAGATGGTCGCTAGTGTAAGCTGCTTCATCGACTCGTTCTGGTAAGCCGAGATGGTGTTGAAGATGAGGTCAATCAACCCGTCGGCTTGAGCCTTGATGCTGTTCAGGGACTCGGTGATGAGAACACAGTGATCCAGAACATCTCCAAGATATGTATGTGTCATTGGGGTGATGATGACGCCTCGTGAAGGATCTTGCAGGTGCAGGGCGGCCGACTCTTGTGACAATTCTGATTTATGGTCTCGTAACGCATTGATCAGGTTGACAACGGGGTTGATGATGGCCAGAACCTTGTTAATCTCGTTGATGACAATGTATAACTTCTTTGTGTGAGTGACATCTGGCCGTGTAAGAACGTCAAGCTCGAGATCGCCAATCACATCCGCGTAGACTGAAGCCACGGGGATGGCCAAATCAATGGCTGCGTCTATGATGGCTTGGCCGACCCTGCTTGGACGTTAGAACTTGAAACCTTTTTCTTGTTTTCTCTTTCTTCTTTTGTTGGATGAAGACAGAGTAAGGAAGAACAGCTTACATGCTTGCGTCGCAAGACTGCCGGAGAACAGTGTCATTGGTATACAAGCGCTTGAGAATTGGCTTCTCCACAACGTCTGCAGAGAGCTCAAAGAATGAGATGATGGTGTTGTCGTTGGTGATGAACATGGAGACCTGTTCTGCTATGACGCCGAGCTGGTGTGGTGCAAGGGCTGAATGCTTTTCGAAATACTCAATCTTGGCCTCATTGGGTCCAGCCTGGTAACGCTGCAGCGTCCTTTCGAGGGTCTCTCCAGATGCCTCGGAGAGACCAGTTTCGTAGGCTTTGAGGTGCTGCAGGGTTTCGAGCCCATTCTCCATGGACTTCTCCGACCGCTGGGGCCGCTTAGGCTGCCGGGCCATTCCAAACATCGACCTGAGAGATTTCGAGATACCCTTGGTGATGCGCGAGCCTCTGTTGCTGCGCGCACTCCTACCGCTTTGGCTTCTGGCGTCCGAATCTGCATCTGAGTCGTCGTCGCTTGAAGTCTGGTCGCACACGTGGGCCAGTTTCAGCATGGTGAAGATGACGAAGGCATGGTTCGCGTACCAGTCCGTCTTGGTTCTATTCCTGGTGTTCATGATATCTTCGATAGAGAGCTTGTGCAGCCTCTTGTATTTTCCCAGGGTCGCGATGACATCCCAGCTCAGACCGTTGACGTTGATCCACCGGCACCTGGCCCACTCTGGCTGGGGCTCTTTCAAGAAGAGCGAGAGAGTCTCGTTTGTCATGGACTTGACGTCGATATCGTCGTGCGAGAAGTCGACGACCGTGATTTCGCACGTTGCTGTCAGGTTGAGCATCGAGCCGTGACCACCATCCGTCTTGTAGGGGTCGAGACCAGGCTCTGCTCCGGGCTGCCAGCCCCGTCGAGGCATATCAAATTCGCTGAAGTCTTCAATGCTCTTAAAGGTATTTGCTCGCGTGAATCGACGTCGAATCGGACTGACGGGCGATGGAGCGGCACGGTTCTCGGGAAGGGCAGTGTCTGATCTGGTGGGACGCTGCGAGGCTGCTGACATGGGCGGACTCAAGGTCGGACCAGTGCCAGCGGCGGCGGGGTCATCTGCAAAGTGAGCGTGATGAGACTGGCGCTCTGGAGTAGTGACTGTAGCTGTGGCTGTCGGGACAGCGGTGTCGGTGACGGCCTGCGTCAAGGGGGCAGCGGCGAAGTCTCGCGTCGTGATCTGGAGAGCGGGCGCCAGGCGCGCCTGATCGTCGCCATCCTGGGATGTCATTGTGACTGGATTTGTGGGAGGGGGCAGGAAGAAGGACACTCGGATCGCAACCAAAGCTAGAAACCAGGAGAGTATATACACATTCCGAGGTCGCTCTCGACTTGGATGGGGAGGAAAGCAAGGCAGCAACGGCGACGGATTCAGCCCGCTGCAACAAATTATTTGGTAAGAAAGAGAAAGGAGGGAGGAGGGTGGAGGGAGGAGGAGGAGGAGGAGGAGGAGGAGGGGGTGACGGCCCTAAGGCACTCGAACTCTCCTTGTGTGGTAGTAGTTCCAGGGTCTGCGACTCGAGCAGGGGTCCTGACAGCTGCAGCAGTTGGTCCTTTAAATTAGCGGGACCAACCAACGTTCGGCAGCTGAAAAAGCGCTGGTCCTAAGGGAGACACGTTCGTCTGACGCGCGGAAGACTGGAGAAAGAAAAAAAAAAAAAAAGAAAACATGATGCATCTTATCTCACTCAGCCCTTCTTTAACTGCAGATCAGATGAAAATAGGAGATATCCAAAGACTTCAAAGAAAATCCTTGGACATGGCACACTTCGGACGGCATGAAGTCGATTCTGCTTACTAAGTAATCAATCACATGGTTGAGGCGAGCATCCCACCTTTTCCAACATTCCTCCACATGGAAGGAAGTCTCCACGGGCACATAAATAATTCAAGGAAGATCATGTTGAAGATCTACTCACATGTTAGCATCTCATCGGCTGGTTAATCTGTAGGCTTCTTCCTCGACTCCTCACGCGTGCTAGGCAAGTGTTGCAATAGTTGGCGATCGATACAGGCCAGTTCAACGCCGGACGTGCTTTCTTCCTTCTCAGCCCCACCCCCCCCCCGGCAATTAGTAGCCGCGATGTCACCCCCAGTCGACGGGAAGACGAATGAACAAACATCTTGCTGCGCGCGTCCTAGATATACCATAACGATGGAGACAGCGAGGCAGCGTGGCCCAAGGGCGCTCTCTCGACGATAGTAACCACCATATTTGAGCACTTTTACGCGAGATATCGCACCAATCGACTTGGTCATCCATCATAGCTCCTCGGCTTTGGTACTCTGATCGCCTTGTTTGGACGTCAATGTCTTACCCAAGTCTTTTCTCGCGTCTCTAGGGAGGTTCGCAGTAGTGAGCCGTACGCGAGCTTCCCGAAATGCTTGTTTCACCCGAGACACGTAATATGCGCAGGGTTCAACGCCACAATCTGCGACCGGAAATTGGCCACTGCAGCCTCCAGCGCTTTGGCGTGACCATCGAGACAGACGTCAGAAAGATGCCTGGTCTGGAGCCGCAGGTCTGAGCGCACGCAAGCAGTTGTCGTTACCTGTCAGCACGGGGGTGGGGCAAGTCGAGGCGGTGGCGGCGGCGGCGACGACGACGACGATGATGACGATGATGATGACGAAGAGGCCACTTTTAGACGGCTGTGGACTATCCCCAGGTAGCTGAGACCGCCAGAGTCTCCCTACAGCCTCGTCAATTCGATCCATCACCGGATTGGTGCTGGGCTTTGCTGATAATACTGCATGATGTACGCGCCCGCCGAGGCAGGGCCTTCAAGGCTCACCTTCCACGAACCATTGCCTTGTAGGCGGCTGTCTGCCTCGCCCTTGCTGCTCCGCCACGCCTACATTGGGTGTCAATATCTCGCTCTACGGCCGAGACATATCTCTTTGCGGCAGCCGCAGCGGAGGTATCCCAATAAATCACGCCACAACAACCACAGCAAAAAAGAAGATCACCACTGTGACCTCTCTGACCGAGAAGATGTCGCTGAACTATCAGACACAGAGTAGATCTTATAGAAGATGACTCTCGCCTTCGGACAAGGCCGGTGTCCTGGCTCTTTGTATAAACCAGCGATCAACTCCCAACTGGCGCTCCATCAGACCGAGACATTCGCTTCCTAAGCGACTTACACCTCTCCCTTGATGGTTATCTTTGGATCTGGCATCGCCGACTCTTGTTCAGCTTTATTAAATCCCATCTGACCCCAAGGCCATCCTATGCGGTACTGACACGAAACGGCCATCTGACATTCATTGGACGTCCTGTTTATACGGAACAGCCATGCCTCCCGTACTCACAGCCTTCACATCCCCTCAAGGCCCCTTGCTCTCTCTTCGGCGAGAAGTATACCGACTGACCGGTTTTCAGAAGGGCTACAACTTCCTTCTATGGTGTATCTTCGCCGTTGGCAGCTTGATTTTTTCTCTCAGCCGCGTGGGGTTTCTTGACTATTTTGGGGTCTTCTGCAGGAGGAACCACCTCTCCAGGGGCCATCATGCTGCACCCGGCGAGTGCTATTACTTCTTGAACGGCGGCCAGGAGCAGATTGGCATGATGCTACACTTGTACAGCATCATACCGTGCTGTATCCTGTTATTCTTTCAGTTCATACCCGTCTTCCGTCAGAGATGGGTCCTCTTCCACCGCATCAATGGGCACGCGGTCATCTTGCTCATGGGAGTTGCTATTGTCGGCGCCCTGATGGCTCTCCCGGGCTCGTTTGGAGGTGACGCGGGTTGGCAGGCCATGGTGTTAATCCACAGCACTATGATCATCACAGGCCTGACCCTGGCCATGGCGAATATCAGGAGTCTGCAGATCGAGCAGCACCGGGCGTGGATGCTGAGGACCTGGATCTGGGTAGGCCGCACCAACCACCAAACGCCCCCGCCCCCAGTCCTGTCTATGGCTCTGCTGACACACTTGGTAGGCATTTTGCACCATCACTATGCGTGCCATCCAGCAGATCGCCGCCCGTGTGCTTAGCAAGCAGGGCCATGTCGCCCTGCGGCCCTGCGCCCAGATCATGAGCGACGGCGTCCTGCCTGCTGCCGTCATTGAGCAGAAGTGGCCCGGCTGCGCGGCGTTCTTCTCTGGGGAGAGCCTGGACCAGACGGTCCTTGTCTCCGCGGACTATTATGGTCTCCCGATCGAGATCAACGTCGCTTTGTCGATTGCCTCGGGCCTCTCGGGCTTCCTGGCGCTGCTAGTTCATGTCATCGGTGCCGAGATATATGTGAGTGCCAACGTGCCCAACAGTACTTAGATTTGGGGTAAAAACCTCTCGACTGACCTGGCATGACAGCTCCATCTGACCCCAGCCGAGTCCGAGCGCCTCCGCCATATCTCGTACCACAAGCAGGTGGCTGCCGGGCTGAGGTATCCAGGACGTGCTGGTCTGACTGCTGACCGGTTCGGAGACGCTGCACTGTGGTGTCCCCATGTTGAGGAGAAAGGGCATGTCGACGACGACAGTCTATCCATTAGGTCTACGGATCCTCCTCGAAAATAATGAACGAGCATACGGCAGTCTCATTATTCGTAATATATGAAATTTAGTGAAGAAAGATAATATTTCCCCCGCCTAGAGAAACTAGAGTTCAGCTGAAGTCGAGAGACTAATGAATACTGTTCACACACGATAAATCGCTTACTTTTTTTGTTCTCATTGCAATACACGTGGTAGTTAGAACCAAGGACATGGAACAAGTCTGTTATCGAAATGCTCCGAAAAGGGTGGATCTGCAGCAACCTTGTTGAGTGATATCATTATCGATAGATGATGATGCCAAAAGTTTGAACAGGATGCCGGCGTGTTGGAGAAGAACCGGCCTGGGCGATACCGAATCCTCGGGACTGGGTGGACCCTGACGCAGATCCCCCAGAGTGCCGTGTGGGGGCCGATTGGCCGGAAGTAGTGCTGATTCTCCCAATTAGGAAGGAGTGGGGCTGACTGAACTACTGTACTTCCAATGAAAACCACCAGAAATTGTATCCTTCAGCTTGAATTTGCACTTTTCTCTATATCTGGGTAGGCTCAAAGCTTTGTTGCAGATCTCTTTCTGTTGTCAAGCCCCAAGGAAATGATACAGTGAGTCTATTGAAAGGGATCAACAACAAACAACTTACAGGCTCACCGACAGTAGAGAGAGGAGGAAAAGGAGACTAGACTATTGTTGTGCCTCAACATCCCTTGTTGAATCAAGTTGAGGTGTTCACAGAACTCTCACGCAGACTGATTGTTCAGAACGATTGCATTGTTTTCATGCCAACCGATTGAACAGCAGAGGACCGCCAGAAGTACATAAACTCGGCATCCAGAGAGAGAGTCGACATGGCAGACAAATGCTCTCGTACAAATCTGCAACAAGCTTGGCACATTCGACTAATCCGTTAAGTTGGTAATCTACTGGTAAGCTGATTGACCGAGCAGAGCAGCAAGTGATCCCCAACAAAAAACCCACATACACACACACGCATCCCAGACCGAACGCACTACTGAGCCCACAATGGCCCCTGAAGCCAAGATCAACGAACTGCGGGCTCAGTGCGACGAGATCGACCAGACCCTCATGATCGCCCGGGAGAAGCAGAGGGCCATCTATAATATCGCCATGGAGCTCGCTGTCCTTGGCTTTCCTGACGAATCTGACAAGGCTCTGGATGACTTGGCCCAGGTCGACAGTATGATGAGGGACATGGAGATGATGAGCGTCTCGCTGAATATGGAGCTTCTGCTCCTGAGCGAGTGAGGGAGTGGGTCGCGCACGAAGAAGCGCAGGGGGACCAGATTCGGAGATCTCTGAAGTCTGATCCGCTGGTTTGTCAGAACAGATTACGATGGGCGGCAGCTGGTCCTGCGTGCCAAAAGAACAGGTACAGTAGCTGCATATAAGTATGTGGTACGAGGTAGTATGAGGTAGGTCAGCAAGTCCCTCGGACTCTTGAACGTGAGATCTGAGAGGTTGGATTTTAGGAATGAGGAGTCATACCCTGGAAGCTCTGGATCAATAAGCTCCCCCTTAAGAATGTGATAAATCACAGTACCCATGCAGAAAGATGATACGTAATATGGAGTCCTTGAGGCTTGCCCTGGATTGCAAAGGATCCACGGACTAGATGATCATGTGATTGAACTATTGTATTTATGCTTAGCCACTAAGGTTAGAGTTCCACTGCTACTCCTTTTGCTCGCTTCTTAGGGGAGATATTCTATTCTTAACTCCTATATATCCGCAGACATGCCCGATACACTTTTCTTGGAATAATAGTAGTAGTAGTAGTAGTAGTAGTAGCAATACCTTTCACATTGAGTGCTTCTCTATAACTGAATATTTATAGTCAACTGCTAGCCAGCCTTTCGGAGTCTATCGTGCCTTGTAAGTCGTTGCTAGGTAACTATTGCTCACCTGACAAAAAAGTTCCGTACGATTCTAGTCAGCTCCCGCTTACCAAGGAAGACTCTGAGGAGTGGTCCAGCCGCCACAGGAGACAGCGTGGCATGCAATAATCGACCCATTGTGTGATTAAAGCCGAGTACGGACGAGGTGTTACGAAGATCTGGGTGGGAAAAAGGCTAAGGTGTTGCTAAGGTGGTGAGGCGCCCTCAGCTCAAGCCTCTCGCGGCTCGTCGTTAGCTTGGCAAATTGTAAAAATTTTGTTTTTTTCTTCTTTCTTCTTTTTTGGGGGAAGCGCCCGCCTGAGAGCCCCAAAACTGAGCCTATTCAGGACCTGAGGAGGGACCCCGAAAAAGGCGCGACGCACAGGCAGAGTTCGGAGCCTCGGCGCTCTCGGCTGGACCCAGCAGACTAGTATAGTAGCTGTCGTTCTGGACTAGACAAGCGCGGGAATGCTGCTGGTGCCAAAGCCTAGAACCCGCGGCAATAGCGTGGGAAACACGAGGTATACTAGCCCAACGTGCAAACGCCCAAGTAGGCCTCTTCTACGCCTACGAGTCAGCTCCGCGTCTGGTGCCTGGGGCTAATTAGAGAGTACCAGACAAGGATCATCTTCTGGACGCCACGTTTTTGGTTCCTGGTTTGGCGGATTTTTTTTCCCCTCCCTTTTCCCCTTTCTGCGCTGGGCCCTTTACTTACGCTCGAGGCGGCTGGCTGGGCTTGTTCTCTTTCTGGTGTCGGCGGAGCCGCATGAATGGCTTCGGTTCTCGCCCAGGCTGGAGGGCAGCTGAAGAGGGGCCTGGAAGGGCTGGAAGGAGGCCTAGGCGTCTGCCACGCCTCAATGGACGGACAGACATCTAATTTCCTCACGCGTAGCGGCGATGGGAATGGGCTTGGGAGCTGAATCTTGGGGGAATCCATTATTCGGGGGGGGAGAAGGGATAGAGCGCGAAAAGCGGGCTGTAGGGCATATCATGATTATGTATTAAATCTACCCCCGCCCCGCGAGGGCTATCAACTATGAAGGGATCCAGGCAGGTATCATCCAGTACGTCGTTGCAGTAGGAAGTGAAGAGGTATTCAGACAAGATGCAATTCGGTACCCTCCTCACCGCTCTGGCGAGCGCCGTTGTTGCTGTGCGGGCGGCCACGACGACATCGTCCAAGTCGACAGCCTCAACCAAGCCCACAACTGCCCCGACACTCACTACTCTGTACACGACTTCCACCGTCTGTAAGTCATCATTCCCTCTCGAGCGAAAGCAATGGAATAATCGAGAGCCTCCCAGTGCTGACCACACACTCTCTGCTCCCCAGACTTGACCTCAACAAAGGTCAGCACGTCGTGCTTGTCGACCTTCCATGGTGCCTGTATCAAGTCGACGGTTATAAGCGCCACAACGACTGTGCCCGTTTCCACCGTGACTGTTGCGTACACGACACAGACCGTCTCGGCCAAGACGAGCAGCACCACCAGCAGCAGCAAGACATCTTCGAGCTCCAAGACGTCCTCTACCTCCAAGACGTCCTCTACTTCCAAGACTTCTTCTACTTCCAAGACTTCTTCTACTTCCAAGACTTCTTCTACTTCCAAGACTTCAACTACTTCTTCCAAGACGACTACTACTTCTTCCAAGACGACTACTACTTCTAAAACTACCACAACGTCTCCCAAGACTACTACTACTTCTTCCAAGACTTCAACCACTTCTCCTAAGACTTCTACTACTTCTTCCAAGACTACTACTACTTCTAAGACTACCACAACTTCTCCCAAGACTTCGACAACTTCTTCTTCAAAGACCTCAACTACGTCTTCTGCCAAGACTTCCACCACGTCTTCCTCCAAGACCTCCACTACTTCTTCTACCATCAAGACTACGACGACTTCTTCTACCTCCAAGACCTCGACTTCGTCTTCCGTCTCTTCCTCAGTCGCGCCTTCCAGCAGCCCATCGTCCAGCAGCGCGTCGGCTTCTACCGCAGTCCAGTCCTCATCATCTGTGCTGCCGTCCAGCAGCGCGGCTTCCTCCTCCACTGCTTCCGTACCATCTTCTGCGGCAAGCAGCAGTCAGCAGCAGTCGTCTACTTCATCTCCTTCTTCTTCTTCTTCTTCTTCTTCTAGCGAGGCCCCCTCGTCTTCTTCGTCGGCTGCCCAGTCTTCCTCGCTCTCTACCGCGTCGCCTTCCAGCTCCACAGTGTCTGCGAGCTCCGAGGCAGCAACCACCTCCAGCAGCAGCCAGGGTGTTTCGTCGACGGTGTCTAGCTCCTCAGACCTACCATCCAGCACTCCCAGCTCGTCCGCGTCTAGCTCCTCAGATGTCCCCTCTAGCACTTCATCTGTGGCCGAGTCCTCGTCCAGCTCTTCCGACCTGCCATCCAGCACGCCCAGCTCATCGACTTCCAGCTCTTCGGACGTGGCGTCCAGCACTTCTCTGAGCTCGTCTGCCTCCAGCTCCTCGGACTTCTCCTCGAGCACTTCAGATGTGGCATCCAGCACCTCGTCGTCTCTCAGCTCGTCTGCCTCCAGCACTTCAGACTTTTCGTCTAGCACGTCAGATGCCTCATCTAGCAGCAGCACTGATGCCTCGAGCTCCTTCACCACCCCATCCTCCATCACCTCGCTCGCCACTTCCACCTCTGCCAGCTCCACTGCCACGTCCACCTCTGTGGTACAGCCGAACTGCGGCTGGGTGGGCTGGGACACGGGCTCCAACATCGGCTATTACGCTGACGCCGCCTCGGCCACCTACGCCGGATGCTTGGCCCTGTGTAACGCTAACTCGGCCTGTCTGAGCTTCTCCCTGACCTCGACGCCCGCTTGTATCCTGTACGGCACTACCGTGGAGAACAGCGGCGACGTGGCGGATGCCAGCAGCGGCAACACCTTCTACGACGCCGGCGGCCTGTGCCCCTACACCTCGAGCAGCTCGAGCAGCTCGACCACGGCCTCGTCCACCAGCACCGACCTCAGCACTATCACATCGACGTCGACCGCCCTGCCTACGCCCACCTGCGCGGGCTTCACAGGCTGGGCTTCTGTTACCGACATTGGCTACTATACCGGCGTCACTAGCTTTGGCGCCTGCGATAACACATGCTCAGCCAACTCGGCCTGCCAGAGCTTCGCCTATGCCAGCTCCCTGTCCGTGTGCATCCTGTACAGCACCACTGTCGAGGCTAGTGGTGATGTTGCCGACTCCACGTCTCCTTACACGTTCTATGACGCTGGCGGCTCGTGTCCCTTCGCCTCGAGCAGCTCGAGCAGCTCGACCACGGCCTCGTCCACCAGCACCGACCTCAGCACTATTACATCAACCTCAACCGCCCTGCCTACACCCACCTGCACAGGCTTCACTGGCTGGGCTGCCGTTACTGATATTGGCTACTATACTGGCGTTACCAGCTTTGGTGCCTGCGACAACATGTGCTCGGCCAACTCGGCCTGCCAGAGCTTCGCCTTTGCCAGCTCCCTGTCCGTGTGCATCCTGTACAACACCACTGTCGAGGCTAGTGGTGATGTTGCCGACTCCACGTCTCCCTACACATTCTATGACGCTGGCGGCGCTTGCCCGGTCAGCAGCACAACCTCCACCACGGCCACCTCGACCTCGACCTCAACCAGCGCCACGCCCACCGCCACGGGTCTGTTTGAGTTCGTAAGTTAAAAATCCTCCTTGTCTGTTCGTGTGCGGCGTGTAGACTAACCAACCCTTTCTTCTCCAGTGTGGTACCGGGTTCAACGCCTACAACGTGAGCGCCCCTGTGGCCCCCTACACGGGCTGCAACACTACCTACCCCTACTCCACCTGTGCCCAGGACGTCGACAGCAACGCCTACTGCAACCTGTGCGGCTCCTGCAACAATGCCACATCGTGCACCTCCAACTCGGACTGCACGACCGCCCACGGTGCCGGCTGGGGTTGCATCACGGGGTCGGCATGTTCCACTGGAGGCGCCCCTGTTTGTCTGTACATGCTGGCGGGTGGAAAGGCCTATGGTTGCTACGGCCAACCCTTCTAAAAGGTGGTTGGAAACGAGCCTCGGAGCTTTCCTCCTTTTTGGGGGCTCCGAGTTTTTTCATATCTGTAAATTTTGTTGTAACCAAAAATTAATCTAATTCTTGCTCGGGGAAGACATGCCCTTGGAGTTCACAACTTTTGGAAACCAGATAGACTGGGGAATGCCATGGCCCAGAATTAATAAACATGCAAATATGACTATTGTTCGCATCATATGAAAACGTCCTGAAATCTCGTGACGAGTTGGAGGTATGATGCATTCAACGAAAAGGCAAAGAGTATTACGGAACCAATAAGGACAAGAAAAGTTATGTACAAAGATGTTCATTCAGCTACCTAAACAACAGAGTACGTAATAGCCGATCTATTTGCCGGTGTGAACACATACTCTCTCTTAATATCAAGTGTGACCTGGGCATCAATCCTACATCATCCGACACTGGTTGCCTGTCCTCTGTCTTCTACCATCCCGTTGTCTTTCAAAATTCTACTGCTTCTTCGAGATGTAGACCTCCAGACCTGACTGCACAACAAAGAAGGTGGCATGTGCTTCGAGCTCTCGACCCGGGTGAAGCAGCTCAAAATCAAAATCGCGCAGCAGCCGCGGGCAGACCTTGTTGATCTCGAGCAGGGCCAGGTTGCGGCCGATGCAGAGATGACTGCCACCGCCAAACTGTGTAGGAGTCAGTCAGAATTGTATTCCTTCTCTCTTCTTCTTCTTCTTCTTCTTCTTCTTCTTCTTCTTCTTCTTCTTCTTCTTCTTCTTCTTCTTCTTCTTCTTCTTGTTCTTTTCTTCTTGCATGGGGGGGGGGGGGGATCTGGGATATGTGTTTGTCTTCCTGTCTTACCTGGAACATATACCTCTCCATCCTCTTAGCAGCCTCGACATCAGCCAGCCACCTCTCTGGCCTAAAGACATCGGCGTCCTCCCCAAAGGTAGCGCGGTCCCGGTGCAGCACCCAGCCATTCACGGCGACCGTGACGCCGCCCGGGAAGAACTGGCCATCGAGCTCGGCGCCCTCGGGCGGGACGATGCGCGTAATGTTGAGCCCGACGGCAGGCCTGACGCGCATCGCCTCCTTAAGGCAGGCCTGGAAGTAAGGGAGGTTCTGGGCCTCGTTCCACGAGATGTTGCCGCTGGCCGGGATCGTGCCGTCCGCTACGGCCTGCTTCATCTCGTGCTGGATCTGGGCGTAGACGCGGGGGTCGGAGAGGACGTGCCAGAAGAAGGACTGCATTGTCGAGGCGGTAGAGTCGGAGCCGGCGAAGCTTGGCAGGAGATCCGTCAGTTGGTGGGCGCAAAGAGAGGGGGGGGGGGGGGAGGGCTGGACTTTGAAAGGGAAAAAAGAAAAAAGAGGATGTTTCTGAGAATTTGGAGGGAGGACTAAAGAACTTACATGGCGCCATGAGCAACGGCAAAGACATCACCCTCACCAAAGCGCTGAGGGTCCTTCAGGTGGCCCTTGATCAGACTGGCCAGCAGGTCCTGCCTGCCATCACCACCCCTCCACCTGCCCTCGCTCTCCTTGTCGAAGGGTCTCCTCCGCTCCAGCTCCTCCAGCGCCATGCGCGTGATCAGCGCGTTCTTGGTGTTCATGGTCGGGATCAGCCTCCGCAGCGGATTCCTGCGCCCCAGGTGGTCCATGAACGGCACCTGGCCCACGATGCCATTGTACCGCTGCATCTCGTCAATGGTATGGATGGCCCCGTCGACATCGCGGCCCTGCTCCAGGAAGCCGAAGCTGCGGCTAAAGGCCACCTCGCCGAGCACATCAAAGGCGAACCAGTGCAGCCAGTTGCCCAGGTCGACGATGGGCCGCCCCGGGTCGGACGTCGACCCTTTGCCCGAGGCCATGGCGTCCATGGTGCGCATCAGCACCTCGATGGTGTCGTCGATGAAGGGCGACAGCTGCTGCATGGCGGCCATGCTGTAGGGCACGTTGGCCACCTTTTTCTTCTGCGCGTGCACGTCCTCGCGGTACTCGGTGAAGATGTCGGGGTTCTCGGGCGGCGGGAACACGCCGTAGAACTTGGTCTTGTAGAAGCGCTTGCCTGCAGACAAGAGGGTGCGGGCCGCCTCGGGAGAGGAGAGGGACACCTCGTCGGGTGCGATGCGGACCACGGGCCCGTACTTGCGGTGGATGGCAATGTGGTCATGATGTGTATGTGTCGAGGCCGTCGAGATGACTTTCCAGAGTCTGGTGTAGGAGGCCAGCCATGGCCCTGGGTACTTGCGCAGGGGCGAGGCGTACTTCCTGTACACAGCCCTGAGAAGGATAGCAGCTGGAAGAAGTGCCCACCACCAGCGGAGGAGAGGGAGGAGGATGCCGGTGAGGAATGTTCTGGTGGGAGAGATGGTGCCCTCCTGGGTTTCAAGTCTGTCTACTGGCACTGCCATGTTGATATGGTGTGTGTGCGTGTGGGTGTGTCCTTCAGCCTTCAAGAGAGAACAGCAACACAGGAGTTGAGCCTAGTGTGCTGGGGTAAACCTCAGGCGCCTTTTGGGGAAGAAATGACTGAAACCACTGTAGTGTCTACATGTTAAAGTAAATCATCAGCGAGCGTGACGACTCGAGGTAGCAGGCTTAATATCTAGGTGATGTATTCCTCTTGGTGCATTTCATGAGGAAGCACCTTTTCCCCAGGACCGGCAGAATCGGATTAACCTCCGCCACCAAGAACAGAATATAGTACCACCATCGTCTTTGTCAAGGCGTAGTAATCTCAGGGAGCAATACACAAGGAGGGGCCACCCCCTCGACGAGAGAGAGCCTTTCCTGCTTGGGCGAGCATCTGGGGTTGCTGGGATGATACCCGGTCCTCGTCGTCTTGGAACACACAGACAGATGGTGATCTCTCACTCGTGACGAATCTGCGAGACGTATATCGTGGGTCCTTCTCCAGGCTTTCCAGAATAGACTGTCGGCCAACCAAGTATCTGCCGAAGGTCTCCCGGTTGATCCTGGGGAAGGCTAAGGAGAGACTTGGAGCCGCAGCTGCGGAGAAATCATGGAAAGAGAGAGAGGAGAACCACAAATTCCAAGTACCACGTTCTCCTTCGGTACCGCTCCAACGCCTTTTGGAGACGGTAAGCAAAATTGACTGCCGAATGGGACAAAGGCTAAGAACTAGGCGTCTCGAATTCAGCTTTTGTTGAAGGCTGCGCAACCTTAAGGTGGCTGGTTAAATTTCGTAAATGCATTGTGAGTCTTCTTGGCAGAAACTCTGGATGAACTTTTTTGTGTCAGCACTCAGATAGACAAGACTAACTGGAATTTCAAGCCACGAAACCAAAAAAAAAAGAAGCAAACACAGAAGCAGAGACCAACAAGGACCAGATGTGGTACTTTTATGCAGGACGAATGTACCGATGGCTCAGCTTGTGAACCCGCCCGTGCCTTGGATCAGCTGTCGGATCTCGGTTTACCAGGAGCAGTAAGTATTCATGCAGCCCGTAAAGATAGTGAGTGCTTCAGCGTAGCAGAGTGGTTATAAGATGGGAATAAAACCCCTTCAAGCTGCAGATGTGCACTGATCTCCTCCAGGGCTGAGGGGGAAACTTTCTCCCGTGGAGGTCGGCTAACGGTCGTTTTGTACAGACATGGGCACGTGCTTCTTCTCCAAGAAACGCTGCATGCTAGAACCTACAGTTGTTGCTTTTGAGATGCAGCTATGGCCTAAATTTAAATAAAAAAGAGAGGGAGAGAAAAACCGAAGTTTACCCTTGGCAGCCTCGTCTTTATCTCTTTCTCTCTCTTGGAAGGAAGGAAATGTATCGCGACCAGTGAGAGCACTGTAGTTAGTCATGACCTGCCTAATCCCCACCCCTAGCCTTCCGCTTCAGGACTTGGCCCCCCCACCGCAGCACAGCATACAGCTCGTCCAGCGGTATTGTAGCACCCCCGGGCCGAACTGCGGCGCCCGCTGACAATTGACATCACTCGAAAGAATCCCGAAATTTTTGTCAGCAGCCAGCAACAACTCCTTGCATCTTGGCCACAGACAACACACGACGATATCTGCATTCGTCAGCACCAAGACAAGTGATTGTGCTTCCCATCCCTTTCTCCTCCTCCACACTCATTTATTTCCTCGCTCTGCTTATCGCCAATGAACTGCGCAAGCCCAGTCTCAGCAGCGAAGCTGTTTGTGCAGCTTGCACCATCCAGATGCGCCACGCCGCCGGTGCTTGACTTCCTACTGCCTCGGGGTGGTCAGGCTGCTGTGGCCACTGCCTCCAAGAGAGTTCTCCGCAGCAACAGCAACAGCACATCAAAGACCGGAGCAGGCCAGGTACAACGCGCTGTCACAAGGGTGTCGTGGAGGGCGTCACGAGGTGACCTGTATACGTCCAGGTCGCTGCCAGCATCACCGCGTGTCCCATCACTCAGCTCTACCAGAAGGTTCACCCAGGTTGCCTATAACCCCCAGACCGATGAGGATGGCAATGAGATGAAGCTGGAAATAACGCCCAGGGCAGCAAAGGTTTGCCTAGTTCCCTCCTCTCTCTCTCTCTTTATATGGCAATTCAGACGGAACCCCTTTTCGCTAATCTCATCTGCCTACAGCGTCTATCCGACATCATGAAGAAGGAAGACAACCCCCACCTGGCCCTCCGCATCCAGGTCGAGTCCGGCGGCTGCCACGGCTTCCAGTACCTCATGTCCCTCGTCACCCTGCCCTCCGCCCTACCGTCCCAGCCCGCCGATGGCGCCGAGCCAGCCGAGCATCCCGGCGAGGGCGACGACTCGGGCGAGATCAGGGAGGACGACACGATCTTCACCCACACCAAGGAGGAAACTGCCTCAGACGAGGTGGACCTGTCTGCGCCCAAGATCATACTCGACCAGCCGTCGCTGGAGCTTCTCAAGGGGAGCAAGGTCGACTATACCATGGAGCTGATCGGGTCGCAGTTCAAGATCGTGGATAATCCGGCTGCGACGTCGAATTGTGGCTGTGGGAGCTCGTTCGACATTAAAGGGTTGTAATCGTTGTCTTTTCAAGTCATGGTTGAGGCTGAGGGATTGGCTCATCTGGCTTAGGGTGGAGGGAGGTATTTACGGGACAAGAGGGCATATAGACTTCAGTGGTGCATGGGCGGGTGGAGTTCATTGGCCGGGGGTGCCTCCCAGCGAATTTCTAGAAAATGATCTTTGGCGACCGCTTCTGGGGGAGATAGTACCCACATAGTTATGAAATACCCCAGCCTATCTCTTGAAACTACTTTACGAGGGTCATTCACGTGTAGCGAACCATCGTGTGGACTGCACAAAGAGAATGCCATTTGTGTATGGTGACAGAAGAAGAGTATTGGACGAGATTACAAGCGAGTGTGGGCAGTGAAGACGCCTTTGGTATTCAGATTTTGAATACCGCGAGGGTGCTGTAGTAACGAAAAACGGTGACCAGTCACACGAGGGTACATGGACAGAGAGGATGAAAATTAAAAGCCTCGAGGAAAGCAAGCAGACTTTTTTGTCTCAATTTAACGCCGTGCATCCATGCCAAGTACCATCCGTTTCCCTTCCCAAGTTCACATAAAGACCATTCGAAAAGTAAACACTAATCGCATCCGCCTCCTTAGTTCATCTGGCGGATGAGGGCGTTGATGTTCTCCTCGCGGTTGCCCAGGTCACCACCCTCGATGAAGTGCTTGAACTTGCGGGGGCGGAAACCGCCGTTGGGGTTGGACAGCTTGAAGGGCCACAGGAAGTTGGAGGCCTGCTTGAAGTTGGGGCCGACGGTGTAGATCTCGTGGATGAGATCCTCCAGGCAGACAATACCGTACTTGCCGAGGTTCTCCTCAATGATGGAGTTGTCGGTCAGGGCGATGCGCTGCTTGTTGACCTTTCCGTAGCCGCGCTTGTAGACGAGCTCCTTGACGCTCTTCAGGTTGGGGTAACCGTAGGCGACCCAAGGCTCAATGACCTTGATCATCTCGGTCACGGCTTTGGTGACGCGGACGAAGACTCCGTTGTTGATCTGCAGAAGACGCAGCAGCTGGAGGATCTTGCGGGGCTTAGGGGCAATCTTGTTGATACTGGAGAAGTGGTGTGGTGTTAGTGATCAGGGCAACTATGGCATAATTTGGGTTTCGGCAAGTACATACCCCTTGATACGGATGATGAAGATCAGCTTGGCCTCCTCAGGGATGTAGAACTCGCCGGTCTGCTTGGCGACACGGCCCAGGCGGACCTTCTCGCGCTCAGCATCGCGGTACTCCTGAACGTACTTCTCAGCACGCTTGAAGATGACGCCACGCTTCTCCTTGTTGGCCTGTACGAGAGGACGAGTTAGCATCAAGAGTTTCCCAACATCATGCTTGACAATCCGTGATTCTCCTCCATAGATCAGACCCGAAAGACAGTATATTTCGCGGACATCATTGACCGTAGTCTAGTCGATGCGTGGATACAGTTGTACATCACTTCGCTCATGTGGATGGGTAAGGGCTCTTCCACTGACCTTCTTCTTCTTGTCGGCCTCGGCGGTCTTCTCAGCACGAGCCTTCTCCTGAGACTTGCGCTTCTTCAGGAGAGTCTCGGGGACCAGGATCTGGTCGTTGGTGGGAACGGATCTATACGGTCATGGTCAGATTAGTACGTAGTCCGGCATACCGAAGTATGTAGGAGAGCGCCGGTGGAGAAGTGTTGCGAGTGCGACATTCTCTGCATGGCTAACTCGTTTGCTTGAATTTGATCGGTGAGGCCGCGCAAGGTCGAGCGTGTGCGAGCACACCACTCAAAACCAGGGGGTTGAACCTCATCCGACAACACCTCGACAAGTTAAAGTCGAGAGAAGGTGCTCGCAATATTACATTCGACTAGTCAACAAGAAATTGAAAGACAATATCTTGATGACTGGTACGGTTCTGCGGCAATGATTTTAGGGGAGAAAGTCTGTCAAGACCTTCAGCCCCAACACCCCGCGCATCATCTCTCAGTCTGCAGGCTGTGTTTCAAACCCGGAGAAGGAGGGAGGTGCAACAGGAAAAATCGAGCTGGCTGCGCTTGCTCACTCCATTACAGAGTTATAGAGCAAAAGCTTTGCCCAGCCGGAGAGGACCACGACAATCTGCAAAAAGAAGCTCCGTAAACCAGGCGGTGGGGTGATGAGGGCAAGACAGCTGACATCGAGAGCGATGCCAGTGCAAGCAAGAGGATTAGACATACGTCGCAGGCATCTTGAGTTCGGTATCGTCGACTGTCCTTTGAGAGATTGGCCGGTGAAGAGAGGTTTGTCGAAAGGAATGGATGGGTTGAGCCTTCGAAGAGGGGAAGGGGAAAAGAAAAAAATTCAAAAGCTAGAGGGGGAATCGTGAAGGCGGTCAGGGACTGGGGCGGTTCAAATTTCGAAATGGAAAAATTGGAGTAGGGTTGGTGGGAATTTTCGCTTATCTAATCACCACACTCTCGTTCTGATTGGTCGCACGCTCTGCAAGGGCTCGAAGGAAAGAACTTCGCGATTTCAGCCATCTTCTTGTCTTTTGATTCTCTGTCCACCAAAGCGAATTAACTGTCAACGACCCAGTCGATCAACAACACAATCCAACATGCCTCCCAAGAAGACCACCCGCCCCGCCCAGGAGAACATCTCCTTGGGCCCCCAAGCTCGCGAGGGTATGTCTATCTGCAAACACCCACAGATGCCCTTTGCATGAGGGAAGTTTTGACTGACGAACCCCTCCTTGGCCTTAGGTGAACTCGTCTTCGGCGTTGCCCGTATCTTCGCCTCCTTCAACGACACCTTCGTCCACGTCACCGATCTCAGGTTCGTCAAATCTTGCAGTTACAAAACGGGAAGAGGAATCTGAAGCAAGAACATCGCCGTCTCTCCCCGCGAGGACGTCTCCTCGACCCAAATAAGAAACAAGGGTTTACGATCGAGGCTAACATTCTGGGTGATTCCAGTGGCCGCGAGACCATCTGCCGTGTCACTGGTGGCATGAAGGTCAAGGCTGACCGTGATGAGTCCTCCCCCTACGCTGCCATGTTGGCTGCTCAGGACGTCGCCACCCGCTGCAAGGAGCTCGGCATCACTGCCCTGCACATCAAGATCCGTGCTACTGGAGGTAAGCTTTGGGACCCAGATTCTCCCCCTTCTCAACCTGCGCCGCAGGCAGACAGCAGAAGCTAACGGTGACGCTCTCAGGTAACGGCACCAAGACCCCCGGCCCCGGTGCCCAGTCTGCCCTCCGTGCCCTGGCCCGTTCCGGCATGAAGATCGGCCGCATTGAGGACGTTACCCCTACGCCTTCCGACTCTACCCGCAGAAAGGGTGGTCGCCGTGGTCGTCGTCTCTGATTGCCCAACCCCCCCTCTCCTCTCACCACTTATCTGCGTGGATGGATCGGCTGGTTGGCAAACGAGACGGACGGTTCCAGACAATCATGGGATTGGCGTGGTTACTGTTGCATATGGGTTACTCTGTGGCGTTGACAGTTACGAGGAGAACGGCTTGCGCCTGGTCTCCATTCTTCGCGGCTTCCTTACCCTTGCGGTAGGAGGCTGTTGTCACATGATGCTTATAGCACAGCTACAGCAATCAAAATGAAGTCAAAACACCCTGCTGCCCTCGAGTCTTCTTAGCCTACGTGAATGTTATTGAGGCAGGAAATGTAGGAATTGAGTTGTAGCAGCCTCCCTGGTAGCGTGCAACGAGCGAAATTGTCAGCAAAGAATAACCTCCTTGGATAAAAACAACAGAAGAAGCTCTGGAAGTGAACCCAAGAAAGCGCAATTCGCAATTAATTGAGGATCTAACCCCCAAGTCCAGCCGCAAATGCAGAACACCTAAAGGACTGTTTTTTGCTCATTGCCTAGGTATATCAATTTCGCGTCAAAAGTGAGCCTTCTCAACAAAGCAATCTCGGAAGATCCACCAACGCCATGCTTCTAGGTATCAATCAAAATAAATCAAAGCAACCTGGTGATCCATATCACCACACCATCTTCCTTCTTCTTTCCCTTATTTGTAATCTGGCTTCAACGCCCAGATCGACCGCATACTACTACTTCCCCGCTGCTCGAGCTTTGCCACCACGTCCAACGCCGCCCTGAATGCGTCAATGGACTTCTTGGTCTGGCAATGGGGGTTGAAATGGTCCACCAGGACCTTGCTTGGCGCCTTGCCACCATGAAGCCGGAGAAAGGGTGGGATCATTTCCTTGAAGTCCTTGACTCCCAGCGGCCGCCTCGACGACGTCGGCGTCACTGACCGCGAGCTGCTCGCGCTCCCTCCGGCGATGCCCTGGCGGCCCCTAATCCCCGAGAGCACACCGGATGAGAGACCTCCGACGCGAGCTCGACCAGCTTGTATCTGGCGTGGGCGTCCCGCCTCGCCAACTTCGCCTGTCCAGGTGACCGTGCCAATGGGAACATTTTCTGCTTGCTGACCGGAGCGACGTAGGTGTTGGGCGGCTTCCCCAGCTACACGGTCCGCCTCTCGCTGCAGGATGGCGCGGTCAGGTCGGACAGCCTTTTTGCCGTTGACGCCACTCATGACCTCGTCATGCTCAAGAGCTTCGTGGACCCCCTTGGAGAAGATGCCGGCCATGATGCGGTCCTCCTCTTGATTTGCGACGCCCCCTTCTTCGTCCACTTTGTACTCCTCGAGGCCGGCAACGCCATCAATCCCTTGAAGCTCTTTGTCCTCTTCAGCTTTCTCGTTCCGGACTAATGCTTCCATTTCGGCCCGCCGGTCACCCAGATCATAGTTGCCGCTCCCAGGTGTCAGCTTGGGCTTCGGCGTGGCATCCGACTTGACCTCACTGCCCTTGAAGATCCGACCTGTCTCGGTACCATTGGAGTGGTCGGTGCCGAGACTGAACAAGTCTTGTAGGTCGCTCTCGTTAAGCGACGCGCGCTGTGTAGGATCTTTCAAGACTTTGTTGGCCATGACTTGCTTCCAGATTTGTCGCTGGTAAATCTTCTCCTCGATAGTGCCGGCCGTCATGAGGCGGTAGATACTAACTTCCCTCTTCTGACCAAGGCGCCAGGCCCTCTCACGAGCCTGTATATCGGTCGATGGGTTCCAGTCGGGATCATATATAATGACCCTGTTAGCACCTGTGAGGTTGACCCCCAGGCCACCAACTTTAGTGGTCAGGAGGAAGAGGTCAACTTTTGGGTCATTATTGAATTGATCGACAAGCCTCTGTCTCTCCTTGACAGCAGTTTTTCCATCCATGCGGACGTAACCAATGCCATCCTGGCCGCGAACGAATGCTTCCAGAATATCCAGCATTTGAACACTCTGGCTGAAGAGCAGCGTCTTGTGGCCAAGACGCTTGAACATTGTCACAAGGGACTTGGTCACTTGCATCTTGCCCGACTTATTGGCTGCGCCCCACTTATAGTCCGTCCGCTTCTTGAGATTTGGATATACCAGGTCAGGGTGATTGCAGATCTTCCTCAGGTGATCGATGCCATACAACGAATTCCGCGTCTTCTTTAGGATGGCACTCACTTCCTCAGACCTGAGAAAGACCTCGTAGGCATTCTGTTGCCATTTTGTCAAGCCGCAGAAGAGGACCTGCTCACGCTTCTTTGGCAAATCTGCTGCGACATCGTTCTTGTTGCGCATCAGAAGATACGGACTGATGGCATCCTTCAACGTCTCGGCGCACTTCTGCGCCGTCATGACCTGCACATTGGTCGCATTGGCGTATCCACCCAATCTGATGGGCACTTCGAACTGGTTGCGGAAGGCTACGAGAGATCCCAGACGCATCGGATTGATAAAGTCAAAAATAGACCAGAGCTCGATCAGGTTGTTTTGCATGGGAGTGCCCGACAGGATGATCCGGTTAGGGGTGAGAAGCTCCTTGCACAGAATGGTGACTGCCGTGTTCGGATTCCGGATCTTGTGTCCTTCATCCAACACGGCATAGTCCCACTCGACAGGTATCAGCACGTCTCCATACGTCTGAAGACCTGCGTACGTGGTGACCAGGACGTGACCATGCTGGAGCACACGATCGACGATCTTCTTGGCAGACTTGCTCGACTTTGTAGGTTTGACTCCCTCTTCCAGCATGTCGTCATCTTCAAAATGACCCTCGTTGCGAACATTCAACATGCCACTGCCAGAAGAATGTAGAATGGATACTCGCATGGGCGGCCACCACTTGTGGAATTCCTCCACCCACTGCTGAAGCACGGTGGCAGGAGCCACGATGAGGGTAGGCCGGGTCAACTTCTTGCTGTAGTGTAGAGCCGCAAGAAAGGAGATGATTTGGATAGTCTTGCCAAGGCCCATCTCATCGCCGACAATGCCCCCGACCTTCTGATCAAAGAGTTCCCCTAGCCACTGGACACCAGTCTTCTGATAATCGTATAGGGATGGGTAGATGTCCCCAGGCAACTTGAGGCCGCCCTCAAATTGATGGTCGGGCTGATCCGGCGAGGGCTTGAACCACTCCTTTTCGTCATCATCATTCCCCGCAGCAAGACCGTCACGCTCTTGTCTGCGCCGCCTGGCGCGGCTCCTGCGCTCAATCCAATCTGCCAAACGTCGCCGGTATGCCGACTCGTTGCCGTCGTCGATCTTACTGAAATCAATAGTGCCCTCGGCATCCTCTGTAGCTTTAGAACTTTTTGGTCGCTTCCGTGCTTTGGTCCGGGTGATATCAGTCATGTCATAGTCCTCAGACGGACTTGTGAGTATCGACTCAGGAGAACCCGCCGATGCTGGCTCGAACTCGTCAGACGAATCAGCCTGTCTCTGAGTTTTGCGCTTCTTGCGAGGTCGGAGTGAAAACTCGCTCGCTACAGCACCCGAACCGAGATCGTCGTCCTCCTCTTCAGCGAAACCAGGTACCCGAAGATTTCGGTGAGAACGGATCTGATCCGCCGCCAGCTCATGCTCGATGTCTTCAGCCACGGCCTCGTCCTCAGCATCGACGATAGCATTTGCAAGGTCGCCAACAATACCCTCTCGCGAACCTCCAATCTTTGTGAAGGGAGTAATCTTGCCGGTGCGGATGAGGAAATCTCGGTGAGACTCGCCGGGGAGTCTGCCCTTGGCCGAGTCCGTGGCGACTGGCTTGTCCGGTCCAGCCTGGCGTCGTTCCTCTATACGAGCGGTGATATCTGCGATATCCTTTTCTATCAACTCGATCTCGGCATCGATTCGGGCAATCTCCTTCTGAATGGTGGCTTGCAAAGTCGGCTTGCCCCGCGCATTGACCAATTTTTGTTGCTGGGCCTGTTTCTGGTCCATGAACTTCAACTTTCTAGCTGTTGCCCGTGAGATGCGGTTGTTGTCTTTGTTTTCCTCGAGTTCCAGGAGAGCCACGCTGGCCTGGTGGGAGATGTCGCGCTCGAGGTCATCTTGATCGCGGACGGTGGCGCTGAGAGCCTTCAAGGCAGACTCCTCGTCAAGGTCGTCGGGAATGTCGGCAGCGGGGGTGCCTTCTTGGTCGGAATCGGTTTTGGAAGGGGAGACAGCAGTGACATTGTCCTCAAATGCTACTGCCTTCTCATTATCTTTGGTACTCTCTGCCGGCTCGACAGGAGCAAAGGCCGCGACCTCTTCACCTTGGGGGGAGGACATTGTGAGAATCAGTTCTAGAGAGCGGCCATGGAAAATCAGGCAAGAAACAGAATGTTACATGTGACAGGGAAAAAGAGGACTAATAAGAATGATTATAATGAGTCAAAGAAAACAGACTGATTGGAAGGAAATCACGACCACCCAAGGAAGTGATGTCCAAAATTTGTTGGGGGTGGAAGGCGAGAAAGTAAGAATGGGTTGTTCTTGGGTGCCTAGTAAAGGGCGTTGCAGGCGTCGAAACGTTTGGCGGCGGTTCGGCGATGACGCATTCGAGTCGCGCTCCCACGTGCGCAGCAATGAAGTATTTAATTAACACGTACTTACCCTTGCAGTGCCTTGTAAACACTAAACTCCTGTACCATATGTAGGGGTCCGGTGAAAAGTCACTCTACTGTACAATTTGTTTCCGACAACTCATTATTCTTGATGACATAGACCCTTTTTTGGAGAAAAATCCTACTACGTATAAGAAATGTCCTTCGCAGCTGCCTTATATTTTCATGCTGTCTCCTGATATGGACACGACCGTCGATTTCAGGTCGCAGCAGGGCGAAAATATACGGAGCCACTGCATAGCCCGACCATGGCTCTCCTAGCAGCCTAGTTAGCACCTATCTTACAGCCTAGAATTGCTCGCCTTCCCATATACATTATCCAATTATCACTCGTTGACCCGTCTATGAATGGTGAGTGTGTTCTTCGCTTCTCTCACACACAAAATTTCTCTTGATTGCCACTTGTGCAGAATAGCATATAAGGCCGAGAGAACAAAGCAAAGAGTTCAGTGTCATACTTGGTGCGGGTAGTCGAAGGGGCAATTTTTTTTTTGGCGCGAGGACTCGTGCCAGAGCAGACGCTGAACGGAATCACCGTCATGACTAGAACCATACTTTATGATTTTTCATGTCAAAGCTCACTGAACAACATGGTACAGGCAATGATTGATGGATACCCCCCCCCCCCTTCTCTTTGCTTTCTGGCTCTTCATTTGCCAAATGCCCCCAGCTGCGACGCTGCACAATCCTATTCATGTTGCCCTACCATGATTTCACATTGGCCCTAGCAGATCTTCCCCGTCTTGTGAAATCTTCGGCATAAATCGCATTTCAGAGGATACTGATGCGGACGGTGGAGGATATTCTCGTCCGAGGTGCACCTCGCAACCATCGCCTTGAGCCACACTACCATTATGACTACTCCTCCTTGGTAGTTGTCTCCAGCACTGCTTTGATCATCGCATTGCCAATCTTGTTCGCCTCTGTAAACCGAGGTTCAAAAAACGTCTGCGTCTCGCGGAACCTCTCCCTCCAGGTGTCGAAGTGACCCAGGCTCACACACTCGGCCCACCCACGTGCGGCAAAGGTAAACTCGAGGTCGTCGCTCCGGAACGTATTGTCCTCCACCGCGGTATTCAGGGCCTCATCCAGCCGCTCCGGGTGCCGGAACAGGTTCTCGGTCACACCCAGCCACAGACGGAAGAGCGGCGTCGAGCAGATCATGTGGTCATAGGGCACGATTCCCAGCGCGCTCCAGCAGTCCACCATGGCGAGCAGCGACAGGTGGTTATTCGGCAGCGCCTTGCCCTCCTCGGGCTTCTTGCCCAAGCTGAAGCGGTCCAGGATCTCGTCGCGCAGGAGCGTGGTGGACGCCCACTTGGGCGCGTCCTCACCGCCAAACACCCTCTCGCGAGCGGCGTACACGCGCCGCCGTAGACCCTCGCGGTTGCCTTCCAGCATCAACTTGTACAGCTCCGTCGTGCTCCGGGCGTACTGTGTGATCTGCTTGCGGGCCTCCGGGTTGAGGATCGCCAGGCCGGCGTATACGTGCCACCGCGCGCTGTAGATCCGCATGGTCAGATTGATTTTGACATTTTCGATCCCGCCGACGTAGCGGGCGCCCTCCCAGGGGAACTGCTGCATCGCGTGCCAGGCTTTGCCCATGGAGAGGAAGGCCGCATGGGTGACAGCTTGCGTGTCGGCCGTGATGCGGTCGTGCTCACGAGCGCTCAGATAGACGTGCTTGGAGTTGAGGCACGAGAGAACGGTTTCGACTTTAGAGAAGGAAGCGTCGGAGGCACGGTGCTTGATCAGGACCTATATGCTATCCAGTAAGCAGCTGCCGAGCTTTCAAGGCGTTCAGTCTTGTTGCTGCTCACCAGAGGTTGCCCTTTCGGGTCGACGTTGGGGCCATGCAGAGAGTGGCAGGGGATGATGTCGACATCAGGTGGCAAGTGTTCCTCCAGAGCTGCAATTTCTGGGGCTTTACATGATGTCTGGCCGCCGACGATGGCGTTCATCTTGGTAGCTGTGACATGCCATGGTAAGTGAGGATGGTCGCAGATAGCATTCATGGCTCCTAGGACAAGCATACATGGACCAAATTCCTTGACGACGTGTCTGATTACTGCTGCTTCTACGCTGTAAATAATGTAGTCGCTCTCTCGTGACACAAGATGGCCATTTCGGACAATATGTATATTATTCTAGATGATATCTCAGCTTGCCAGATCGCTGACGGACAGATGACGCGCGGGACCTGGTGGCATGACCATACATTGTCGCCAAATTCCTCCAGCAGACTATCGTACTTCTCGTCCCGATCGCATGCCTTGATTCTGTCCCGTGTGACTGGATGTTAGTATTTGTGGAAATTTTCAGTGTAGCAAGCCAAAGCCTGGCGCGAGCCTGTTTGACACCTGTTAGCCACCATTAACCTTCAAAAAATGCTTCAACAAGAGACAGATTGTGAGTTGTGCTTCAGACAGAAATTGTAAGGTAGCTGAGAATTTTCATCATGGAAAGCACACCGACCGAAAAGGCCGATGAGCGATACTCTAGCCAAATGCACTCAAGTCATCATCGAGAGGGTAAGGGAGGGGTAAAAGAAAGTTGTGAAAGTGGGGAGAGGGAAGGTCTCTTACCGTTTGAGAGTGGTCACCTGCGGTGATGGCCAATGTCACGATGTAGCATGATGGCGAGGAAGAGTAACAGCGCGATTTACCTCCAGCCAGCGGCAGACAGACGACGAGCATACATCTTGCCCATGTCGCCCATGCCAATGATACCGACAGTGAAGCCCTCCATGTCCTTGGGGACACGGAATGCGGGCGGCGCGGTGGTCATAGTTGCTGCTTGACGCGTCCGCGCGGACGCAGATGTGGAAAGGATGGTGAGCCAATCTGCGCGCAAGCCAGCTCACATCCTAGAGCTCACACTTCCCTGGCTGCCGTCACTGGCGAGCCTGATCTCTCAACTCGTAGGTGCTGAGAGGTGGGAATGCGATCTCTGTAGGTTGTGGTGTGCGTGTTCAAGAATGCTTGCAGGCTGGGAGATGTGAACTTGTAAACGAAGCTCCTTCTTTTCAAGCAAAATTTCTTAGCGAAGTTAGCGGGGCGATGGAACAAAGCGCCGATTTTCCGGTTGGTCGCTGCTGATTGGGCTCGGAAACCACGCTGGCGGGTGACCCACCTACGCTGTTGCCGACATTGATACGATTTACCTATGGACTACCCCGTTTACCTATGAACTTCCTTCCTCTTCAATTACCTTTTGTCCTAATTTTGATTTGTTCCAAACTTGTCCTGAAACCAAAGCAGAGTTAAGAAGGCAGTTTTGGAGGTTCAGAAAGGCAAGGGCTCAAGACTGCCACAGGACTTTGGTAAATAGTGGAGGTCTTGTCCAACCCAGTTCCTCAAAACCGACGGGGCTAGGATAGAGAGAGAGAGAGCCTGCGACAGGCTTGTTTTCCCCCCAACATCGTGTCTACCAATTTCAAGACTCATAGACAGCCAAACAAGAAATCATCATGGCCAGTCATGCGCGAAGAACACCCCTTCTCTACGCTCTTGGCTCCAACGGCTCAGGGCAACTCGGCATCGACCACGACCAAGACGTCTCCATCCCACGCCAAGTCATCTTCCGGCCTGGCTCCGAGCCTACCGCCCCTGTAGTCCAGGTCGCAGCCGGTGGTAATCATACACTGCTTCTCAGCGAGTCTGGGAATTTGTACTGTGCCGGAGACTTCTCGACGGGTGCCTGCGGACCTCTCACTCAAGAGCAGAAGGACGCAGCTCCAAAGTTCATTGCGCGGGAGGTCGTCCTGCATGCGGGTGCAGAAAGTGGGTCAGCAGCGCCTGTAAAGTTCATAGCGGCCACTTGGGAGTCTTCGGTCATCGTTCAGTCTGATGCGCAAGGTCGTACCACCGTGGTCTCGACCTTTGGCGCCGGTCAGAAGGGCGAGTTGGGCCAGGGACAGTTTGTCATCCGCACGCCTACGGTCTCACGGATTAAGAGCTTCCCGCCACCAGGGACCCAAGTCGTCGGCCTGTCAGCTTGCATGGGACATGTGGTCGCTCTTCTCAGCAACGGCGAAGTATGGGGTTGGGGCAACGGACGCAAGGGTCAGCTGGGGACCGGCGTCGATGGGGTAGTGCATGAGCCAAAACGGGTGGAGGGCATAGGCTTTCAGGCCGTGAGGGCTGTGTGTGGAAGGGAGTTCACTGCGCTGTTTGGAGGTCCAGATAGCGGTGAAGTGTTGGTTTTGGGCTCAGACAAGGCTGGTGTCAAGTCGTCAGCCCCTGAGCAGGCTGTGGGATGGAGAGACGTAGGCGCGAGTTGGGGTGGAGTCTACATTTTGAGGGGCGACGGCACGTTGCTAAGCTGGGGAAAAGATGACCATGGCCAGTTGGCGCCGGCTGGACTACCAGAGCTGGATAAAATTGCCATCGGGAGCGAGCACGTTGTTGCCGTGACGGCGGACGGCGACGTGCTTTCTTGGGGCTGGGGCGAGCATGGCAACTGTGGTCCTCGAGTCGAGAACAACGACGTCAAAGGACGTTGGAACACCATTGCTTCAAAGAAGTACATTCCGCCTGGTTCCGAGATTGCAGCTGTAGGTGCTGGCTGCGCGACCAGCTGGGTGAGTATCGAGATGGCAAGCCAGTCATGACCTTTTGCAACAACCCATGCAGGGGAATGCCTCCTTCTAACAGATCCGTCCTCTCATGATGTATGCTGGGTTGAGCTGGACATCTGATCACGAGGGCCTAGCTAGAGAAGAGGCCAAACTTGCGAACATCCGCCAGTCTCTGTGTGGGCTCCAGTGCTGATGGAAGGGCATCTCCCCCTCCATAATCTTGCGGCGCATCCTGAACGTTGTTGAGGTGATTGCTGATCCGCATGGTGGATGCCTGCAGCACTTATCAGCATACTGCATCGACCTGTTCTCAGTGGAATACCTTACGGGCTCATTACTGGGCTCCCATTCCAGCCGGGCATGCTCATCGTCTTCGTCATCATTAGGGTTGACAGGCTCCCATTGGTCATCTTCATCCGGTTGAGGCATGAACAGGGAGTCGGATTTGAGGGTGGACGGTGGCTGTCTGAGCGGGGCTCGAATGTCGAACTGCGATGAACGTGGAGGGTTCGGTCTCCGGGGGGGCGGCATGCGGGTAGATTGACCTTGTTGCTCCTGGGCCTTTTGCTGAGGAGGGCTCGGTTGCCGGGATGGGATGTTCGCTGCGGACGCAGGGCGGCTAGAGGCAGACGCAGATGCAGATGCAGCATCGAGAGCTGGCCTCGCGGCCTTAGCAGCTGCCTTAGATTGGCCCTTCCTCTGGGCCGCGGTGCTCTTTTCGTCGACAGTCATCAAGATGAACTCGCAGATGATGCCATCACCGTTGTATGAGACCTTCATGGGACGGCCCGGTCTTGAGTAGGCGGCATTGAGCTCGTTGCTGGTCCAGTTGGCGTGCTGAAGGACGGCACGAAAGTCCCTGACACTGATAATGATATGTAGCTTCTCTGGCACCGCAATGTCGTCGAACTCGTCCATCTCCACCGCGATGGAGGTGTGCAGTGGTTTTTTCAACACGGCTATGACTGTGTCAGATAAGAGCCACCAAAATGTCGTCAAATAACAGTTCCACCCACCCTCGTTATTCACGCTGACCACCTTTTCCGTGAAACATGTGAAGTTGACCACATTCTCTCCATCAGTGTTAATGTCCAGGAGGTCGATGCCTGGACCAAAGTGCTCCATTAGAGAGCGAAGGGTGCGTGAGTTGATGGTCCAGTGATGTACTGCCTCATTCTTGTCGAACTTGGCATGGACTGGAGATTTGGCTTCGAAGGAGATTCGGTGAGTGGCCGTGATACCTGAGCAGAGAGGTCAGTGCCATGCGTGGGGGAGGCTGCTCGGGCGGGGTGCTTGCCGTTCCTGCAGAAGACCTTTGCAACGAAGCGACTCTTCTTTCCCGGGCCATCATCAATGGCAACATCGCATCTCTCTATGGTGGTCACACTGTCTCGATCTCTGGTTGGATCACCTCCTGTACGGGTACGGAAGACAGCGGCGAGTGCCTTTTTCTCAGTCAGAGCCGTGGTGGCCCAAAGCATGCAAGGGCGATCATACCTTGATGTATATTACACAAAAGAACCTCTCGCGGTACTGTGCACTGCCGTTGAAGGAGAATTGGGAGAAGAACCTGTTCGCGGCAAAGGTGAAGGAGACATATGCCGACTTGGTAAGATTGAGGGCAGTCAGGACCAACTACATATTGCTCAACACGTCAGTCGGTCTGAAGTTAAGCAGCACTTCTCTGAAATTGACACAAGATAAGGATACCTTGTCTTTCTTTACTTCGAGAGAAACGTCGTCACTGAACTTGTGGATGCACATGAGGGCATCGTTGAAGGCGCCCACTCCCTCCGCGCTGAGGGTGAAATTCACCAGGGCCATGGCGATGCAAAGCTCCTCGATCAGAGGCTGAAGGTCAAGTTCCTAACTTGATCCCAGAGGTATAACTAGCTTTGAAGGCCTCCAATGATCCTCATCGCGCTCTCCGTCCGTCAAAGCTCGGATCGGAGTTTGCTGGTATATCACCGCTTCTTTTCCTCTTTTTTTCTCCCTTCTTCTTGGTCTGACGGGGGCTCCGAACGCGTTGCTGTGAGATTGTAGACACAAATGATGACGCACAGTTGGCTGCTATCTGCTGTCGATCGATGTTGGTGATTATACTGTGCTTTTCATTAAGAGTTGGGCACAACGCGACTGGGTGGTAATACACAGCAGGTCCAACCCGACGTAAACCCTAGAGATGACCAACCCCAGGCAGGTCCAGGGTTCTAACGGGTTCGACACGCGTGAACGCGGTGAGTCGACCACCCTTGGCACCCAGTAAATAAGCTGTAGCTCAAAGCTTCTTAGCCCTGTCAGTACTTACTATGGCAGAATGACATCAACTGCCCAATCTGACATAGTACTAATACTCTCTACTCTGCCACTTAGTGCAGCGAGTATTCCATCAGCATTTGGTTTCTTCTCAGTTACACGAAGCATCGACCGCAGTTTCTATTCATCGTATTTGACATCCGTCATATCAGGTATTGTCGAAAATCACTATTGGGACACCTTTTTGATGCTCGCCAATAAAACGGCGCGTTACAGCACCACTAGACGCGTTGCTCGAAGCAGTACCAACGCGACTATTACCACACGGAACTGTCTAGCGTTCGCGAAAGAAAAGAAGAAAAAAAGAAACGTTGTGCTCACCAGACGGCACACGTGCTACGCTGAAGCATGGGTCATGAAATACCACAGGAGATCTGGTGGCTCGTCTGCCAAGAGCTCCAGAAGCGGCAGGACGCCCGGAGTCTCTTCAGGGCCGCCCTCGTCTGCTCGAGCTGGGCAAATCACGCGCTGCCGCTGCTTTACAGGTATGCGAACTCGCCAGATCCGTCAGGTTCACAAGCTGACAGATTACCCTAGCATCCACGATTCTGCGGGCACGGATGATGTTGGAACAACATTTCAAGGAAAACACATGTGGGCCGGCATGTGGCGGTCCATCATCCTGTCCAGCATTGGCGTGACGCAGTACCCGTACTGTCTATGGCTCAAGTCACTCGGACTGAGTGATCTCGAACAACTGCTCGGTGATGTCGCATCGAATGCCAGCCTGAGGCCCAGATTCTTCGAAGGCCCCATGCAAGAGTTTGAGATCCTCAGTGGCTCCAAAAGGACTAGGTTCGGCAAATCCATTCTCGAGTGGCAGAAGATCATTGAGAAAGTTGGCGACACGGTCACGAAATTTGCCAAAGAGGCGGCGGATGAGGAAAACAAGATCGTGCAGCTTACCAATCTCGAGGGTGCAAACCTGCCAACTTCCTTGCTATCCGTCTGGACATCGCGTCTGGCAACCCTCACCACGCTCTCGATCCGAGACGGCTCTGTTCTCACAGAAGAGGTTGCAATCTCCATACGCGACCATTGTCCTGCCTTCCGGGAGCTGACGTGTTTCCACATCCAAGGGCAGACGGTGGATGAAAACATGTCTGCTTTCTTCCGCACGTTAAAGCCCAACTCCCTCCAGAGTTTCTCAGTCCTCAGCTCAAATCAGATTGGCCACGACACCCTCGATGGCCTCATGCAGCACTCGGAATCTCTGCGGGTCTTGGCCCTCAAAAGCCTGCAGAACACCGCCCTGCCTTTTCTTGATCTCCTGAGCAATTGTCAGTACCTCGAGTCGCTCTCGATAGAATCTAGCACGCCCTCGCCACCAAGCACCTGGGCGGCAGACGGCAAAGATCCTCTCGTCGTGGTTTCGGCGTGGCTCCAGGAGTCGAAACACCTACGGAAGCTCGAGATTCACAACCTCGGCGGCGCAAGCAAACTCCTTTCAGAAGTTCTAAAGTCGCCGACCCTGCGGCTCCGGGACCTTGAAACTAAGCTTGTTGACGACGACGAGACTTTTTATGTCGCCCTGGGCAATCAGACCGACCTCGAGAGTTTCATGTTCCGTTCAAATATTGAAGTGAATGATCAAGCTGGGCTCAGGCATGACACGTTCATAGACTCGATCTGCTCTTGCAAAAAGCTGAACGACCTAAACATCATGCAAAACGATCATATGCAACTGACACCGGAAGACTTGGGGCTGTTCCAGGAGTCACTTCCTGAACTGGAGTCACTCAGCTTCGATGGCGAATGTACGTATAGAGCAACGCTTTTCCTTATCTTCCAGCTGTCTTGGATGACCGGAGTATCCTTGCTTCAACAAGAGGGACCAGAACGACCTGTCTCTTTCACTACGCACCCTGTCACATGTACGGATTGTATGACGAGTTAACTGTTGATAGTGCTGAGCGATGCGATCTGGACTCCGTTGATGGGCATGACTTCCTTGACAACCATCAACATCAACGGTCTCTCTGTATTTACCTACGAGGGCATAGTGATGTTCCTCAGATCTGTCGCGGCAACCGGGGGCCGAAGTAGTTTCCGCCTCTACATCATGAATCAGTACACCGACGCCAAGATCACCCCTACTGAACTGGAAACACTATTCGCCCTGGCCAACAGTATTCCAGGTGGAAGCTTGGAGTTTTCGTACTGGCGGGATCCCTCAGAAGACGAGATGTCAGACCTTTCTGATTAAGGAGCATGCCATGGCTGATATGCTGGGTATGTATACAAACCCATGTGAAGACTGCTTGTGAAACTCGAGTCCGCTTTGAGCAGCACATGCCAATATATCTCAATCAGCGATAGGATCAGATGCCGATTAGATTCAAAAGGTTGGGATTAGGGGCTCTAAAAGGAACGTTCCAAGTCCCTGAACTGGTATCAGAGGGGTCGGGTGGGAAAGTATTGCTCGGTTCAAAATGTCGGATGAGTCTATCTGCAGAGATGGAGTCATGTGCCCCTGAGCGTAGCCGTACGCTTGTTGCAAAAATAAATCAAAAGGTGGATAGATGACTTGAAGGTTGTTAAGTCATGAACTAGCCCATTAGATGTACATACGCTTATACTGTATACCAATTACCAAATCGAGCTTTCATTCTTGTGGCCGGACCAATCTCTGATCGACAACCAACAACTCAGACGCCTCGCCAGCTGATTCCCGGCCTCTCGCTCCCAGGACCATACCGCGCATCCGGCATGCCGAGTACCATGGGCGCCTTGGGCCCACCAGGACGCTGCAATCCGCGCTGTCGAGGCCCAAACCGGCCCTCCTCCTCCTGATCCTCATCGCCAGGGACATAAGCCGGCAGGAATCCCACCCCAAACCCGACATCATGCTGCCCAACACCCCCGAGGCCTTCCACTGCCGCTGCCGCAACCACCACTGGCCCCATGTCCCGCGGGAGATACGCATTATTTCGGCACTCCCACCCGCAGTAGTCATCTGAGTACAAGGTCCAGATATTCCCGGGCCGCGGGTCGCAGTCGCCGGGCAGGTCGAAGGGGACACCGGCGAGGTTGGCGGGCTCCCAGGCTTCGGGCTCGGTGATGCGCATCAGCTGGGAGTGGACGGCGGAGCAGCTGGTGTAGAAGAGGAGAGATCGGGTTGGGTGCCCGCAGAGGGGTATCTCTTGGATGTATATGCACATAGTGTCTTTCTTCTTCTTGCTTTTAGTAGTAGCGATGGTGGTGGTGGTGGTGGTGGTGGTGGGTTAGGAAGAGCAGCTGCTGTCCTCCTGTTTTGCGAGAGCGAGTGGATTGTTTTAAATCACCACATGTCGAGCAGCATCATCACTTGCACCCTCAAACAGGCTCAGGATGTTCCCCATAGACAAGACGAGTCATCGCATCTCGGTGTTTATCATCTTCCCCACCTTTCTCCCTCTGTCTACACAGTCTTCACTCACAAGGTCTGGAGCCGTGTGATGGAACGTATTTCCGTTGGGAAATCGTGTGATCACGTGAATACATTGAGGAGGGGAAACGGGCAGGATGCCCGCGTTCTGTGTTGTCTTGGATGTTAGAAGTCGCTGTTTTGGGGATATGAAGTATACATTATCAGAAGATTTCACGGGGGGGAAGAAGAGAAGAAGAAGAAGGAAAATCTGAGACTCCTAGCGGAAAGACGGGAAGGGGTGAGCCCGTGTAGAGTATGCAAGCAGCCGCTGATTGAGGACACAAACGCCACGGCCTTGGAAGGATGTAATGAAGGAGGGTGGACGGGGCAAGCGACAGGGCAACGTGATGGATGGCAAGGAAAAATGCAGATAGCAAACTTGAATCAGACAAACTTGAAAAGAGACCAGGCATGAAGAGACAAGTGCTGGCTCAAGGACCAATCCTCACATCTGAAGCTTGATGAGATGGTCTGGACGATAGAATAAACCTGGCAAGGTCACCAACAGGGCTGCAACCTTCCAAGCACGCAGAAATGAAACAAAACACAAAGGTCACGCAAGCAACCCCCAGAGCTTTCTTTGTCTCTGTCCCACATTATGGATCCCGTCTTGAGCCTCACTATGCAGGTACAGATGGGACGGGACCGTCACACGAAATTTGACAGTCCAAACCCGTGAGTGACTTCGGCGAACCAAGTAGGGGGGTATCTGATCAATTTACCCTTTCCTGAAAACTGTCAGGATGGGGCAGGAAAATGAGCTGAAAACGTCCACGTGTAGGAGGTAGGAAACAGATAGACTCCTCCCAGCTGGATGTACCGGTGATTCAATGCTTAGAGGTTGCGCCCCGCACCCGTCCCATGCTTGTTCATCTTCCATTTGTTTCCAACAAAAAAAAAATTACCAAGTCGTCATGCCTTTCCAGACAAACTGTCTGACATGCCAAGGTGTCCTGCCACCTATTATTCAGTCCAACCAATACACAGGACCCTCTTCCATCTCAATGCCCATCTGCGCCATCGCGTCGTCAGGCGAGACGCCAGCAAGCGACGGGCCCCAATCCATCTTCTCTTTCAGCTCCTGCGTAATCGTATCGGTGGACACACTCAGATACTTCCTCAGGAACTTGCCAATCTCCGTATTCTCAACATTTCCATGGAGGTCTTCAGCATAAGGCCCTCCTGAGGAGTAGATGTTCACATCAATAGCCGAGTGGCCGCGCGTGCTCCAGCCGATTCTGGCGCGCTGGCTGATCATCTTGGAGAAGGTGTTAATGGCGTGCGCCGGGTCAGATGCCAGCTTCTTGAGCTCAAAGTCTCGCGCGTTGGTGATCCCCAGGCCAGGGATCACGAGGTTGGTGTTAATCCAGTCTTCGAGCTCGCCTTGCGCGGCGGGGTCGGACTTGATTGACCGGAGGTACTCATGTAACTTGTGCGTGAGGTATGCGTTAGATGCGTTGGTCTTGGCCAGCACTGATGGATACCAGTTGTAAACTGGCAGTTCGGCACTTTGCGATTCTGCGACTTGTTAGATGCTTAGGGTCTCACTCAAAACGGGGATGACGTCCCCGACCAGTGGTGCTTACGCCATGCTGTAGAAAGACCGCCAGTCTCGTGATCACTGGTGGCCACAAGAAGACTCTCCGTCTTGCTCTCTTCGATAAAGTCAACGACGGCCTTGAACGTCTTGTCATACTCCAAGACCTCGCGGACCTGCGCAGCGGGGTCGTTAAAATGTCCTGCATGATCAATACGGCTTCCCTCGATCATGAGAAAGAAGCCATAATCGCTGTCCTTGGTCGCCAGCTCCAGAGCGCGTAGTGCCGTTGTTGCCATCTCGCTCAGGCTCGGATACACGTCAGCCATGTTGCGGCGGTCGATCTCAAAGGGCACGTCATTGCCAGCAAATAGACCCATCAAGGGCAAGGATACATTCTCGCCGGCATGCAGGTCATCAAACCCAGCACGGCTATCCAGATATGTCCACCCATGCTTCTCTTGTGCAATATGGGCCACGTTGACGTCATCCGCGCGACAGCTTCCCTCAGTCGTGTTGGGAAGAAAATGGCAGCGTCCACCACCGAGCATAATGTCCACTACACGGCCAAGGGGGCCCTCGCCAATCTCCTGGAGCGCGATTTCGTTTTCTTGTTCCCTCAGGTTGACGTGGCTCGCGAAGCACGCCGGGGTCGCGTCCGTGATATCGGTCGTAACGACCAGTCCAGTCTTGTACCCGGCCTCCTTGGCAGCCTCCATCACCGAACCGCAGGGCGAGAAGTCTGGCAGCACGGAGATGGCACCGTTGTAGGTCTTTTCTCCACACGAAAAGGCTGTGGCGCCGGCCGCAGAATCTGTGACCAGTCTATTGCTCGACCGCGTGCGGCTCGTGCCCCAGAAGTGCTTGTCCAGCGTCAATGTGTCATCGTGTTCCAGGCCGTCCACCAGCTGCCGATAGGATCTCGTCAGGGACAGCGTGGCGGGCCCCATGCCGTCCGACACCATGAAGATGAGGTTTCGCTTGCCCACTGGCTTGTCCAAGGGGCCCGTCGTCTGGTTATGCTGCAGCATGGCGGCGAGGACGATGATGACGGCGGTTGCCAGCAGCGCCCAGATGAAGAGGATGATCTCGCGCAAGCGGGAGGACCATCCTTCGCGGTTGGGAGAGGCGCCGCGGATCGCATTATCTTCTGCTTCGGCTCGTTCGTCGGACCTGGCAGAGTCGACCGACCGCCGTGAGGCGGCCAGTAAGGGGGTCCGATCGGATGGCTATGAAGATAAAGAAGGATGGGCACAAGGTCAGTTATTTCGTCCATCTGCTAGTGCTCCTCGGGTTTCTTGGTCATCTTCGTTTGCGTGAGACTCACCATTGCCCCCCAGATGGATTATTCTGGTCCGCTCTCTCTCTCTCTCTCTCTCTCTTTGTCTCTCTGTCAGTTCGTCGAGAACACAGTCGAAACCACAAGATGTTGTGGAGGTCTGAGAGAGGAGGATGAAACGGCGAGAAGGTTGGAGGTCAAGTGTGGCTATCGCCTGCGTCCAACCATGGGCGGTGGATACTACGCTGTCAGTGCTATTATGGTTAGTATAATCTGTAGTGCGTCAGAGTAGCTGTACACCCGCTATGCACCCCGCCACTGGTCCCACTCTAGCATCACAAGGTCAGCCAGGAGGTCCTGGAACCAGCCAATCAACTTATATGTGTAACATTGCTGCTGACACCCCCCCCCCCCTGGACATTTCTAAGTTAGCCTACTTGACCCCACTGATCCGCTATACCTCTCCTTATTTAGGTGATTTCGCCAAATGACCTTGGAACACATTGCGACCTTGATATTATTTCACTACAATACATGGTACACAACACAAGAGAACATCACAGTCTGTATGAAATGCTGTGTTCCTATTATACATGCAGATGATACCTCCACAGATAGGGAGAGGGCAAACAGTTCCCAACCTGAAGCTAAAGTAGTTCCAGGCGTTCGAGCTCGTTCTCCGTCCACTGCCACAGCCTCTCGGCCAACTCATCACTCTCTGATATCTTCGAGGCCCCCTTCATCCTCCCCACAGGCTCAAGATATGCCCCGTTGACCAGACCGTCTCTGTCGCTCGTCGCCGCCCACAATGTGTTGTAAGCCCCCTCCTTGGCGCTCTTTTGCATGAACGGCGTGGCCTGGAACAGCAGCTTCAGCGCCGACTGCTTCGTGCTGCCCAGCAGACCCGTCTTCACCAAGCCAGGGTGGACAGACAACGACACAATCTCTGGATGGTGCCTCGCCATAGCCCTACACAGCAAGATCTGGGCAAGCTTGCTCTGGCCATACCTCGCGAACTCACCCTTGACAGCGTCAGGGCTCTTGAGGTTGTCAAACTGCACACCGCCCGCCGGCGCGGATTTGTGCCCAAGGCTGGAGACACACACGAATCTCACATCCGCACCGTCTGCAGACGCCGTGCGCAGTAGGAGGGGCCGCAGGAGGTGCAGCATGATAGTATGGCCCATGTAGTTCGTGCCCCACTGCAGCTCCCAGCCCTCCTCTGTAAGGCCCGGCGGCGTCCCCATGATGCCGGCGTTGGCGATGAGGATGTCGAGACGGGAGGAGTGGAAGTAGCTCACGAGAGCAGCGCGGATATGCTCCCGCGAGGAGGCGAGGTCGAGAGGGATGAAGGTGAGCTGGGGCGGCGAGGTGGTGTTGAGGTCTCGCGCTTGAGAGATGATGGCTGTGGCTGCCGTGGCGTTGCGGCCGGTGAAGTAGATGTGGGAGGGGTCATGGCGGGCTAGGGCAAGCACTGTCTCGCGGCCTATGCCTGAGGTACCTGAGAACTAGTCAGCTCTTGGCCCAGCAGTCAGTACTTTGTGTACTGGATTAGTGTTCTCAGGATAGCTTTATACCTCCCGTGATGAGGATAATCTTGCCTGATAGCCTTGGAATATCTCTCTCGGGGATAAAAACAGGCATGGCGATGGTGTAATTGGCGTACCTGGGAGTCAAATACCCTAGGAGGAACAATAGATTAGTTAGAAGACGTGTTCAGGCTGGGTTGGATACTTGTGCACAGCAGGGGATTGAGGATTGAGGATGATATATCAGAGTCACTCCTCGATGATGAGTCTTCGCCCTCTTAAATACAGGAAATGGAGACGGCGTCTTTCAGTCCACATAGTGGTGCGGTCATTAGAGATGCACCGGCGGTATTTATAGACCGCAGTAATTGGAACTCAACGGGTAATCAAGCATCAGCAATATTGCTCCCGCGGTTGGTGATGGCGTCAGCCAGGTTCCGCACAGCCACACAGCCAGATCCAAACGCCGATGACAACATAAGTGGGGGACATTACACGCAGGAATTGTTATACATAACTCAGAGTCTATACAGGAGTTCAAATGAGATCTGCGAAATCGACATGTCTACTTCCACAGAGCTACTTAAGCTGTACTTACTTGAGTAAGTAAGGAAGACTCGGGGGCAGATACTTAGTACTCTGTAGAAGGCACTCTAAGGTGTACTACAAATGGTATAAGGGAAGATGGTTCTTCAATTAATCTATCTCAAGGCACGCTTGCCAATTGCCTTCTATATAGAAAGGCAATTGGCACTAGTCCCAACTGGGCTAGCGTACCCAGCGACTCACTGCCTTTCTATTGAATGGCCCAGGCCAGTGAGTCAGGGTGGCCAGCCAGGCCTCATTCACTCGAGGCCCCTATGGCCTCTGCCACATACTCAATACGCTCAGCCTTGAACTCCTGACCCAAGTATGTTCTTAAAGAATGAAAACAAAATTTGACAAGTCAATAACCACCAAAAAAGATTCTGCAATTCTTTGCCAAGGACTTCTCGAGGTGCAACTTCTATACGAGCAGCTAATTCATGCAATTGAGTCCAGCATGGGGAACCTCTCAAGTACGATCATTTCCTCAGAAGTACCTAAAACGTTCAAACCCTCTCGAAGCAAATCTACTGTTTAAAAGAAGAGACATTACAATATGCTACAGCAATTGTCTCGCCCCTCGGGGTCGCGTGGCTACTACTTTATTCTCGCGGGCCGCAAAGTGTGTCTTCAAAAAGCGCTCTGCGGCTCTATGTGCTGTTCACATTCGCAAAGCTTTGTGAAGCAAGTTTTTTTCATTTGTAGTTTCCTTTGAACTTTTCCTAATTAACTTGCTATTCTTTTTCGCTTTGTATTTTTTAGATTCAGCTTGCTGCTGGGCCAGGATTTGGGTGCCGTTGCACGAGGAAGATTGAGACCGGAGCAATAAGCAAGGCCATTGCAACCCAGGCATGCCTACATCACGGAACTACAGCAAGAGAAGGCCAAGAAGGTCCAAAAATCGGATGAAATACCGGTCTGAGACCAACCTAGAGAGCTCAGAAGTAAAAGAGTGAGGATGGGTGTGTTGTGGTGGTATTGCTGTCTACGCGAAAAATCGAAGGTTACGATGCCCTCCAAGTAACGGGCTTCCATGCCCTGAATGACACTGGCTACTACAACCATGTATTTACCCAGAGCTGAATTGTGACTCTTGGATTAGTATTGCTTGTGGCTTGTCCTATGACTTATATATGGGATGGGTTATCATACGCACGCTTCATAGACAACTTTCATTGTTAGGGAATACACCTGACTCAGAGGGTTGCTGCTTGCTTTTACTGATACATACATGGGTGGGAGGAAAGTTGATTTCGACGGATATAAGTCTGAGAGATAACAGAAAGTTCTGAGCGTTTCGTGATCTCTGCTTCTTCTTCTTTTCTCCTTTCTTCTCTATGGCTTTATCTTGCTTGCTTGATATACGAGAGCTGACTCGAATTGGAAATCCTTCAAAGTAGTACAGTTTGATGTTATCAAAGTGCCGAATATACATGGATGCACAGAACCCGAGTGCAGTGATAAAGTTTCGTTTACCAATTATAGGGTAGTATGCAGCCATAAGGAGATGATGGTCGTTCACCGCTTCTCACACAAGTTCGAGTCAAGTTTTCAGTTCTCACATCAAATATACATATCCTCAAATACTATTGTCCACTGCTTTACATGCTCCTGGGAAATTCCGTAGAATCCTCGCCGAAACGGCAAATTTCCACGAATCTGATGCTGTGAGAAAGCCCCAGCTGCAGAACCGGAGATCCACTGCGTACGATACCTAATTCAGCTCTACATGATTCAGCTCGACATGCCATGGACAGCCGAATTGCGGTAAAAGATAATCTATTCAAGACAGACTTAAACGGGTCTTCTTCAAATACCTGCCAAAAGTGGACGAGAGATTATTCATATATAAAGCATCCTCTCTCCCACAACTATCAAATATTCTTAGTCTTCAACCATCAAAACATTGAGCAACATTCGCATCCCTTGCCATTATCAACCCTCCTCAAGCTGTTCAAACAAGCCCGGCTAACTCATTTGCCAAAATGAATGTCTTCAACTTCGTCTGTGCTGTCCTGGCCGCCGCCGTGTCCGTCGAAGCCGTTGCTGTAAGCCAGTCGGACTCTTCTACATTTATTTCCTGTTCCCAATATGTATGGCGGGACTGCAATAGCTAACAATCACCATAACAGTGCACCGACTGCGAGTACTGCAGCCAGACGGGCGCCGCCTGTGCTATTGCGGCTTGCGTAAGTTATCTTCTTCTCACGGCCAACTTCTAAATATGCTGACTTGAAGCAATTCTATAGCCCACCGCTGCTGGCTATTGCTAAAGCGACTTTTCTCACAAGTCTGCTGTTTTAGCCATGGGAGTGGGAGGGGGGGGGATGAATTTTGACGGGTCTTGGGGGGGGGGGGGGGATTCAAGGCGGCTACTGTAAAATGGAGTTGTGGAAATCTTAGAGTGTGTCTTACAACCAACTTCACACTTACGACGTTGTGTTACGAAGAAGAGCCAAAGGCGATGTTGCATAGGATCGGTATTGCACATTAATCAACATTCAAGATTCTACCTCGACACCATCTTGGTCCACTATATTGATTGGAAGCCTAATGTGTCAAACTAGAGACTTCCAAGATGGATCAAACTCCAAACATCTGACGGTCATGTATCTTCTGCTTTACAGTCCAATATTGATCCCACCACGGCTTTTCTCCCTTGCTTTTCCCCGGAGGCAGTTTCAAGTGGATAGTATGCGCCTCGCCCTTGGCCTCCGCCTTCTTTTTCTTCGAGATATGATCCCGGACCTCATAGTGGTCAAACATGGACACGGCCTCGATCATGTACGCCGTGGCCACGCGCTGGTCCCTAATTAGGAACAGGTTTTCGGCATTCTTTGTGTCAGCCGCCACGCTGAAGTTGTGGGAGCCTGTGTACACGCGCGCGGTCGGCTTGTTGAAATCTATGACTACAAACTTGTGGTGCATCCTCGCGCCCGACCCGCCCGCAGACTCGTTGTCAAAGTCGTCGGGGTAGGCTATGGGCGGGTTGCCGTCGTGGGTGCGGACGTCGAGCCCGCCGACGGATTTGTCGGATAGACCATAGACCAGGACGCCCTTCTGCGACGTCTTCTTCTCGATGGCGTCGCGGATCACGCCGGGTGTCTCGTAGAGGAATGCCAGGGAGTAAAAGAGGCTGGACTCGGTGGCCTTGATGTCGGAGGCGATTTCATCGAGTGTCGCCGCACTGGAGCTGTGAGGGGAAAATGTCACCTGAGCGTCGACATCTCTGAAGCCAAGGTCGGCCCACTGTGCAGACTCGGTCTTGTAGAAACCGTCGGTGTCGTTGGGGTGCGCCCAGTAGTTATCAAAGGCCTTGTTGAACACCTCCACCGGGCGAGCACCTTGGAGGGCAACGAGGTTGTTGTTCTGGACGTAAAAGCCACGCCACGAGAAATTGGTGGATCCACCAATAGCGATCTTGGTCTTGTCCCCATCCACAGCGATGAGTTTGTTGTGCTGTAGGTTCCCCATGTGCTGGCGTTGAACGTTATCCTTGCCCGCAGTCTTCCGCAGCATCTCCGCCGCCTTGGACTCCGCGTCTTCAGCTTTATCATGCGAGTTCGAGTCGTCGATAATGACCTTGAGACGTTTGCCCAGCCTTTGGAGTCGTCGGACTACCTCGGGATTGTTGAAGTCGTATGCCAGCACGCGCACCTGGGCTGTAGTATCCTCGATGGCCGCGTCGAGCGTGGAGAGTACCACCTCACGAGCTTCAAAGCCCATCCAGGCCAAGGCCTTTTCTTCGACCTCTGGGTCTTTGGGCTTGAACTCGAGGCCTTCATCGGCTTTCTCGGGAAGGATACTCCCAACACCGCCATCGACACCGAATTTCTTGACGAAAGCCTTGGAGGAAACGAAACCTCGCGTGAAGGCAACATTCATCTGGCCCGGGTACGTGTCGGCCATGAGCTCAATACTGACCTCCTGCAACTCTCCATAAGTGAGTTCGTGGTCGTCGCCTTGGCCCTTCATGAAGACAGGAGTAACGCGATAGCGGAAGTGTCCTGGGGCGTCGACGCTGTACGGGAAGTGCACCCAGCGGAATCTCTGGATCGGTGACAGGCGACTCGAATAAGCATCAGGCCCTGACCGTGCAGCCTCGCCTGGAAAGGTGACATAGTTGGGAATTGGCCACCACTTTTGTGATTGAGGTTCTTTGAACTCGATCACGAACCCAACGAAGTCGTCAGGAGGAGTGTCATTTTTCCAATTCATAGCCAACATGCACATGCCTTCTCCCCGATATGCTGCGAAGGTGAAGGGGGCATTAGGGTTGTCACCTTGCACGAGGAAGGTGGGCGGCTTCTTGTTGGTGGCCGGTGTAAGGCGATGCTTGGGCCGGGGTCCAGGCTTCTTCTTGTGCTCCACCGGACTCCCGGCGGAACTTGCAGCAGGTCGCTTTCTGGCTTTCTTGGGAGTGTGTTGTCCAGTCGTGGGCTCGTCATCTGCGCTGTCCTCGGTCTCAAGTTCCTCGTCCTCTAGACCCTCATCCTCTGGTTCTTCACCATCTGGCCTCCAGATGTCATCATCTTCGTGGTGCCGGGCTCGGGGCGTAGTCTTCTTGCGACCTGTAGATTTTGATGTCTTCTTTGAGGGGGTTTTTGGCTTCTCATCCTCGCTAAGTGGCAGCTGGTCGTTCACCATCTCCTGGACCTCCAGCTCTTCGGCCTCAAGGTCCTCGTCCGTCGGCTTCCAGGTCTCATCGTCCTGGTGCTTCGGCCTCCGGCTCATTTTCTTGTGATGGGCGACGGGAGATGCCTTTGACGATGAAGCTGCCTTTGAAGCGGCTTTCCTCTCGACAGGCGCTTCATCCAATAACTCGTCTTCCAGCATCTCGTCAGCGGCCTGAATAGCGGCATCTTCGGCCGACGGCCTCCAGGTTTCGTCCTCCTCTGCTGTCCGCCCGCCTCTTGCCATGTTGTATGATTGCCTCGGCAGGTGACGAGAACACTCAATTAGGGTGGAGATCTGGGGCTAGATACGAATCTGCAGGTGTTGGTGTTCGGAAAGACGACGCTGTAAACAATTTTTCAGAGCACCTGCAGCGCATGTGAGAGATCTGCTGAACGGCAGTGTGGGAGCTCTTCTATGCTACACCAAAGAATGCATTCTCTACCAGGGCAAATAACCTACTGACACGTCACCGCCTCCGCTATGGGGCGACTCGAAACCGGACCCATGTATTGTTGTGATACTATACCCACAGCCCCCACAAACGCTTAGCTGGCAAGGGCTTCTGTTGGATATTATTACTCGGTATGTATAGGCGCGCCTCATATTCCATGTAACTCCCCCTGCTCGCCGGAGCCCCGCTCATAGTAAGTGCTGTCATTACAACAACGCAGCCGTTTTAATACGCATTACAGTAGCAGCATGTAATACCATGCTATATATTCAGGCTGCGTTACCGAGAGGTAAGAATGAAGAAAAAGCCGGCCTACCAGATAGACTCGGCGGCTGAAGCTATCTAGAAAGCTGCGGCAGGTCAATTGGAGTCTGCTAGGCGCGCACAGGTTATTGATTTACCGACTTCCGCATACTTCAGCTCTTGTACTTCGCGAACCCGTTTCGGATGAGTAAAGATGCATGATCGGCAGGGATTAGAATACAGGCGTAGCCTGGGTGAACAAGAGAAGAGACAGCTCAAGTTAATAAGCCAGCGGTGATGTGAATAAACATATGAGCCTTACAGCTAAAGAAGGTCAGCAAGTCCTGGTGAAGACCAAGCAATGAAAGAAGAAACGTTGTGCAGTCGTGTCAATGGATATCATGTCATTGCTCGGCCATAGAGAAGCGCCCTTTCCTGTGCTGCACACGAAGCAGGCAGACTGGCCAAGAGAGAGCCAGATGCCAGACACCTGTACTTTATATCACCAGTATTTCTCTGTTAGATCATGATGCGCTAGGATCATAATAATACTGTATAATGTGATAGATTCTCTAGCCATCATTCTGAGGCCATTGGCTCAAATCCCCAAGAGTATATATGCGCAAACATAATCGGGGCTGACTGATGGGGCAGCTTCCTTTTCACAAATTGAAAATGCTAAAACAACTTCATGGAAACAGAGAATGACATGTTTCACAGCTTATTCAATTCTATGGAATATGATTTATTATAGAAAATATATAGTTGGAAATAGATGATAATATAATTGGCCAGAATACTAAGTACCTAAGTATGTTGTGGGCTGGCTGCGTCCAATCCAGGGTTAGGGTTGCCGACGAAACAGGCTTGGAGCAGTCGCACATGTCTTGAGAGAGCTTCACGCCCTGTCTGTCCTCTTTATTATCCCGTACAGCACAGCGCGAGATCCTGGACGCTTTGCAATGAATCTATCAATGTGTCCAGGACCAAAATCGATCGGTTGATGCGACTCATGCACAGAAATATGAACCCCCCCCCTCCTTTTTATCGCAATCCGCGAACATGTAGGAAGGAACGCGTCGCGGAAGCCTGCGCGCGCCTCAAGCCACGAGCCGCTTCCGTCGCACCGCTTCCGTCACAGAGCCACCACTTACGCTGAACGAGCCCGGTGATGGGGCTAGACGTGGCGAACAACGCTGGACGCTGGTAGCAGGATGTCCCCCTCTCTCAGACAGTATTAGCCTCAAAGTCCTAATGGATGGGTCGGCAATGTGCTTGCGCACCGCGCAATGGCACCTCCAGCGAGGGGAAGCTTCTCAGCAAGTCAGATTCTGATGGCCAAAAGTACAGGTCTTCTGTTTACCAAAGTTCTCCCTTCCCCCAGTCAAATATTTGAGTGTTCTCACAACCTCTGGTTTTGATCAAAGTTTTTTCAAGTTCTTTTCCTTTCTTTTCGTGGGCGAGTGTGTGATTGTGCAGCATGTCTTCGATGGCGAAACCTCGCAATACGCGAGCTCTTCTCCTGGGCGTTTGCTTGCTTCTCAGTCTTCATGCTCTGTTCTGCAAACTCAATCATTTTACACAGCCGGAGGAAGCATTGCTAAACGCATGCGCCAGAAGGAATGAGACGATGGCGCAGCAGGAAGCTGTGCATGAGAGTCCACCCACAATTGTTCGTCCCAAAGAGACGACAAGATCATACAGCACCGAGTCCTGGAGCAGCCTGGACGGCAAGATCAGTCACTACACCCTGGTCCGCCCGACGAACGCCTCGGCCTCAGAACAAGCAGTGCTGTTCCTCAGTATTACTCGTGACAGCAACTCCTTTGGAAGAAATCCAACCGAGGAGCCGCGTTCGTTCCGCAACCATCTCGAGTTCATCACGGCGACTACGCTCAGCGAGACCCAAGTATCAATTGCGATATTGACATCGTCAGAAGACGAATTCGAGAGCTACATTAAACTTCTCACCCCACCAGACACTTCTGACGGCGGGCATCCAAAGTCTGCAGAGACTCGTGATGATCCAAATTCGAAATACTTCGGTTACGACTTTGCAAGGGTGACCGTCGTGCTCCACACGGCAGACACTCGCCAGACTGACCCCGAAACGTCCAAGACAGACACATCACGGGACAATCGTCACGGAATTCCCCAGCACGAGCGTAGGGCTCACCTAGCCAAGCTGCGCAACTACCTGCAGAACGTCGCTTTACACCACGAAACTCATCTGCTCTGGCTCGACGCAGACGTATACAAGTTCTCCTCAAAGAACATGGTCGAGGCCATGATGCAGAAGACCACGCTCGCACCGGACCGGGATGTCGGTGTCCTCACGGCGCGTTGCGCCGTGGGTGAGCAGAGGCTGGCCAACGCATGGCTGGAAGAGCATCCCGAGTTCAGCATTCCCGATGGGCCGGGCCCTGACGATAATGCAGAGCAGAAGAGCCTAAAAGAGGAGATGAGAGGGAAGCAGGGCGGTCGGTACGAGATCATTGCCCACAAGCTGTCGGCGGTGGGCACCTATGACCTCAACGCCTGGAGGGGAGGGCGCAATGCTCCCAACGATGTACAGCAGCAGAAGCTTTGGGTGGACAAGGCGAGCTGGGAGCCGAGTCCCGCGGCAGGAGTCAAGATGGTGGACGCAGCCATCGATGGGACGTCGGACGACGACTTGGTGAGGCTGGACGCGGTCGGCGGTACGGTCCTGATGATCCGCGCCGACCTCGTGAGGATGGGGCTCATGTTTACTCCGGGCTACTTTGTAGGGATGACGTGGGAACATGGAGAGGGATATGATGGAATCGAGACCGAGGGCCTCTGTGTCGTCACGAGAAGCTTCTCTCGCGACGGACAGTCGACCTGCTATACCATGGGAGGTGACTGGGCGGTCTATCATACGATCTGGTGAGACGCGAGCCTGGCGCCTCTCCTCCTTAGCCAGACCATCCAATTTCGCCCTGGGACAACTTTAAACCAGCATGGAAATCATTTTTACCTTTTCGCAGTTTGAGAAAGAAATCAACCTTGAATACTTTGCTGAACTCCTTACCTTTGCGGTCTAACCTAAGAAAGCGCCCCTATGGTAAGACGTAGTTTTCCGTTATGCACTGGGCAGGGATAATGAAGAAAAATTATGAGCCGGGCGTTTCCCGCATGTTATTCCTGCAAACCGCCATGGGCCCAGATACTTTCGTCCAACACACCCCATCTCACATTGCAAGAGACACAACCGAAATGCCAGTGGGCCTCGGTGCTCTAGATCTCGTCACGCTGAGCGTTGTTGCCCATGGTACTGTCCTCGTCCTCCTCTTCCTCGGCGTCAGCGTAGAAGCGGATGAAGTTCTCGTTGCTATCGTGGGTCCGGGCAGACGCGTCAGAGGGGGTCTTGGGCCCGACGGATTCGACGGAGGCGGCCTTGGAGTCATTGGTCAGCAGAGACACTGCGGTACCAGCGACACTAGAGGTCTCCGTGGCACCCTCGACGCTGCCGGCGACAGCCTTACCCTTCTTGTCCTTGTTCTGATCGGGCAGCAGACCCGCCTTGGGATCACGGAGGCCGAGGTTCTTGACAATACCGGCGTTGGCCACAGGACGACCACCCATGGCGCGGAAGCCGAAGCCCACGGCGGCGGTCGGAGGGATATCACCCTTCAGCACGCCGTCGATGCTCAGGTAACTTAGGTGCTCTCCCAGACCACCACAGCCGCAGGTAGGGCACAGGATGGTCTTGCACTCGTCCAGCTCGTCCACAACGTGGGGGTACAGCTCGGCAGGAGGGATTCGTCTGCCGTAGCGGTCGCTGAGGGCGGTGTCGACGGCCTTCTCGTGCTGGCGCAGGATCGTGTCCAACTGGTCGGACGTGTAGGAGGCTTTCAGAGAGGGGGTCATCTCGTTGAGAGGGCTGAGCTTATCCTGATGGGCGGTAGCACCGCGGACGGGAGGGTTCAGCTGCTGCGAAAAGATCTCGCCAATCTCGTCGAAGTGCTCCTGGATCGTCTGTCAGCGCGAGTGCGCGTGGAGAGAGAGGAAGAGGAGCATGGGTAATTAAATAAGTAAAGAGGGGGAGGTGGGGGGGCGAGTCCATTGGTTTGTGAACAAATCACACACCTGATTGCCATCTTTGATGGACTCGAAGAGGCGTGCCTCGATCTCATGACTGCAACGGTACATCCAGCCGAGTTTAGAGCGGCATCCACACTTGTCGCAACGCAACGTGTCGTCGTACTGTCCACGCCTTGTCAGCAAAGTGATTCGTATTTACATGTGGACGGAAAAGATCGCGGCTGAGTCTCGTATACTTACCACGCGCGTGGACGAGAGGGAGAAGCACTTTTCATGCATTGACGAGAGGATTCTAGGGACGAATTGCGGTCGATCAATACTTTGGTCAGGCCAGATTCCTTCTGCTGGAATAGGGCGGTTGCCGATCATGCCAGTTGGCGGAGGGTAAGAGTCCTCTTTATCATCAATCTCATTGCCAGATGTTGTAGCAGGCAGGCTGTTGAGATCAAAGCCTGGTGGGGGATGGAAGTCCTGGCGGGCAGGGCCAGGGGGAGGAGCTGAAGGCACCTGAGGCTGTCCCTGAGAGACTTCCTGGTCTGTCTTGTTGTAGTCTTGAGCCATATCATCAACTAGGGTCTGCTGAGATGGAGGTTCAGGTGAAGGGCTGCGGCGGAGGCGAGCAAAACGATGAAATAGACGCATTGGGAAGGGGGTCATTGCTGTAGTCAACAGATGAAAGAAAGGGTGAGTATTTGATGTCTTGGTCAGGTTGGGAGTGGAGGCCTGTTGTGGTGGGCTTCCTGGCTGTTGTTGACGAACTGCAAGGGATCTTGAGTTCCATGTGAGATGTTATAGGATGAGTGAGGTCGACTGCTGAATTGACCAGTGGTCATGGTGCTTGGTAGGGTGAAAGCTGCTGTATTTTGTTGTTGTGGGCTGGATTTTGGTAATGTGCCACTTTTTGTTTGGCAGGATAAAAGCTAGCAATGAATGAATAAATAATCGATGAAAATTCAGTGAGTTGGCTAATAGAAAGACAGTAGCTACTAAGTGAAGGAGAGAGCTTCACTGATCAACCAGCAAACTCGTTGCTACAGCTGCCCAGATCTGTGACCAGATTCGTGTGCAGAGCGAAGCATCACATGAATGACTTGTGTTTTCCTTCCCTGCAACTAAATCAAAGTTAAGGAACCAAAAGGTTATTGTTGTCTATTACTCCCATAATCTTGAAAGCAAAATAGCATCCCGCTAGATTATCACTGTTTCAAGATCCCTAGCTGTAATATGTAATATCTTTACACAATGATTGAAGCTGAACGGACTTTCCCAGGCCAAGTTCTGGCCCAATTTGTGTCCACATGTTTAGTGTTCACCATACTTTGCAGTAACAGACATTTCGTTTTGGGGGATATGGGAACCTTCTGACTGTGTTACTAGAAAGGGCGCCCTCATACAAGCAAGTGGCTTTGGCAACAAGCACGGCATGATGTCGGATTTGCCAGGTTCGGAGAGCAACAACAGCCTCTGGTGCTGGCTGAGCCCACAGAAAAAGGCACTCTCCCCTTCAGAAGTTCTATCTGTCAACCGAAATTTCAAGTCATTACCAGCCAGCTCGCTTCTTTTCAATGAACAAATAAATCTGCTGACTTCAAGCAGACAACAGGCCTGGCCCATCTAAATTCAACACAGAGTGAGAGAATTTGTCAACACAGAGAGGGGCGTAGAGCGTATGATGGCAGGATGGCTCAAATTGAATGAGGCAGCTGGCAGGAATCCAGTTCATCATTACAAGAAATGTAGGACAACCAGAGTGCCATTCCAAGCTCATGGTCCAGGATATGGACAATCTGAAAAGGGGGGTTGTTTTCAGAGGGAGAAGAGAGGAATAGGAATTTGCTCTTCATCATGATTAACAAGCACATGGGCGAATATCCCTAGGCAGGCAGTCGTGATAGAAAGAGTTGGTTATTCAAGCAGTACTGTTGAGTCTGCATCCTACCCAGACTCCTCACATTGTAGTATGGACAGGCCAGCAGCTTTTGACCCGAGACTTACGAATTTCACGAACATCGAGGCATGCTGCGTTGTGCGGCTGGAACTGATGACGACCAGCAGACGATGAGGATAATTGGCCCATCTAGCGGGCGAGACTGCAAGCGAGCACATTCTAGCAACGTCCCTCGGCACGCCATGGTTTGGTAAGCTTGTAGAAGGGATGAGGTACCTTTTGGATGCTTGCCAAATTGCCGTCATGCGAAGTTGGTCCGAGGTTAAATTTCGGCCAGAATGTATGGATGGTTGTGGTGTAAGCCACAGGGTACGGCTATATGATGTTAACCCATGACCTTTCTTCTGGGCGAAAAGGCCACTAAATAGCTACATTTTCATGTACTGCACTATCACTCATGCAAAGACGAAGAGATGATATTAGGCGCCAGTAAGCAGCCAGCGCGTTGCTCCAGCGCCTAGCTGCGTCTCCACCCGACCCCAACTCTACTGGGGTAAAGTCCAACCTCCCCGATTCCGTTCTGGACCTTGCCGTGTCTCTTCCCCCTCTCATGTATCGCAAATCGAGAACCCCTTTTACTTACACAGGGGCCACCGCAATCGTTCTACAATCGACTGCTGCAGCTGGTGAGTTCAGGTGTTCCTCTTGTCCTCGGTGTCTAGATCCTATACAGCGCCAGGAACCCTCCCAAAATACATCCATAGGTCGAGGCCAATGGCTCCACACTTTGTAAACAAACTTAGCTGCAGGCGCCCACTTACCCTGCAGCAACCCCAGCCTCCTCCTCCTGTCAACGCGGCTGGGGGAGAAAAGACGTATCCGGGCAACTCTCTTTCTGCGCAAAATTGCACCAAGATTTCCACTGACATAACCTGTCATTCCTAGCTCTCCGTCTGCTCCTACTCGTCCTCGTCGGCATCGACCTCCGGAATCGAACTTGTGCCCACGATGTCTGTCAAGTTCGAACGAGACACCTTCAAGCAGTCAGAAGGCGCCGCCGGCGTTGCTGGGCCCGCCCTCTCTGCTGTCGCTGATGCTCGTCAGCATCTGCTTGGGAGGGATGGTCCTCCCCTGCCTGGGACGACTGGCAAGCACCCCATATCCGAAAAGATTGGCACTGCCATTACTGGCGGCAAGCAGAATGCGGGCACCAAGGGTTACCTTGCTGTACGCCGTTCCCCTACACCGTCAAGCCGCAGCGTCACGTTGTGTCTCGACCGATGATGCCCTATGGCTGCAAGGTCGCGTCGTGCGACCGTACTTCACCAAGTGAACACGATGCTAACAGGGTGCTTTCTGGCGCAGGCCTATATCAAGCAGCTCGAAGAGAACCCGATGCGGACCAAGATGTTGACCGCCGGCACTCTGGCCGGCGCACAAGAGTTCATTGCATCGTGGCTGGCAAAGGATCGTAATAAGAACGGCAACTACTTCACCTCGCGTGTGCCTAAGATGGCCGCATATGGTGCTTTTGTCAGCGCCCCTCTCGGCTCTCTCTTGATCTGGCTCCTGCAGAAGGTCTTTGCGGGCCGTACAAGCCTGCGCGCCAAAATTCTACAGATTCTCGCTAGCAACCTCGTGGTAAGTATCTTATTCGGGTCTCTCTTGTCGTTGCTGAGGTGGGCTTGATAGCTGACACCGTATCCAGATCGCACCCATCCAGAACTCTGTGTATCTGGTTGCCATGGCCATCATTGCTGGCGCGAGAACGTATCATCAGGTGCGGGCAACCGTTCGCGTTGGCTTTTGGAAAGTCATGCGCGTGAGCTGGATCACGTCGCCCATCTGCCTGGCCTTTGCGCAGAAGTTCCTGCCCGAGAACACCTGGGTGCCATTCTTCAACCTCGTGTCGTTTGTCATTGGTACCTACATCAACACCGTCACCAAGAGGAAGCGCCTCGCGGCTCTGCGCAAGAAGCACTTTGGTGACCAGGGCGGTAGGCCAGGATCTATTTCAGGCGGTCCCCCGCACTCAGACGACTACCCTCCCATTGGGCCCAACCCACCTTACTAGGTGGACGTTGTGGTGTGGTGTGAGATAGATCGACACAACGCGAAGTGGTTTGGTCATTTGGTGTAGTGCTCTTTACCGTAAAAGCAGTTTTGCGTTGTGCTGGGGTTTCTCGTCTTGGTGGTTTGTGGCATTGGATACCACAAGAGTGTGCACGGGTTTTGGTGGTATAATGAGGGGATATATTCACGACGGGATGAAAATATCTGATCACGCTATGGTTGATGATTTTTTCTTTCTTTCTTCTTCATCTGTCCTAGCAGTACATGTCCCTCGCCCTTTGTAGCAGATAGTAGGCACATAAGAAAATAGCGTTTTCGTATCTGTCCAGGCTAAAAGCAATGTTGGTTTCCTGAGTGAGCTGAACGGTTTACGCGTCTACCTAGGGAAGAAAATTGAGCGACACCTGAAAGTGAAAGGCACGTTTGCTTACCTAATGTCCCGCCGTGCCCGCTTACCATTTTTGCTCAGTCTCTGTCTTTCTAGCGCCACACCGCCCTGACTCGCCTCCGTGGCCCCTAACCGATAAGCCTAAAATTTTCTGCTTGTCGCAACTTCTCGCCTTCTCTCTTCTGACAAAACCCAACCCACCCACCCCATCTCTCTCTTCCTTCTTTTCTCCTTCATCACATCGCCATCAACCACTCTCCCCTTTCCACAAGGCACACGTCTATTCGATTTGACCATAATCTTCTCGCGGTCACTTCTGCCGTGATCTCTTGCTTGGACTGATTGATTGCGACGCCCTCCAGCTCCTTCGTCCTCCCAGCCCCCCGAGACGGAACTTTCGACAGCAACGTTATCATCGCAACAAGCACCCTACAGCATCAAGATGTCTTACGGCGGTGGTGGATACGGCTCCCGCGGCGGCGGCGGATACTCAAATGGCTATGATCGTGGTAGCAGCAACGGCTATGGCGGAGGCGGTGGTGGTTACGGAGGGTATGTTGTTTCTAACTCCTTGCCCACTTGTTTCGCAATCTCTTGCATCGTGCAACATCGCACTTGTGGTCTCTTCCTATCTTCAAACCACTCCATCTCGAAACCTGCTTTGACTGTGTGCATACTGACAAACATTTCTAACAGCGGCTCCAACGGCTACGGTGGAGGTGGAGGTGGCTATGGCGGCGGTGGCTACGGCGGCGGCGGCGGCGATCGCATGTCCAACCTGGGCGCGGGCCTGCAGAAGCAAAACTGGGGTATGCATTCATAAATCTACCGTACAGGCGCAGTCTGGAAGGGCGATAATGCTAACTTTATTCTGGCAGATATGAACTCTCTTCCCAAGTTCGAGAAGTCTTTCTACAAAGAGCACCCCGAGGTCGCTGCCCGGTCTTCCGCCGAGGTCGAAAAGTTCCGAAGAGACCACTCCATCGCCATCCATGGCAACGACGTTCCCAAGCCTGTTGAGACGTTTGACGAGGCCGGGTTCCCGAGATACGTTATGGACGAGGTCAAGGCCCAGGGATTCCCCGCGCCCACTGCTATTCAGTCGCAAGGTTGGCCCATGGCCCTCTCTGGTCGTGATGTCGTCGGTATTGCTGAGACGGGTTCGGGCAAGACACTTACCTATTGTCTTCCTGCCATCGTTCACATCAACGCCCAGCCTCTCTTGGCTCCCGGCGATGGTCCTATCGTCCTGGTCCTCGCCCCCACCCGAGAGTTGGCCGTTCAGATCCAGCAGGAGATGAGCAAATTCGGCAAGTCCTCCCGCATTCGCAACACCTGCGTCTACGGTGGTGTGCCAAAGGGCCCTCAGATTCGTGACCTCTCCCGCGGCGTGGAAGTCTGCATTGCGACCCCTGGTCGTCTGATCGATATGCTCGAGGCTGGAAAGACCAACCTGCGCCGTGTCACGTACCTGGTGCTTGACGAGGCAGACCGCATGCTGGATATGGGTTTTGAGCCCCAGATCCGCAAGATTATCAGCCAGATCCGGCCTGATCGTCAAACTCTCATGTGGTCTGCCACCTGGCCCAAGGAGGTCCGCGCCCTCGCCAAGGACTTCCTTAACGACTTCATTCAGGTGAACATTGGTTCCATGGACCTCTCTGCCAACCACCGTATCACCCAGATTGTCGAGGTTTGCAACGAGTCTGAGAAGCGTGACAAGATGATTCGTCATCTGGAGAAGATCATGGACGACAAGGATAACAAGATCCTCATCTTCACTGGCACGAAGCGTGTCGCCGATGAGATCACTCGTTTCCTCCGCCAGGACGGCTGGCCTGCACTGTCCATTCACGGTGACAAGCAGCAGAACGAGCGTGACTGGGTTCTCGACCAGTTTAAGACTGGCAAGAGCCCTATCATGGTGGCTACTGACGTGGCTTCCCGTGGTATTGGTATGTATCACCACCTATCCGCCCCCCTCTCCCCCCCTTCCCCCAACCCCAATTTAGCAGCTTCCAGCATCGCTACGTGCCTTGCTTTACTCTGGTGTACAGGGGCTCTCTTGATCGCGCGAATTGCCAGACGTCTTCAGTGTCTATTTGGTCTCTCTGAGAGGAGTCTTGGGTTTCACGATTGTGGCAAACTCCAGGCTCACTATGCTGCACTCGTGCATCTTCTCTTGTACCTGTCCGGGTGCTATGGCACAGGCGTAGAGCCGGCACCTCTTGGTCCTGGTCAGGTTGTCTCCAAGATTCCCGATGCCCGAGGACCCGGAGCCAGGGACATTCCAAACGGCATTCATATTCGCAAGGGTAGCCCTCCTGCTAAGGAGAAAGAGTACCGAGGAAAGCATGAAACATACTTAGATGTCACATGCCACCTGTCCATGCTGGGACGTTGCTATACCCTCTCGGCTTCCGCCTGCTAACCTATGCTCGTTCAAGATGTGCGCAACATTACTCATGTGCTCAACCTTGACTACCCGAACAACTCGGAGGATTATATCCACCGTATTGGTCGTACTGGTCGTGCTGGCCAGAAGGGTACCGCCATTACCTTCTTTACCACTGACAGTAAGTACCTCGCCCCCCGGACGGATTATCAACCCTCGATCGTCTTACTAAAGCATTTGTATCTAGATTCCAAGCAGGCTCGTGACCTTGTTAGCGTGCTCCAGGAGGCCAAGCAGCAGATCGACCCTCGCCTAGCTGAGATGGCTCGCTACGGCGGCGGCGGCGGCGGCGGCGGCGGCCGTTACGGTGGCTACAGAGGCCGCGGTGGCCATGGGCGTGGCGGCGGTGGCTATAGGGGTAAGTCTACGACCTTGCAAAACACATAATCTCAGTAGCGTACGGATCTCTAACGTTCTGCAGGAGGCGCCAATGCCATTCCCATGGGCAACAGCCGTTGGTAAACCGTCTCGCCACCTGATGACTGTCTCGACAGTCGACAAAATGGTCATCCCCAGCCTGCTTCTAAGGCCTTTCTAGAATTTCAACGGAGGCATCCGTCCAGCACAGTCACGGCGTTCTTGTAGAATGGTTCAAGGGGGGTTGGTTGTCTAGACGCTGGCACTTTTTTTTTCACTTTTTCTTTTTGCTTTACTAACCCGGTAATTCCAAGTGTATTGTTGTCATTTTCTTTGTCATTACGCGTTGCTGTAAGTAAGTACCTGAAGGAAAGAGGTAAGGAAGGGGTTTTCGGGCTCAAAGAGTTTCGCCCTTCACTTACCCAGGTACCTACGCAGGAAAGATGCGCATGCGCTGTTCTATCTCGAAGGCAAGGGACGAAAAGTTATTGGTCTTTGGTTCGATCTGCTGCGATCAACCGAAATAGAGCTTCGGCTGCAGCAGCCACACTTCTTCTCATGAGCTAGATCACAGCCACCTCCATACCTTTTTGAGGATGGGCATCATTGATAGGACACTGTCAGTTTTGAGACTCGACCTCTATGGTTGAGCCTCCTGGAGTCTGAACTGAGATATCGATCTGAATGATTGAGAGAGAAAGAAGTAAAGGAGGGAGGCAGCAAGAAAATGTAGACTTCAAACAAACATGTGTTTATGAGCCCAGTGTGTGTCTGTGAACGTAACACTCATCCCCATCATATGAAGTCGATACATGCCTCAGCCGCATGAACTCCACTACTGGCGCCAATGCCCCATCAGTACCGAAATAGCAGTCAAATTTCATCCCTGATGACCCACATGTTTTTTTTTTCGTCATCAAAATTCTCCTCGGGACCACGGGCGCCGTCCGAGGCGATTTGTAGGTCCAGGAGGCCAAACGGGACCACCGGATGCACGGTGGCGTATGGACGACCTTCCTCGATAAGTGCATGTCTTTTACATTCTCTCGTCTTAAGGGGGACTCACATCCATCAGCTTTGGTTACTGTCATCTGAAGGCGGAAAGGCACCAAAAAATGGAGAATCTGATTCGGAACTCGACTCCCATGCGCGATTGGGCCACGGCGTAGTCGGGCCTTCTGCCGGGGCTCGAAACATGCAAAATTTATCCCTCGACGAAGAAATGAGGCGGTCTGGCGTGTCGCCTTCTTGTTTCTCGTCGTCGTCATGTCGGTCCCGCTTGGGGGAAGAGGGACGGACCTCGTGTTGAGTGACTATTGATCTACATAACTACTCAGGAAATAAACCCCCTCGAAATATACTTCAGCTGAGCCCTGTACAGCGACTAGTTTGGGGTAGGTATCCAGAAAACACAGGGCAAGATCAGCAGCTGCCATTTTCTCTGTGTTTCAATTGGACAGAGTAAGAGAGAGACAGTCAGACAGAGAGAGCGGGAAAAAAGAAGAAAAGAAAAGTAATACCGCCGACGTGAGCCGACTTCGTATCAGCATGGGCCAGCCTGGCCTTCGCTTCGATAAGGCCCAGCTAATAAATAATTGGCGCTGCGGAAGCTCCCTTTCGTAGATGTGACTTGACTTCCTGCCGAGCGAGCGACCGAGTGGTTCTTCCACTGTCTATCTCGTGTTCTGCGCCTCCTTACATAGGACCTGTGGATCTGTGCTACAGCAAACATATCATCCATCAGGCCTGGAGCAACTTTGTGGTCCTTTCGAGGGCCCTGAGAGGACGACATACAATATAATAATACTCGATTCCCAAACAGCCACCATACAAACACACACTCTCTCTCCTCTCTCTTTCCACCCCTGACGACAAACAAGGCGAGCACACGATTTTCGAGTCATTTCCAATACGCACATAGCCTATTTCGCAGGCGAGGACAACAAACTTCTTTACACACACACAAAGATGAGTGACACAGAGGAGAGCCTATCCCTGTCATCGCCGAGTAGTTCCCGATCATCGTCACCATCCCCGTCCATTGCGACTTCCACGACCAGCACCACCAGCTCAACCAACCCACCAAGAAACGAGACGGTCCTCCAAGGCTTCGAGTGGCACGTTCCAGCCGACAACCAGCACTGGAGGCGGCTAGAGCGCGTCATTCCCACCCTCGCCCAGCTCGGCGTCAGCTCGCTGTGGATCCCACCAGCCTGCAAGGGCTTCGGCCCAGACAGCGTCGGCTACGATATATACGATCTCTACGACCTGGGCGAGTTTGAACAAAAGGGCTGTGTGGCGACCAAGTACGGCACCAAGCAGGAGCTGGCCAGTCTCGCCCATGCGGCCGAGGCACACGGCGTCGGCGTTGTTTTTGACGTCGTCATCTCTCACAAGGCCGGGGCTGATGAGTTTGAGGATGTGAGGGCTGTGAGGGTGGAAAATTTTGGTGAGTGAGAGTCGTTGCACAGGAGCTGCTAGAGTTTCTGTTTCCCTTCCTTCCCTCTCTTCCGTGCCCCCCCCCCCCCCCTCCCGGCCCCCCTTCCAAAAAAGAAACAATGTGATCCTTTTCTCTCTCTTCTCTTGCTCTCGGTTCATGTCTGTTCTTTTTCGTTGGTCAGAAGTGCTCAAGATTTTGCACTCTTAGATCGCAACGCTGAGATTGGTGAATACGAGGCTATTCAGGCGTGGACCAAGTTCGAGTACAAGGCCCGCAACAAGCAGTATAGCTCCTTCACCTGGCACAAAGATCACTTCTCAGGAGTCGACTACGATGAAAGGACAAAGACTGCGGGGGTGGTCCATAGATTCGAAGGCAAGCAGTGGGCGGTAGACGTCGATTCGGAGCGTGGCAATTATGACTACTTGTGAGTTCGGTCGCCCTCTCTGTTCTTGCTCCCTTTTGCGTTCTGACACAACAAATATGTGCTCCTAGAATGTTCGCCAACATTGACCTTGCACACCCTGAAGTTCGACGTGAACTCTTCCACTGGGCCGAGTGGCTGCAAGGGCAGCTTCCCATCCGCGGTCTCCGCCTCGATGCCATCAAGCACATGTCCACGGCGTTCGTCAAAGACTTTGTGAAGCACGCCAAGAAGGTTTGGGGGCAGGAGTGCCTCTTGATGGGTGAGTACTGGGTGCAGGAATCCGACTTTCTCGCCAAGTATGCAGAGGACATGGATTGTGATGTTCAACTATATGATATCCGCTTGGTTCACAATTTCAGAGACCTCTCCTGGGACCCAAGTCCTGATCTTCGGACTGTCTTTGATGGAACTCTGGCAAAGATCAGACCGGACCTGAGCGTTGTAAGTCTCCTTGTTGTAAGCTCACCAGTGCGGCTTTCTGTGCTGACATGTTCCGATCGACGACCCAGACTTTCGTGGTAAACCACGATACCCAGGAGGGCCAGACTTCCGAGACGCTTGTTGCGCCATGGTTCATCCCGTTGGCCTACTCCCTCATTCTCCTCCACATAAAGGGCGGCTTACCCGTTGTCTTCTACGGAGACCTCTATGGCTCCTTTGGACCTTTGGACGAGCGACCTGCCGGTACATACGAGCCAGCAGATCACGGCCGCCGGCTCATACCGAAAATGATGCTCGCCCGTCAGTCGTACGCTTATGGCCCACAATCCGAATACTTGGACGAGCCTGACTGCATCGGCTTTACCCGGCACGGCGACGCTTCTCACTCTGGGCAGGCTGGGCTTGCTGTATTGATGACGTGTCGTGACGAGATGGCGGTGAAGCGGATGTTTGTCGGCATGCATCATGCCGGCGAGCAGTGGACAGATCTGCTGGGCGAGGTGCAAGGTTCGGTCGAGATCGACTCGGACGGTTGGGCTGTATTTGCCGCCGCGCCTAGGCGTGTTTCCGTCTGGGTTGATGTTCGTGCGGTTGGTCGAGCTGAGATTGATTCCTTCACCTTGTGAGTCCGGGGGCCCCAGCTGCGACGCGTTCGTCTTTGAGTGGTCCGCATAGCTTTGCTGACGATTGTTGACAGTGATCATGACATATACGGCTTCGAGAAGCGCAGACCATCGATGCATAATATTGAAGATCTTCCCGGGTTGTCGTTAGTACGGTCAAGGCTCTAGTCCGACGGAGTATCGCCTGCCTTTGACAGTAGGACACGGAACTGGAGGCCCTAGGTTGGGTCTATACATCCTTTTAGATATGTTAGATTGCGCTACACATCGTGGGGCTCGGTGGCAAGGAGTTTCGGAGAGAACTCGGTTTTTGGGGGATTTGTTTTTTCTTGGTTGGCAACAGCATACATAATGTTAATTTCTAATTTCTGCCTCTTCCACGTGAAACCTCTGAAGGTTTTTTTTTCAAGTCATTTCTGAGAATCAAGACATGCTGAATCGACATGTGTCTGTCCGTCAGCTCACGCCGATTGGCATTGGATCTTTGCCCTTCTAGGGTCATGATCTCTGGTACCTGAAACGACCTGCGGTGCTGCATCGTTTTGTCAGGCTCATGCCCAAGTGAATGTCTCGAGAGCGTCGACGAGAGCGTTTCCAACCAACATCGCCTCATATCGGCTTGTGCTTCAGAGAACTTTGGGTTGAAGTGACAGATTATGAAGGTCCCCACGAGAGCAGTGGTTCCTCAACTGTAACCGGGCCCCCACGGTTGACGCTCCAGCATTAGTAGCCAGGACCCAGGCCAACGTTGTTCTCGATGGACCATGCGGAATTTTGTGCACGTGTTTTTTGGGGGCTGGCAAGCATCCGCAGGAAGCTGACCACGAAGAGAGGTTGGCCTCGGCTCTTCTTTTATGAGCGAGAGGGCCGATAGTCTGTTGTAAAAATTGACCAAGAGGTTGGCCTCCTTGATTCTCTCATTCTCCGGAGAAGATCTCTTGAGCCTCAAGCATGAAGCCAGGCGACCAATACTCCCACTCGATGGCCTGCTTGTCGATCCACAGCATGCCCTCGCCGAGGAGGTCCTCTAGTGCTGTCTGGGCTCGCGCACGAGGCCAGTGTAGATTGACCATCAACATGGACACGCTGACGTAGCCCAGGACCTGTACAGCCTCGAGGACTGCGCTCTGGTCCGTGTTTAGCTCCTTGGGGACGGAGCGGATGTACGGCTTGCTGCCGACCTTGATGACGGAGAATGACGAGCCTAAAGGCTTGAGGGTGCCGACAGCTCGGAGTATGTCGTCCCTTTCAACACACGCACATACAAGTCAGCCCACCGTTGTCGACCCTTGGAAAGGCGAAAAAAAAAGGAGAGAGCAGACTCACTCTGTGACCTCCGACGAGCCCTCCATCCGCCCCCTCATGATCCTCTCCCTCACCTTCCTCACCTCGATCAGCCCCCCATTCTCACTCCTCGTCTCGCCGCACACCTCGACCACCCGCACGGCCAGCTCAAAATAAAAATCGTTGACAGACCTGCCCAGCAGCTGGGCCCAGATGGAGCCGCCGCCCGAGCCGCTGTTGCTGCTGGCCAGAGGGTCCACGCCGATGGCGGCGCACATGCGGGCAAACTGGGCGCGGAAACTTGGGTTGGAGCGGATGTCCTTGGCGTGCGTCTGGGCGAACTGCTGGAGCAGGGAGCGGAACACGGAGAGCTGTGTCTCGAGGGCCTGCGCGTTGGTCGAGCGGAGCGTGTTGCCGTGGCTTGCGTACTGGGCCGAGGTGATGCGGCTGCGGTCGAAGGCGGCGAGACCTACGCCTTTGCGCGACATCTTGAGATAGCAGAATTTACTTTGGTAAGATAGACTTTCTAGGGAGCGAAGGCGAATGGAAGAGGGAGAAATAAAAAGAAGAAGAAAAAAGGATGAGCAGCGGAAGTTGGTCAATTACTTGGATACAAGATCAGGAAGAAGATTGGGTGGTGAGTTGCACGTCAGATCGCACATTTAGAGACAAGGCAATATCGACCGAGGCTGGCTCGACCCCCGAGTAGTCTAAGCACATGAGGCACGAGAAACACTCATTTCAAGATCCGCTCAGCAGACCTTAATTAAGTGCTGCTTAGTTGTGAGTGAACAGTGTTGTCCTTTTTTTCTGGTTTTTCTGGTGGCTTTTTTTTTTTTACTTCTTTCCTCTATTCACTCTCTCCAAGCTTGCATTCAACTACCCCAAGATAGTTGCCGTCGTCACCTCAAGTGAGGTTCACCGTTATCGAGATAAGAGTCACGTGTATTGAACTAGTCCTGATTCGGTTAACATCTGACCCGCGCCCACAGTCGAAAATTGTTCTGCCTCACCCACTCGCAACCACCTTCGCAGACCCAAACGAATCTAGTTGACGACCGCACCCCCCCATCACCCATCGACCATCCGACAAATCCCACAGCCATCAATCGCAAACATGGCCGCCCCTCAGATGGTTCAGTGCTTCGGCAAGAAGAGAAACGCGACTGTGCGTATTACCCCTCCACGATGAGAGAAGACACACCCGTACCCTGGACACGAGCGAACGACGTTACTGCCGCGACGACCGATCGCCCGACAGGCAATGGGAAAGAACGTGTATGCTGACTGGACTTGGGATTTTAAAAACAGGCTGTCGCTCAGTGCAAGGCTGGCAAGGGCCTCATCCGTGTCAACGGCCGCCCTCTGCAGCTCGTTGAGCCCGCCATCCTCCGCACCAAGGTACGATTTTCTACGCGAAACAACACATCTCGAAAGGCCCCACAGCCCTTGGAAAGGCTGAAAGCAAAATCATGCAAGGAGAATCGATGGGCGAGGAAGAGGAGGATCTTGATGGGGAGATGAAGTCGTTCCGAAATGGTCTGGGAACAGGACGGCTGACGGTTTTCTTCTCGCAATCCAGGTCTACGAGCCTCTGCTGGTTGTCGGTCTTGACAAGTTCGCCCAACTCGACATCCGTGTCCGCGTGTCCGGTGGTGGTCACACCTCTCAGATCTAGTATGTCGATCCCCATGGAGGTCAGCGTGGAAGTAATTCTCTCTGTCGAGCAATCGAGAGAGAGGCTGATTTCTGCAGCGGCTCTGTTATTCGCCCAAGGCTCAACGGGATGCTAACATGTGTACAGCGCTGTGCGACAAGCCATCTCCAAGGCTCTGATCGCCTACAACCAGAAGTACAACTCCCAAATTCATGACGAGAGCGAGCGAACAAAGCAGCAAGGCATAACTAACCACCTTTCTCTGCACAGGTTCGTCGATGAGCACACCAAGAACACCCTGAAGACCGCGCTCACTGGTTTCGACCGTACCCTCCTCGTCGCCGACAACCGCCGCTGCGAGCCCAAGAAGTTCGGTGGTCCAGGTGCCCGTGCCAGATTCCAGAAGTCCTACCGTTAAAGCGCCAGCTTCGTTATTCTTTGGGGATGGCGTACCGGCCCGCTGCTGCCACTGCTTCTTTGGCGGTGATGGCGGTGGTGCTACCGGCGTGGGGAAGATGAGGAAGGGAAGGAAGGAAGGCGACGGCGAAACAGCAAAACCTCAAAGGGGGGCGTTGGTGGGACTGCCGTTGTGCTTTTTGTTATACTGGCTCTTCTTTGCGTGTGTACGGATTGGGAGTCAAAATGCGAGGAACACCTAACACGGAAGAGGATAAAAGAAAATGATGGGGAACCTAGTCTTTTTCTAGACCTGCATTTGCATGGCAAGGCCTCGCCGGGCCGAACAATCAAGGAATTTACGGCAAATGAACACGATCAAAAAACAATCTCTCGAGCCCACAAAACATCAATTTGAGCATGATGTGACTATGAGGACCAGGAAGAAAAATGGTCCGCCTTGGGGCTGATGATGTGTGATGTGTTCTCCAAGATATAACAGATCTCTACGACGGCGTCCTCTACAGCAAAGGAATGAGCAGCGTGTAAGGCAATAATATACAAACGCACTGGGCTCTAATGCTTTATAGTATGCAGTACTGGTATGGATTGATTGGTATACCTCGCAAATTCAACGCCTTGGCGCCTTTGCTCCGTCTCCTCTCTGCTTCATGTTTTACATCGTCTCTTCTTCATTCTAATCTCGTTATGTTGGACAAAACCCCTTTCCCAATTCATAGTGCAAGTTCTTCATCTCAGGTTGTCGCTCATGCGTGAAAAGAAAATATGGAAAAACAGACCCGACATAACTACGATGCATGTAACACCAACATGAATAGAAACCCAACATTATAGCCACTGGCCTTTTCTCACCCCTCTCTCCGTCTTTTCCGGCTGCTCCCCTGATCTGGGCCTCAATGAAAAGACACCAGCCCAACCTCCCGCCCCGTATCATCCAGGTCAACAATCACAGGGCGATACTCATCGTCGTCATCGTCGTCGTCCTCCTCCTCGTTATACCCCATACCCTCCATCACCCCGTCGCCGTCGTCCTTCTTCCTGACATAGTCTGTCCTCAGGTCCCAGCCGAGCCGCCAGAGCCAGGCCTCAAGCTCCACAAAGGCCCGGCCCAGGTCACCAAGCCCACTGGCGGCGACACCGTGCTGCTGACCCCCGCGGGGCAGGTCGAGGAGCATCTCGTTCATGCGCCGCTTGTACAGCGTCAATGCGTCCCTCAGCTGCCTCTTCTTTCCAGGGATGATGTCCAGGATGCTCGTCGAGCCGCCGTTGCCGCCACTGCCGCCATACTCGCCGTCGGCAAGGTTTCTGGCGGGGTCGCTGCTGGCGCCGCCGGCGATATACCTCTCGTCGTAGACCAGCTGCGCGTGCAGGGTGGTGAGGAAGGAGAGGGCGAGCGGCGGGCGGAGGAGGACGAGCTGGTGGGCGCGGAGCACAATCTTGAGCACGAGGTGCCACCACTGCTCGACGCAGGCGAGGTTGGAGAGGTGCAGGCCCGCGAGGAAGGTGAGCTGCATCTCGCCTACCAGGTCGGCCGAGTCGACACCCGTCCCAGGCGTGTCGAGGAGGCGGAGGATGTCGTGGGATGTGTCTGGAGGACCGGCGGCGGCGGCGGTATCATCGTCATGGCCGCCGCCTTGCAGCACAGCGTGTAGGTCAACATCGCCCTCTGGGAAGAGAAAGTTCAGTTCGCCGCTGCCGGTGATGGTCTGGTAGGTCTGCGTGGTCTTGGTCTGCGGGAAGCCCGAGTCGCCGGCGGCGGTGTCGGACGTGTCGACGAGCCACTCGTCTACGCCGTGCCTTCCTGTGACCCTGGCGAGGAGCCTCTCGCTGATGCACGCGGTCAGCCGCCGCCAGAGCTGTGCGTCGTCATCCCTTCCTGCTCCTCCTGCTCCTCCTCCTCCTCCTTCTCCAAAGCCGTAGGGCGTGAGCTGCGGGTACAGGCTGGCTACATTGTCCCTGTGGTCGCGCGCCTCGAAGCTGCTCGCCGGGTCAACCAGCACCTCGTTGAACTTGTCCCACTGCTTAACTCTCACGCGTGCTCTGTCCCCAGCAGCGACAAACCAGTACCCGCACCGCGACATGGCCTCCGGTGCCGATACCCAGAGGAAGTGGGTCCCTGTCGGGATGTCACGTATGCCCTGGAACCCTCCTGACGCGCCGATCCCAATGGCCTTGCTGTCGCAGCCCACCGTCGAGTTGGGCGGGAGATCGAGAATGAGGAAGACATCGCCGTTGGGAAGGAATGGTGGCAGCGGCACTTTGGCCTCTTTGTTGTTGTCACTGCTGGTATCCTGGTCGCTTTCCAGAGGTGGCATCTCTGGGTCGTCGTCATCGGCATCAGGCGCCTGCGTACCTGGTCGCTGTGATGGTGATGATCTTGGAGGAGGGTCCATCGCCCTGTGGACCCTGAGGGACCCCAGAGGAAAAGTTCCCACGACGGGGATGGAGACGTGGGATCTCAGCGAGATCTCGTCGGTGGAAGGTGTGTTGGAGCTGGCCCTGCTGAGCTCGGGGACGCTGGAGCTGCCGCTCAAGGCTGGAGATTCGATTCTGTCCAGATAAATGGTGGGGGAGGAAGAATCTTCGGGTTGTCGGGTCGTGGCGGATGGTAGATCAGAGCTCGTGTCTTCTTGACTCGCTGGGCCGCCAGCCGAAGCCATAGTTGTTGATGCGGATTCTCAAGAGAGAAAAAGCAAGCAAGACAGTGAAAAAAGGAAGAATGAAAGATGAAGAGAGCTCAAGTTGTGCGTGTGCGTGCGTGTGCTTGCGTGCGCTCACAAAATCATCTACTGAGTAAGGGGAAATTCAATACAGCAAGACGTAAAACATGTGCTTACTATGATACAATCAAGAGTAACGAATGTGTAATTTTCTATCAACTTTGGAGTACTGTTATGAGTCAAGATGTTTTGTCGAGTCAATAAGAGCAATCTCATGTAGACAGAGGGCGTAATCAGTCGCCTTGGTTCTTCCTCTTGTTGGAAGCTCGTTTCACGCCAGGTCTTTTGGGAGCGAAACTTGATGCTGTCGCCATTCTTTGGGAGAGGGGGGGGGGGCTACGTCATCTCCTCCGGAGCCTTGTGCCGTATTACCGCCGCATCTCAACCAGAGCGTGTCTTTCTGTTGCACTGCCTTCCTCGCTGAACTGAACCATGGTCCAGGAAAATCATAAATGAGGATACTCAAGAGGTGATTTAAATAAAATATTTATAAAAAGGAAACTTTTGAATCATCTATCAGTATTTCACTAGGACTGCTTCATCCTCAGTCTATTGAAGTTCTCAACATATATTTTGAGCGAATACTGCCACACGATATTTGCTCAAGTACTGCATACCTCTTCCTATAATTACCACCTCGTTCTCGGTCACGGAAGCCAATACGAACACAATACATACCTCGTGCTCGATTAATGATTTATCCATTTTTGACCTGGTGTGAACAGTCGCCAGCTCGTTATCTCAGGCGATGCCCGCCCTATTCGATGATGATAATGATAAATATAGATAAAGGAGAGAGAGAAAAGGGAGAGGAAAGGGGGCGGGGGGGGCAATTGCTTTTGCGCACACCAAAAGCAAAAAGAGTAAAAACAAGGTACACATGCATAAGGCATGGTCTAGAGCAGGACACTGCGCCTACGCTGCAACCTCAGGCCAGGGCATCTGGTGCCATGCCCGTTCCAAATAAGCATTTGCTGCTCGTCACTTGACCTTTTCACCCCTCTTTTTTCCTATTCTTGAAAGTTTAAGAATGGGGGGCACGACGTGGCCTTAGAACCAACGGGCAAACCCCACAATCGTGTCATACTATGTACATAGTAGTTGAACGGATTGGTGGATGGATGATGTTGCAATGGGATTATTCTTTTTTGCTGGTGTGTGCTGTGTACACCACACCACACCATGTACCATTTGCTACCCTGCTCGACAACTGTATTTCTGCCCGAATGTTACCTACTTACTCAGAGTACATAGTAAGTATACTTGAGGTACTCATCGTGAATAGGGTCACCTGACAGTTTCTTCCAGTTCCCGAATATAGACGATGCTCTCTGTATGAAAGCTGATGCCACGCGGCCGTTCTGTATTGGCGGGCGGTGAGTGAGCAAAGGAGTGTGTAAGTGCTGTATTTACTTGCTGTATGTACGTGGCCGAAAGAAGTTACCATGGGCATCGTAGGGAAAGAAGAAGAAAAGAACATCGAATAAGAAAATATTCAGCTCATCTGAAGCCGCGCATGTCTTAAAGAAAGGAGTGGAAGGGAAAAGTAAGTTGTTTGACTTACACTTTTAGTACCCAACGCACTGTTTCACCAACTCAACCCCCCAACCCCCGGCCCCTGTCCACTTACACGTCTCAACCCTGCTGGGGCTGGCGTCGATCAGCGACGCGAGAGGGTAACGAGACCCCTGGCCTGACTTACAGTAGATCGTGGAAATGACTTGCAGCCCCTGTGCTTTCCCACCCTTCTGTTCTGTCATTTCTCACAAATCTTTTTCTTGAACATCACTTACTATAGTACTTCTTCAGCCTCAGCCCCCGGCTCTTTTTAATGATCCCAGCTGCCAAAGAGAAAGGTTCGGAAAATTCAACCAGCAAGAACGCCCAAAAAAAATATAAGCAAGGGTCAGAGGAATGGGCCGATTGGTGATAAGGAGGGAAAGAAGCAACAACAAAAATAAAGAAAAAGGAAGAAAAAAAAAGGAAAGAACGATGAAGGGTGCCCAACAACATCCTAGGTTGCCCAACATGCCTCTTACGCACCACCCCTCCCCCCCCCCGGGTGGCTCCTTCTTCGTCTCTTCTTCTTTCCGTCTTATAAATAAGGAAGCACTTATTTATGGATCATCACTTTGCTTGCATTGCCTGCCTGCCTGCCCGACTGCCACGCCTACCTGCAGGCATATATGCATGCCTGCCCTCAAACCGCGAAAACAAACGAGAGAGACGAGCAGAAGCAACTTGGAATGACAGAAGACCCCCCCTGGCCCTGACCATCCCTGGCCGCCTATGGGTACAGTGCGGACGCGCACCCGGGAGCTCGATGTCGTGGTACATACCATAGTACATACTTCAGACCCTTATTTCCCCCCCCCCCTCCCTCGCAGTACATGGTACATACATATTCAGCTGACAGGTCACGGTGGACAAGAAGTAGGCAGATGCTGGCCAAGTACGTATCTTGTACGCATTCGTCACCATGATGGGAGCAAAAAGAGTACGTGGCGGACACGGGAAGAAAAAGGAAAGGGGTTTCTTGCTTCTCATTCCCCTCTCTTATCCAGATGATAAAATGCTGGCCGAGCAAGAGTGCGAACCTACGCCGCCTCTCCGCCCCAGCCCCTTATCCGTTACCACGCCGGAACTCAAGCCTTCTCCCCCCTTCCCCGGGGTTAGGCGTGCTAGGCCTGCATAGCTCACAACAGGGCAGCAATTCTCTCATCCTTGTTGCACCTGGCGCAGACAGAGAGAAGGACAGAAAGAGACAGAGACAGAGACATGCGATCCTCCAAGGTATGGGTTCGGGATGAGCGGGTCCACTGGCGGGTGGGCGGGCGGCTCGCGGCATCACACAGTGACCCCTTCTTCGGATCTGAACAGGAAGAAGGGGTTAAATGGTGGGAGAGAAAGAAAGAAGAAGAGAGGCATACTGACCACAAGAAGCTTCCTCTTATGAATGCGCCACTCCTGCGTGCTCGATTCGATTTCTCCGGCTCCATGGTACGAGGCAAGCTGCGAGGACGAGCAGGATATGATTTTGGGAGTGGCGAGAAGTTTGTTCTGCTCGCGGAATCTGAGTATCATTCGTCCCCGTCCCCGCTCTCCTCCAATTGTTTCGCAAGTCTCGGTGTGCGACAGGATCTCTGGGGTCTCTGAGGCTTGATGATGATGGGCGAGATGAGTTCAGGTCGCTCAACTCCAGGACTGAAGACATAGACGCAGTATCACCGTTTCCCATCCTCTCGCCTCAGTTCTTGAAGCTGTAAGGCTGAATAGCTATCATCTGCCAAGAGCGGCGGGGTCGTGTCCAGGAGAGGAAAAGGGAGCCGTGAGGACGCCACGCACAAGGTCCCTGGATTTTCTTGTCCCACCTCCCGCGGCCAGCGATTCAACAAGCCTTCCCACTCTGACCTAGCATCAACAAATTGGATCTCGTGAGGCTAACGACCAAATAGAGACCGGGGTGGGGGGAGTGCGGTCTGGTCTGGCCCATCCTACGGTCTTAGCAGGACCACCACACACATCTAACCAATTACCCATCCATATCGGACGGAGAAAATCAACGCTGAGAGGTTGGGCTCTAACGCAGCCACAACAGCCATACGAGCCACTCAGTGTCAGTTTTCCAAACGAACCAGGCAGAGCGCCCGAAGCCGACAGCGCGCACCTGCAGGCTCCGCTTTAGCCTGAGGACAACGACGTGGCACCCCAGGTTAGAAAGATCTGCGAAGGCGGGAAGAGAGAAAGAGAGAGAGAGAAAGAGAGAGAGAGAGAGAGAGAGAGAGAGAGAGAGAACAAGAAGAAACTAAGAGAATGACGTGCCTTAGCCCTTCTTTCTCGTGCCATCATACCCAAGAAGAGGTCCCGACACGGGGCGCCATCATGCATGCCACGCGCCTCACCTCGAAACTTACTAGTAGGCTCGTTGTAACCCTTTCCCCGTGGGCCTCTCAAGATGAAGATCAACGAAAGAAACAGAAAAAAACACTGTTGACGGGCAGCAGGGACTATCAGCCGCACAGTAAGTGACGTCCCCAGACTACATTATAAAACAATCCAGGTGGCACAGCAGCAGCGGCATGCGAAAGGCCTACGCGATACTGAATCATACCTGTGCAAGGGGCAGGGAGTCCTTCCGAACTGTTTATTTCCTTTCCTTTATCTTTTGCCTTCGAGTACTGTACTGTACTGTCCCATATGAGTCCCTCCCTTTACTTCCTCCCTTCTTTTCTTCCCCTCCAAACAGATCCCTCCAAGACCCGGGAAGCTGTGGGGAGTTTTTGGCCCCCCGGAATGGCCGCCGGCCGGGAACCCGAGGTATGGACAAAGTATTTATCATGTCGAGAGGAGGGGGGGTGTAGGTAGTAGCAGTCTTGAAGTTGTTCTTTTCTCTCCCCGCACACACGAGGTGGAACAGGCACAGGTGTTCTAATAAGGGAAAAAGAAAGAAAAAGACACAGAAATGGAAAAAGCACAATCAACGTTACCGCTCGCCCCTCTACTTCCCTCTCCTCCTTACTCAAACTGAGGGCCGTCGATTGTCGCGAGATGCGAGATGTCGGTACTGAAGAGTGGGGAACGGACAACGAAGCACACACATACACAAAACATACACATACACACACGCACACGCACACCCTGCATCCTCCCGGCCCCCGAGGGACCGAAACCACACCCACCACCGAATTTTTTGACTCTGGTTCTTTTCCTTCTTTCTTTTCTTCCTTTCTCAACTCTCACTCGACCTCTTGGCGACAGCGACCCGCCGGATTTTCCCCTTCCAACCACCATTACTACGCAGTAAGCAGGGGAGGAGGAAGAAGAAGCATAAGAACAATTTATGGACAGGGGTGGTGAATTAACGGCAGCGGCAAGTGAGGGAAGTGGTTATTAGCAGAAGCCAGCTGAACTTCAACCAGCTCCGGCTCCATAGTTTCACACTCTACCAGAAACGCCCAAGACAAAAAGCAAAGGCAGCAAGAGCACACCAAACACAACAGGGACAAGTGCGCCCCTCCACCCCTTTCAGCCAGCATGGAAGAGGGAAAATTCCCGATGGTGTGTGACACAAAAGAGCTTCTAGCGTTCGAAAGAGAAAAGAGGAAGAAAAAGAAGCAGAGAATAGAAGAAAAAGAGGGGCAGGAGGGGGGATCGAGGGGGCCGTCATCAACGTACCGACCACAAGCCACACGCAGGTAAACCAGGAAGTAGATTATGTAGTGAGAGCAATGAATTCATACACATATACACTACTATAATCAAGACCACACAATCTACTATAGTACTTATCCTACCGAGCCAGCCTGCCAGCCTACCTTCTTCTTCCTCTTTGTGAACCCGAATGTCCATCTCAATCCCCCCCTTGTCTCTCTCTAGCTCTAACTCCCTGTGGGAAAAGAAAAGAAAAAAGACAGGCCCCCAAAATGGGGCCCCTCCCCCTCTCCCCTCATCCCCATCCATGCCTGTGCGCCATCCCCCCTTCCTCTCAACCCCAGAAACAGGCCCCCCCCCCCATGCAGGTCAATGTTCCGTAGTAGTACGATGCATACCATCACGTCTAGTACACGCACACGCACGCACCACACACACCACTCCACCTCCACACCTCCACCTCCGACGACTGACAGGTCAACATGCAGCACGAGGACTCGAGACTCCACAACCACGGATGATTAATCATCATAGGCTCCCGCCTCTTTTTTTTTGGGGGGGGGGGGGGAGGACCCAACGTCAACTCAAAAGGCCATGCAAGTGTACATACTACTATTGTACCATGTATGCAGGTCGGGTGGTGTGGCAGCAACGGCGCTGCCAGCCACCATTTTCGCCCCCTCTATTCATTGCCTCACCAATCATTACGAGAGAGACAAGATGAAGGAGCAGGAAAATACAAGTGGGGAAGGGAAAAAAAAGTGAGCATTGAAAAACATCATCAGTGTGTGTTGTCATGTTTGCCTGCCTGACTCCGGTATGATACATTGCTGTACTGCGCGCGTCTTTTCCGTTGCCTTGCCCCACGCCCCGCCCACCATATAGCAGTAAACCAGGACCTCCAAACTTCGCAGCAAGCATCATCATTCACCGCAGACCGAAACCGACCCCTTTGCCACCCCCCAACAAAAACTGTACTTTGGGCACTATCAAAAACTTTGCTTGGACCGAAACGCCCCGACCAACGTTCGTATGCTCCAATGGCCCTGACCGTCCCCGACGAACAAGAAAAATAAACAAGTAAAAACAGAAGAGAAGGGGAAAAGTGATGACACACAAGACAAAAAGCCCCACCCTTTCTTTTGCTGTCCGTCATCACCTGCATAAACAAGCGCTGCCACTCAGTAGTTATGTTCCGTGTGCCCTGAGCAAGCCCGTTGACCTCTGAAATCTTGGTATATTGCTGGTGAATGAGAAAAGGGAAGAGCATCAACGACGACGTGTGCCGGCCTGCTTCTTGCTCTTGCTCCGTCACATCGACGAGTGGATCTCTGCCAAGCACGCGCCGCCCATTTTACAGCCAGTCACTAGGCCGCATCGTCATGAGACTACGCACGGCTCCCCAGCAGACTCTTCGTTTGATAATCTGCATGGTAACAAATGCGAAGTATCTCATTCCAGATACAGTCAACCAAGTCTCCAATCGTCAAAATCTTCTACGATTGAAAAATTGGAGGTTTTGGCTCTTTAATGGGCTTGACCACCGGTAGCTGATACGACGCGTTAGTCACCGACGCGTTAATCATGGCGCGCGACGCGTTGGACGAAACCAGAGCATGATTACTCACGTTGGCCGTAGACCTGCTGATGCGATTGGGCGTAGGGTGATGTTGGAAAGCCGCTGGCGGGTATATAGTTGCTCGAGTAGTCACCGCCCATGGAAACGCTGCTTGGCTGGGTGTAGTTGCCAGGCTGGTATCCCAGAGGAGGCAGGCGGTGGGTAGGCGCGGGCGTATACGAATTCACGGAGCCCTGTTGAGCGTCATGGCTGCCCTGCACATCGCTCTGGCCGGCCTCCCGAGCAGCCTCATCTCTCTGCTTGCGCTCGGCCTCCTCGGCCTTCTTGCGGGCCTTCCACTCCTTCCTGATTTCCTTGAACTCTGTAGGCTTGTTTGTTAGTTTATGAACCAGAGGTATATTGCGCGAAGGTACCAAGAAGTGGGATGGGGGGGGGGGGGGGGGAGGCGATTCTCGTCGCCAGTCGCGTGGCCAACAAGGAGGTTTTGCGAGCTGAGATGACTGACCTTCAGGAACGCGCTTCTGTCCGTGGGACTGCATCGTCACGTGCGCGTTCAGGTGATTCAGGGTACCGTAGGCCTTCTCGCAGCCATTCCAGCCACACTTGTACATTCGCTCAATCTCTTCATATCGACGACGGGGGCGCTTGTGCTGCTGGGCGCCGGGAATAGGCACGAAACTAAAGACCTAATCGTTGTGTTAGCGAATACGCCAGCCGAAGGGCAATCGGCCGAGGGGGCGCGGGGGGAGAGACCGCAACGAGAGAAGCAGCAAAGTGCGGAGATGGTCGACTAAGAAGAGGAGAAGAACTGCGCGGGCGCCGTCGCGTGCTTACCTGGTTGCCGCGGCCCGGGGTGGCCGTGGTAGGGGTAGTCTGCTGGTGAGGGAAAACACCGCCGTGGTGACCAGGCGTGATGGGCGTGTGTGTGTAGCCAGTCCAGTCAGGACGCGGCTGCGCGTAGACGTGAGTCTGGGGATACGCGTGGCTCATGTCCTGGGCAGACGAGCCATAGGGGCTGGCCTGGGGGTACTGGTACTGTGTAGGGCTCTGCGCCGTGATGGAAGGGTCTATTGGAACATCACTGTCAGACTTGACTGGCTGGGCACCTGGCTGGGGATCTTGATGGGCAGCGCCATCTTGAAGATTCAGTGACGAACTGTGCGAGGCCATGCTTGCACCACCGATGCTGGCAGACGGCTGGTATGCCCGCTGAAGCTGATGTTCAGGGAAAGAGCTTGACCGTGCCGAAGCAGGGTAAGCAGAGTACTCTGAGGTAGGGGTGGCCGTTGTGGTGTAGTGACTCTGCCGAGCCTCGGGCTGGGTGGCGTATGCCTGGGTGGTGACAGGATCCGCCGGAGCTGCCTCAGACCGACTATCACCAAACGACGCGCTAGAATAAGGCGAAGGTAAGGTGTTTGAAAAGTCGGTGGTCTGGCCTCGTTCCATAAGCAAAGAACGTAGGGGGATACGACGCAGTATCGAAGACGGTGAGGTTGAGGTGAGAGACGTGTGGCAGCTTGGGACGGGGGATGAGAGACGTCGAGAGGCAGGCTGGCAGGGCAGGCGGTCGCAGCACTGTCAAGTATGGGTGTGGTGGACTATTCCTCTTCGGATTCTTGACGGTGGTGGGTGTTGTGTGTGGGAGCGAGAAGGGGGGGGAAGGAAAGATATGTGATGTGTGCAAGATGGGAGATGAATGTGTTTTTAAAAAGGTGGCAGAGACACGGTTGATAGGTGGAAGGTGATGTCGTTCCAGATCAGATGGGCCGCGGGCAGGTAAGTTGAAGTCAGCACCGAGGACTTCCGGCCTGCACCTTGTACTCGAGTACTTGGTACTCGGATCGAGCTCCGGTGGGGCTTCAAAGAGATAGCGCGAGCACCAGGCTAAACTAGTGCGGTGAAAGTAAGGAAGGCTGGCACGGGCGCTGCAGTGCTGTACAGCTGCTGCTGGTGCTGGTACTGGTACTAGCACTGGTTGCTGCTGGTGCTGCTGGCCTTGTTCCGACTGAATGCGGTTCGTGCTGGGGCGCGTGCGTGGGTTCGTGCGCGCGCAGTTCTGGGCCGCTACTCCTTGTGACTTCTCCTCCCAAGTAGGATAAGATAGCTGATGGGAGAAAGAAAGAGAGAGGAGATCGGGTGGTGATGACGGCGACTAGACTAGCGCACCTGCTGGAGATGGTCGAGATGCAGGGGACAGGACAGCAAGAGAGATCCAGGTCCTTGATTCAATGAACGAACCCAGCGTGATCGATGTCTGAATGCGCAAATGCAGATGCGTGCGTGGTCGCGTCTGCTTGTGAAAGTGTGGGGGGGGGGTGTTTGTGTGAATGTGGGTTGTGGGTTGTGAGGTGATGTTTTTGTGCAAGATGAGAAAGAGCCACTGCTGATTCTGTTCCCTGGGGTTCTCTTTCTTCCACTCTTTCCCTTTCTTCTCTCCAGTCTTGTTTACTAGGTGCGAAGCTGGTCAGGGCTGATGAGGGGCTCCTATTGCCTCTGTAGTGGCTGCTCGATTGCAGAGCAGTACAGTGCACACACGAAGATGGGGTATGCAGCTAGACGACAAAGAAAGTGGATGAATGTCTGTTGTAACTCCCAGCTTGTCTGTTCTGGCGCAAGCATGAGATCTCGAGGTTGACTGGATGGGGTTGCTTGCTGGCGCGCGCAAGTCAGAGGTCGTTTTGTGTGCTTGGCAGCAATTCCTGGGGCTAGATCTGGACCCGGGGGCCTGAAGCTTGACTCTGATGGGGATAGACCTCGAAGGGCGAGGCTAATGTGACTTGCAGCAGCTTCAAGTATTCCTGGGTTGCTGATGGGCTGGGCTGAAGAAGCGTCCAGGTCAAGCGAAGTTTAGACTGGTAGGCTTTTTTTCCCTCTTAAATTTTAGAAGGAGGGATGATCGGATGGGTTAGCGTGCCGGGTGGGCAACAGAGTCGATTTTATACTGGGGTTACAAGGTCACAAGTCTTGGTTGGAAGACAGAAGGCGAGGATATGGCCGAGACCAGATTGACAAAATAAGGTGAAAGTGAGAAGGAAAAGAAGAGAACAAGGACCCCAGAGAAAATGCTCGCGCAGTTCAGGGATCTTCAGGTTTACTGGGCGTGACTGACCGAGTGAGATGGGTGACGGGGTGAGGGGCGAAAAAGAAAGCCGCATGATACTGTTGGAAAACAAAAAATTAGAAATTAAAAAAAAATAAAAATAAAAAAAAAATAGGAAGGCAGAAAAAAAAAGAGGAAAAAAAGAAGGGCAGTGGGCAAGGGAAGTGTGGAGAAGGGCGAAAGCGGGAAGAGAGGTGTGTACAGAGTCAAGGGCAGCAGGGAAGGCCAGGGTAAAGCCAAGGTAGGTCACTGCAAGCCAGTGAAAGGCCAGGGACAGGCAGGCCACACGGTGAATATGTTAGCAGGGATCAGGGGTTAGTAAAATGACCAGGGCAGGCTGGTCTGATTGATCGATTGACTGATAAACCTGCCTTGGAGGTGCCGCCCATGTACCTCTTGTGCCGATGCTGAACACCGCCCACGTCTGGGACTGGAAGAACCTTGGAAAGAAAATGGACTGATGAATCCAGTCCCCCCCCCCCCCACCTTCTCTGTCCCAGGGATGAGCAATGTTCCCAGCTGTGTTCTGTCGGTCTGGGGTACGGAGGACTGCCGTATGCGGTGCCTTGCTCAGCTGGCTTGGCTTTCGCGTGATCCCTTCCCAGTGGAGTTTGCCAGTGGGCCGTGCCTCAAAAAGTCCTTCAAGGTTCTATACGCGCCTATGCGTATTCTGTCATTTTTTTTATAAAAAAAAATTCCCCTTTGCTTTCGTTTTTTGCTCCTGCTCTTCTATTATTTTGCTCTCAAATCAAATGATCGGTTCCTATATACAAAGGCAATTCGTGTTTCGGAAATGCACACCATCTTGATGATCAGAGTGCGGCGTAGCACTGGTTGAGAGGCGGGATGTGCAATAAGAGTTTCAGAGTAAATGTAGGTAGCACTTGTAGGCGTGGGTGTTATGGGTGGGTTGGGTTGGATTCTCTGGGCGGATGGGTGGATGGATAGGTCGAGGTCGGCGGCCGGGGTGAGGGGAGAGAAGGACGACAGAGAGGGGAGGGAAAGCGGAATAGGTCGCGAGCGGGTGGCCAGTGCGAGAAGAAGGTACCTTGTGGCCGGAATTTCTGTGCACAAGGGGTGAGGGGTGAGGGGAGGGTCATGGACAAGGGCAGGGGTGGAAGGGGAAGGCGCAAGCGGGGCTGATCTGATGGGAGCTGCAACCCGCGCACAATCCGGAACCTCAGATCAAATATTAAAAATCACATGCACGCTAGGCTGGCCCAGGCAATCAGTCAGGCAAGTCCAGTTCTCCCCATGCCATCCGCCCTTTCGTACTATGGCATGTCTGTCTGTCCTTGAACACGAGGTTCCCTCCCAAGATTCGACATGGTACAGCTGCGGTACGTCTGTGCACCGGCAAACCGCAGTCCCGTTATATGTACTTTTAAGTAGCTTTCCAAAGTCGTTCAAGTCGCACGTCATCATTGTCACAAAAAAAATTGAACCAAAATGCGCGCACACATGAAAACATCGCATCACTGATAATAACCATTTTTTAAGTTTCGTACAGCTCGTGACTGGAAACAAATGCAGGCAAGGCCAAGACCACATTCAACAGAATCCACATCCTGGTGTGCTACGGACAAGGCATAGGGTGCTGATGTATGTATGACACTACCCTTGGTATGGCCTTTCCTTCAAATACGGTTTTGGGTGGCTTTGAGAGGGAAGGGGGGGAAGGGGGGGGGGACAGGATGGATGAGGGTGTATGGGTGTGTGTGGGTATGGTGGGTCAAATTTGGCCCAGGCACTGGGAACTCCCTGGTATGAGAATGTTGAGCTGAATTGGCCTATCAAGAGACAAAATCACTGGCATCTTTTTTGTGGTAAAAGAGATCACGCTGAATTGGATATGGCCCTGGTCTTGAATTTTTTTTTGTCTTTTCCGTTTATCCTTCCTCTTACATAATGACGTTCGTAGAAGGGGAAAATTAAAAATAAAATAAAAATAAAGAAATGGTGATGTGTTTCTGCTCGGTGCCGTCATTGATCGGAGCTATTATGGAGACAGCAGGACGCACCCACGACCATCAGGCTGCAAAATTATGGAGGAAGAGAAAAGCGTTCTTCCCGGCACCTCCCAGGGTGTCGGCGCGCTTGAGACAGTGTGTGGCAAGTGCATCGGATATTTCTACTGGCTGGAACATGACAATGTTACCCCATCATGAATCCCAATGTTCGATTTCGATCAGTGGCCCGAAGGCCTTCGGGCTGCTCACCCTGTGGAGGTTTAGCGGTCAGGGCAGGGTTGGCTGGCATAATCCCTCAGCGGTTGCTCTCTACCAGGGACTTTTCTTTATCTGTCTGAAAAGGAATATCTGAAATCCAGGTGCCCCAGGTGTGCGCATTGGAGGGGAGAGGAGAGGGGCGGGGGGGAATCAATTGCTCCCGCATCCTGCTGCTGCCCAATGCAGGCACCAACCAGCCTCCATGCTCTCGTCACGGCTGCAAGCCCCGCCATCTGCAGAAATGATCAGCTGGACGGACAAAGATCGAGATGGGAATCTACAGAAGCAGGACGAAGAGAAGGCTTGCATGTGCCTCTGGCCAATCTCAATTGCTGCCTGAGGGAGACCAGAAAACCATAGTGTCAGTGGATCTGTCTTTACTCGCAGTATATGTGTTCCATCTCATGTATACCATAGTACATGGTGTACCGTGTCCTCAAGGCGGCCACTCGACAGCATTACTCGCACGCAGTACACGACGCAATCGCCCTCAAAATCTGAGTCTCAACCTAACCTTATCGGGGCTCCAGGACATTCAATGCCTGTGGGGCCCTTGTTTTGCTGGGAGAGGGCTGGCCCGGTCCTTTTTGGACTCGGTCATGGCATTCCAGATGCGGTGATGCGCTGCTGTCTGGCGACAAGAGGGTCGCAAATTTTCTTAATGTTGCTTGCGATGGAGTTGGGCGGGAGAAGATGAGGGAGGCCTTGTCGGTCTCGGTACCGAGGGGTGGGTCACCAATCTCAAGGTGTGTCCAGTACGGTACACTAGCTCTTGCTGATGCCGTGATTTGAAATCTTGTCGCAATGTATGCCGGATACTGAACATCATGGACTCTAAAGAGGTACACTGAACTTTGTGCTACAGCGATGACTGATACACATCGCATCAGAGCCAAGACGAAGCCAGCGAAGGAAATGCTGACCCCGGGGTGATAACCGCACATCGGAAGCGGGAAAACCCAAGGCATGCTGAGATGTTTTCGTATACCGTCCGTGCCGCTCCCATCCGCTCGAATGAGGCGAGGCTTGATCATCGATGTTCACCAAAGACTTTGCAGGCCAGTCTGGCCCATCCATCAGTACACATCGAGCCATGAGCCAAGAGACGTGAATAATGACTGGCATGGCCAATCTCTGGCCCGTTGTCAACGATCTTTTCTCCCCTTTTCTTTTCTTGCCTTCTCTTGATGCCCGCAGCAGACTGCAGATTCCTGACTCGCCGAGATTTTTGTGCGTATGGTTCGTGATGCCGGAGAGGGGTCCCCCATCAGACGTTGCTGCCGAGCCAGTGGCAAAGATATGGAGTCACAGCGTGGCCGCCGGCTAAAGACCGACGTATCCCGAGGTAGAGAGAGGGAGGGGGGGGGAGCGCGGCACTACATGTTGCATATGGCATTGAATTGGTTATGGTCACAGTCCAAGCGATTGGTGGCAATTTCTGGTCGATTCCTTTTGTCTTTTGTCTTTTATGGTTCATGGAGACCTTGAAGCCGTCCCGTCACAAGGGGGCGAATGAATGAGTGAATGCAAACGTTTGCTCTCAAACCCGGAAAGAAATCCCGCAGTAGGTCAATCCACGACGGCCTGGCAAATGGAAGAAGGCTGTCAGTCCCAATGAGCTTTTGTCAAGCCAGATACTGTCTATGTCGCCATCCCTCAAATGGCTGGCTCTTTGTAGACAGTGCCACAAATATTGCCGATGATGGTGAGATTGGTCAGTCATCCAATCTGCCGTGATCATATCCTGAGGGGAAGATCAGCACGCCAATGGCCGAGGCCTACCAAGGTTTCTTCTTCGGACCGTGGTAAGGCATGTGGCAGGATGTAGTCTTCTTGGGTGAGGGCTCACGGAGCAATATTTCGACGACACCAGACAAATGTCAAGAGATAGAGAGAAATAGGAACATTGAAGTTGGATTAGAGTTTCTCGGTAAGAGTAGCGTAGATCTGGCGTTGTTTGTGGGTTCCGAGGGCGCGGAGAGGCTCGATGGAGTTGGGACCAGACAGGTGGCCTGGCAGCCCTGCGTCTTGCACAAGGTCCCTGCAAGTGCAGCCCAGGTTGTCTTTCTAGTGTCGTATGGGGAGCCTGACCGTAGCACCGTGGGGAGAAGGTGGATGGGGTGGATGGCTCTTCCCTTCAGCCTTGTGTCCCAGGGGCGCTAGGTCTCTGTTTTAGGGGGGAGGGGGGGAGAAGGGAAGGGGGAAATGGTAAAGCTAGCGGCCCCAAAGGCCGTGGTCGCATTAGCCAGACAAGGGCCCTGCCGGGTGTAGACAGGGCATTTCTTTGGGGTGGTGTCTTTAGTGTCTTACAGGTACTTTAGTAGGTAACTATGTCGGTAGCACAGGCTTGGGACATGGTATTTTCCCAAAACCGCATGTGTGCAATTTGCTTCGTAATAGCTACGTCAGAACCCGATCTCTCAGCCTCGTGTATGGACCGGCTATTGGACCTTGCAACCCACCTCGCCTTGCCTCCACCGGGTCCCAAGAAGTTGAGAGACCATGAGTTCGACGGAAGACAACAACGACGCACAACGATGCCTGGAGGTCAACGTTCGGCCGGGCAGGCTGTTCAACTCGAAACAAAAGTCGCAGCCTGTCATGTCATGGTCTCGAGGCAGTCGCACTGCAGCGTCCACGTTATCGTGCCCGCAACCTTATTGTGTTGTCTCTACGGTAATTTCATGTTGTGATGCGTCGCATGTGGATTCCTAATAATATTACTGTCATACAGAGTCGGTGTCTCGTCATGGAAAAAAAGAAGGGGGAAAATTTGGGGAAGAGCCGAGGACCGCAACTGTCTCTCACAGCCGAATCCCCCGTACACCACCCAACACGGTGGTTCAACAAAAATATGTTGTCCTGTATCCCCGACGGGCCACCAAAAAGAAAGGCGATGAAGACTATCTGCACCCCCCCCCCCCAAATTCTTAAGAGACATGATGGCTGCCCCGTAGCGGCGCCATTGGCTGCGTGGAGCTCAACACCTCGCAACATGCCCATGTCATTTGGCCGTCATGTTGGCTGGCTTCCTCCTACCTCTTTTGAGACCAAAAAAAGAAGGCGGCGGCGGTGGCGGCGGTAATGCCCTGGGCCTGTCCAGTAGCAACACAGTTTCCATACGGCACAGGGTGACTATCTGCTGATGTGCCCCCTCACCTCCTCCCATCTTCCGACATTGGCTCGGAGGAAAAGGTCCAAAGGGCACGACGGCCAACGCACCCAACTGCATGCAGCTTGCTGCATAGCATCTCTTTTTTGGTCCCTTCGCGCGATGCGGGTCCGAGAGTAAGACTGGAATCAGGTCAGGTCGGGTGGGCTGTCATTTTTCGCCCGTGCCATCATTTCCGATGCTCATCCAACTAGACATGGCCGGCAGCCCTGCGCAATGAACATGTCTACCAGCACATGAAAATAATTCCACCCCAAATGCAACACATCTATCAACTATGAAAAGTCAACAAACCAAACCCCCTTTGGCCTGGGGGATTGCGGGAGGGTTCCTAGATGGCGTCAAACCTGGAACTCCCACTAAATTAGCACCGCACCCTAACAACCTGGTGATCGCTTTAGGGCCATGTCAGATCTTCTGCCATGTCTGCCGACCCAGAGTGTCGGGTTCGACCTAAACAAGCGTTGATGCTAGAACCAAAACGCCAGCTGGGGAGGGAGTCGAGTAGTCGAGAATATGAAAGAGAAGTCGATACTTAAGGGCGGTGATCCTCCTCCCTCGGGTCCTCCTCGTCCTCGTCTTCGTCCTCTCCCATCTGCCATTTTGCAATCACCACGGCTGGACACACACACGTCGTCATTGCTTACTCCAACACCACCAGCTCTATCGGTTGGACGAATTTAATTTTTTTTTTAGACCCATTTGTGGAAGGATAAGCCGAGGTCGGTCCGCTTGGGCAATTATCCACCTCCCCTTCAGGATGGCAGAAGCAAGGAGGGGAGGAGCACAAGGTGCCAAGGCCAACACAGAGACGCTCACTCCTTTCTTCTCCGAACGGAAACAGTTTCCATTGATTCCGAGGCTCTGATGGAATCAGATGACGAGGGTCAGTCAGTCATCTTACGCGCGCACACACACACAAACGCGCACACACATACGCAGGCACACACAACTTTACCGCCCGCCCGATGCTCCACAGGCGAATCACTGGTGGGTGACCCTGTTGGGTGACCCTGTTGGCGGTCCAGATCAGCCCAGCCCAGCCCTCCTTTCCCGGGTCTTCCGTTCCTCTTCGACCCTGTTTGTCCGCAAGCGGATCCAGAAGCCACCACCCCGCCTGAGCTGCTTGGCTCTGGGCTTCAGCTGCATCCACTCTTTGTCACTTTCGTGGCCCGAGATGGAGTCCCCCCTCCTGTGCAGCCTGTCGTATCCGGAGCACCGACAATGTGTGAGTGTGTTGAGAGTGTGCTCGTATCATACGATTGCCTTGGTGTTATGCATCTTACACAACATGTGTGCAGCAACCGCACACGGGTCTAGCAACTGTGCAGGTACCCCCTAGTTCAATTGTTTCCCTTGTTCGCGCACTGTGCCACAGGCCGACGGGACATGTTCGCGCAGAACGGTGGGCGAGTACATGGGTCAGGTCCGGGTCAACCTCTACCCGGCCAAGCTCAGCCGTCTTTCATCGGACTAGAATCAGACAGAAGGTCCAGGCCGCTCTCTGTGGTGAGGGTCTTACGTGTGTTGTTCTCCATTTCCGTGATTCCAACTTTCCGCGATCGATCAGTGCAAGGAAGGCCTAGCGCGGAGCAGAAGGACCGCCCGCACGAGCAGGAAAAAATAAAATAAAAAGAGACAGAGAGAGTGGGAAGGAAGATAGCAAGGTGTGGACCACAATAAACTTCAGGTCGTGTATCCCGAGTTTGCGACTGGTGGGCAACGACGGGCTCACGTGGCATTACCCACCCATTTGCAGAACTAAAGCCCCTGCTAGCCCATCCGTCCAGGCGGTGCGGTGCATTAAGCATCAGCCTGGGGGCGTTCGGGTCTTAAACAACAAGTGAAGTGGCCCACGACGGCCCCAGCAGCATCTACCATAGTACTATGTGAGTACTACTACGGTTAGTATGTACTATGCTGCGGTACACCACTACATCCTATAGCAACGTCCTTGATGTCGATCGAGTTGCAAACTTCAACAAAAAAAGAAGGGAAAAAACTGGCAGACAAATCCGGACTCTCTTCCCCCCCCCCCCTTTTTTTTTTCTTTTTCTTTTCCCCCGCTGTCTTCCATTCAACGTACGACCCTTCCACCAGAATGACTTTGAGCCGCTCCAGCCGAACAGTTGTCAATCTCTCATTCATGCACTCGCCACCCTGCCCAC